CCAACTTGCTCTTCTCACTCTGCCTGATCTTCTGTGGTGTCCTCGCGACCCCGGACAAGATGCCCCGCTTCTGGATCTTCATGTACCGCGTCTCACCATTCACGTATCTCGTGTCTGGGATGTTATCCACTGGTGTGTCTGGGACGACTGTTAACTGTGCAGATGTTGAGTGGCTCCACTTCTCACCTCCGTCCGGTGAGAAATGCATCGATTACATGACTCCTTACATTAACGGCTTTGGAGGATACCTCCAGGATGGAACCCAGAATTCTACCACCGAGTGTTCCTTCTGCAGCGTCAGCTCGACCAACGTTTTCCTTAGCAGCGTCTCGAGTTACTACAAGGACGCCTGGCGCAACTTCGGCATCATGTGGGCGTTCATCATTGTCAACGTTTTCCTAGCCGTTTTCATCTACTGGCTAGCTCGTGTGCCCAAGGGCAACCGCACCAAGACCAAGAGCTCCTAATTTCACTTTCGTCTTTTCCGTTTCTCTCATTTCTGTTCCTGATACCATCAGGTAAAAACCTTGTTATACTCTTTCATGTCAAATAATTTCTTTTGATTGTTTATAGATGCCCATGCTTCCCCAGTTGCATATTTGTTTTCGTTTCTTGCATGAGATTATTTGGGCGTTCATTCCCCACTCTCACCAGTTTACATATTGGAAGTCTTTCTGACCATCAGTCTTAGAAGGCTACATTGGAAATATTAAATAATCCCAGCTCGACATTGCACTTATCAACATTTGAACGTAGAAACTTCAGACTATGAGTCAACAATCAAGACCAAACTTCATCTTAACAAGCTCATGTTCTAATCATATAGCCTCCGTATCCAGCATCTCAAACCAGAAACTACATAACTTCTCCACATCCGTAAACTCTCCTTTACACCTACCTATGCTCTACTTTCTTTCTAACAGTACTAGAAAGAAGGCTAATAATTAGTATATGGTGTAGAGGTGGAATATTGTATACTAACGCGTTAGTAAAGTTTAAATGTTCTGACCTTGCATCTAGTGCCTTCTTGGGTTACCTATGCGTGTATGATTGCGAAAATGTACGTGATATCGAAATTTATGCCCATACTTAACATTCAGGTCGAACCACAGATACTGAGGTATGCTCCTGATTGATCAAAGATTGCGATTTGACTGGACCCGCTATGTAGCCGTGGCCCTTGCCAGGTTGTTCATATTGATACCTACAAATAGCTACGATTAGGCCAAGTAAAGATAAAATATTCAACAATCCATTGATAAAGACATAATATAGACAAGCAAACCCCACTGACGCCAGCGCAAGAACGACCATGAAGGTCAAGAGACAAGAATATCTAAAAAAAGAAAGGAAAAAAAAAATCAACAAATCTACCATGTAAAAGCCTCCTCCGTAAAATCAACCACAGCCCCCTTCCCAATTCTATCTCTCGTAGCAGCGCGCACTTCATCCGCGAACGCTCCAGGCCCACAGACAGAAACGACAGTAGCGCCCACGCGTTTTGGAAGGATCTCATCGAGTACGACGTCGGGACGACACCGGCCCGATAGCATTTGCACCGTTGCAGATGGGGAGATGATATCTGCAGGGCGTCGCGGCTTCGATACAAATAATTTGATTACAAGTATATCGCGACGGCATGGCATGCGCAGGATCTGGTCCATCCACTGGCTGACCCAGGCGAGGTGATCTGTTGAACGGACGGACCAGATCAGGTAGATGCGTCGGGTGGCGGCGCGTGATGTCGAGGCGCGTTCGAGGAGGTCGCGGGTGTATAATAGGTGGTGAGTTATTCCTGCGCCAGCGGAGAAGAGCACGGCTGTCCCGTAGCTAGGCATGCTGACTGGGTGGCTGCCGTAAGGACCTTCGATGTACCCCGGTGCACGGAGGATTTGGCCTGGTTTGCTGCGGGCGAGGTCGTATAGGCGGCGGGTCATGCCTTGGCGGGCGCTGATGACGAGGGAGACTTCTGTTGTTTGGGAGGGTGGGTCGAAGTAGGCGTCTTTGTCGAAAGATTGTTTCTCTAGGGCCGAGGGTGTGACTGCTTTGGCATTTGTGCCGGGTTCGAACCAGGCTATTGAGAATGGGTGTGACATCCACCATGATACGCAGGGGATATAGGCGAAGACGTGGCAACCTGGTGAGATGTTCACGCGGTTTGGGAGATGGAAAGTTACTCGGCATGCTTCGCCGGGGAGAGCTTGGACGGTCATCTTTGTGCTGCCGTTGCGTGATGAGAGGTTCAGGTGCGCGAGCCGGAGGAGGCGCAAACAGCGCTCCGTGAGCCAGATTACGGCGATAGCGTTGGCCCAGCTCCGCTGCGGGAGACTGTCCAGGCTCAGGTGGGCGTATACGCCGAGGAAGGCCAGCAATGCGGCAAGCTGATGCAGATGAAGGAATGTCTCGTAGAACGCATGGCGAATAGGCGAAGGAGAGTGTAAGACCAGGAAGACCATTGCCACGGTTCCGACCATCCCCCAGGCGAAGAATGGCGTGTCTCTGATGCGAGCGAGCGCGGCGGTCAAATTTTGTTCGTCGCATGCGTTCACTGCCCAGGCAGCTGTGTGGGTGATGGCTTCAAGTACGACGATACGCCCCAGCCAGCGATGGATAAGGTTGTATGTATCAAAGCTGATGTGCAGAATGGAAATGAGAGGGTTGTTCCGGGCTGCCAAAAGGAACAGCGGTACCATGTTCAGGACAGCCAGTGTCCCCGAGCGCCCACGGAGCTCTGCGACCAGCGCAGCTTTCTCATTGACACCATAATCGAGGTATAGACAGTAAATCACCTGGCTCGCCAGATAGAAGCTAATCAATATGGTCTGGAACCGAGATGGCAAGGTCCCCATGCCAATTGCAGAGGAGAGCTGGACCTCCCGGTTGTGCCTCTTTTTCCCTAGGGGTGCATATATGATCTGCTTCTTGGCGAATGGCCACCATGATGATTGTTCTTGACTCCAAAAGGTCTGTTCTCTTTTGCTCGCTGACAAGGCGGTCATCTTGCGAAGGTGGGAATAGCTGATCTGGGCTATTCGGCTGCAGAATATGACGAATGCCAGGATGATGACCGAGGAATAGATGATTCGGGTGATGATCACATCGCGAGGCACATCGACACCTCCCAGTCCCCGAGAATACTCGTAGATGTAGGTCGCATTGATTCCGTAGGATCGTGCCGCAAGTTGCGGAGAGGGTGCAGCCATTGGTCTGCCCCTGACGCCTGTCGAGGGGCTGGAACTGAAGGAACGTGAACGAAACTTCCGAAACTCGTGGAAAAGATGCGATGAGCAATGGGGTATTCCAGATAGATTTCTGGCAAGTTAGTCACGGAGCTTCAACCACTGAATCTCATATGTATTTATGGGACAGATGTTTGGTTGATGGGAAATCGAAGGGAATGTGAAGATCAATCGTAGTGACGTTGGGGCAGATAGTATGAGATCACAGGTGAGAACAATGATCCAGTACAAAGGGGCTCGGCAGAAGCTGCTCAATAGGGAACAACGGATAGCTGTCTCTCTCAAAGGCCCATTTTGTTTCTGCCTATCGCTTGACAAGTGGTTGCAAGTGCTGACGGCCTAGGCGCGATAGATGACTGGAGAATCGATATTGCAGTTCACTTGATAGAACCCAAAACGAAGATCGCTAAACAGATGAATTTTGGAACCTAGCAAGAAGTTAGCAGATCGTCAGAGCAAACATCCCGTTGCTTCCCTCACACAGGCATCGTCTAGGGCCCGGGAATGCAACAAGGGGGAAGGGAGGGACCGCCCACGTGTTTTGCGTTCTGGTTTTTTTGCGGAGGCGGATAACAGGCAAAAAGGGAGAGGTAAAGAATGTATGAATCAATCAAGTCACAAAATGAAGAAGCTTCAAGCGATCAACGCTGTGCAGGAACAAAAAACGGAGCTGAAACGAGCGAGGAACCAGCCGATGGACAGGAAGGAAAATGTGAAGAAAAACAGCCTGAGACGAACACCCAAGACTCCTAGGACAGGGGCTACAAATAAGAAGGGAAAAAGGGAGGCATTCGACAGCACACATCCGACGCAGCTCTACACTGCAGCCACCTTGAACTCATTTCTTCACTACGCACCGACGCTAACAGACGTGACAGCAGCCTATCGGTGCGACTCCTCCGATGGCCAAGGGGTTCATCGGTGTTTCCAGCATGCGCACTGTCTCGGTACCTTGATTCCTGGATTGTGATTGGAGTTCGGGGCTGTGATCCCTGCAGATCTGCGACCGGCGTGACGCCGCTTGACCACCGTTCGAGTGTGGCAGCCATAGAGTGCCCAGGCATAGATGTCCTGGAGCTGGCGCCCACTCTCGCACAGTGCCTCAAACGGTGGCTTGGCGCAGGGTTCCACAACTTTCAATTAGAAACCACCATCTCTGTAGCTTGGTGGGTTCAGTCCTGTGGCGCGACGCAAGATTGGAGGAAGTGGTCATGTCCGTGCCGAGGATCGCATGATTTTGTTCATTTCATCTTTTGTGTGTGCTGAACTCTCTATCGAATGACTATGATTGTCAGCAGTGCATAAGCAATGGGTGGTTCTAAACGTAAACGTTCCAAATGTTCCAAATATTCCGAATGTTGAAGCGGAACTGGGAGATTGTCGCCTAATATCCTAGGCCCACTATTGACAGGTGATCCACAGCCCCCAGCCTCGAACGAGGCCCGCCATGAACATGGGCATCTCCGAATAAACCCCAGAAGCGAACCGAATGCGCATGGTGGAATCAATAGTTACCTAATTGGTGGCTTGTCACCAACCCATTTGGGTCTTTTCTCCTATCTTGGCTACCTAGATATGGCAATGCATGGATGGGGGTCTCCTGTTTCATATAAAGTTACCGATTGGAAGCAAAGATTAACCTGGTATTTGATTTGTACAAGTCCAGAATTTCTATTCAAGGCCAGCGAATATCTCGGACCGCCGCTGCATCATGTCCTGCGCAACATTCTATATACAAACATCAATCATAAGACTCCGGGCTTACCGGCCCATCCAGCCACCGTCGACGGTAATCAATTCTCCCGAAACGTAGCTGCTGGAGCCACTGGCCAGGAAAACAACCACACCCTTGAAGTCCTCCGGTTTGCCCCACCGGCCGGCGGGAATACGAGCCATGATACCGGCATTGCGGTTGGAGTCGTTGATCAGCGCAACATTCATGTCGGTGTCAATGTAGCCGGGAGCAATGGCATTGACGTTGATGCCCTTGGACACCCACTCGTTGGAAAGAGCCTTGGTCAGCTGGCCGATGCCGCCCTTTGAGGCCGCATAGGCGGGGACGGTGATGCCACCTTGGAAAGTAAGGAGCGATGCGACGTTGATAATATTTCCGCGACGGCCGGAAGGGAACTCGGATTCATCTCGAGACAGCAAATATGCGCCGAATTCACGGCAGAGGACGAAGACAGAAGAGAGGTTGACTTCGATGACCTGGATCCAGAAATTCCGATTAGTGCCATGTTCAACATACACAAGAAAGCTTGAGAAGTGACTCACCTCATCCCAGTCCTCATCAGGGAACTGATGACTCGGGTGTCGCCGTTGGATACCGGCGCAGTTCAAGAGAATATCGGGCTTGAGTCCTTGGCTAGTCACTGCGGGGACAATATCCTTGACGGCCTTGCGATCGGACAACTCTGCGACGTGAATGTATACCTTGCGACCAATACGGCTCTCAATTTCGTCCTTGGTAGCAGTGTTGGAGGCGTCTCTCTGCACGAGGATGATATCGGCACCAGCCTCCGCCAGGGCAAAGGCCATAGCCTGGCCAATGCCACGAGTGCCACCGGTGATGAGCGCGGTGCGCCCGCTCAACGAGAAGAGAGATAAACCAGTTGCCATTGTGTGATTTGTAGAAAAACAGAAAAACCGGAGGGGCAATCGATCCAAATAATAGCTCGCGATGACGGTGTTTTACCCCACGCGCGGGGCGCTGGAATCGGTCATTTCCGTTGCCGACCCAGTCGCCGACGGCTATTGACCTTTGACAGGATCTCGTGGCATGACGGGATGATCTTTGGAACATTATGGTCGGGAACAATTTACCAACTCGATCATGGAGATGGACTTGGAATGAACAATATAATGGATTCGAAAGTGCATAGTGTAAAACACAGTACTGTGTAGACCGAAGATGACTTCCCCACATTTCAAAACCTTAGTAAGAGCTCCTCCGAGGGCCTCGAGCTTCTACTGTCGGTGGGTCAAATCGGCCTTTGTGCTTCTCACCTACCCCGGGGTAAGCATGTCGCATCAATCCTAGCGGCCAAAGATGGAGTCTCCGTCTGATGCGCCCTCCAAGCGGGCCGATGTCGTCAAGCGCGTCTCTCGGGCCTGTCTACATTGCCGTCAGCGCAAGTCGCGCTGTGACCTGTACGCCCTTCCCCGGATCTGCACCTGTGAGAACCCGCTAACCTCGCGCATAGCGATACAAATGGCAATCCTGGCAAGCCGCCGTGTCAGCGCTGTGTGCGCGAACATCGCGAATGCGTCCTCGGCGGCTCTAACCGAGGCGGACGCCGCATTCGCAAGAACAAAATCAAAAACTTCACACCGGCGGCTGATCCATCACCTAGTAAGGACTCGGAGGAGACTTCTAGTCCTGCGGATTCTGAAGCGCGCCGTGCACCATCTGCATCTGCTATATCGGTATCCTATCCCGGACCAGTCGTCTTTATGCCCCCCAACCCGCCGGCTTCAACCACCGCGGTTGTGGAAGACGATGATGCTTCAATTGGATCTGTTCCGCGAAATCCATCTGATGCCTGGCAATGTCTGACAGGTATCGCCACCCACGGCGCCCCGGCTCCCGAAGTGCGCGGCCACCGTGCACGGTCGGAGTCTGGTGGATTCTCCACATTCAATGGCCTGCGCAACGGCGTTGTATCCGATTTTAATGCTCCAAATACCGGTATTAGAGCGTATCGACTGGTCCAGTCACGGTCTCTAGACCCTGGCACTGTTTGGCAGCTTGTTACTCGTTATGCGGAAAACTTCCACCCATACCTCCCATTGGTTCCACGGAGATATTTTGAGCGCACCGCACTTGACGATTTTGCCAACAATGAGAAATACCTCCTCACTGCTGTGCTTACAATTGCGTCTAAAGATCTTGTCGACCGACCCGAGATCCACGAATACTGCTCAAAATACATGCACGAGCTAATCTCAGGCATTGCCGCGGGTGCAGACTGTGATGTTGAAGCAGTCGAGTCTCTTCTGTTACTAGCCGAGTGGGAACCCCAAGGCCTGCGTCCTCGCATCGAGCGTGTGGGTCGTGGAGAAGAGGACCGAGCTGCGTGGATGCATGTTGGACTCGCATTGCGCTCGGGTTATTTCATCGGATTGGATCGAACATCCTTCCGAGGGGATCCATATGGAGACCAAGAAACTGAGTCTCGTCGAAGATTAGCCTGGGCTAGCTGCTATGTCTCTGATCGATTGATCTCTGTGCGTATTGGACGTGCTTTCTGGTCGCGGGGTCCAGGTCCGATGACTGGCCTTGTTAGCCAGGACTTCCCTTCGCTACAGCCAGCAAAAGAGGGCGATGAGGATTACTCCAAGATCTTCCAGGCTATGTTGGATCTGACGCAGCTGTACGGAAATGTGCATGAAGTCTTGTATTCTGGAATGCGCACCAGCAATCAAATGATGCTGATGGGAGACTACGTGAAGTATGTGGATGATTTCCGACTAGCTATCCTGCGATGGAAGTCTCTTTGGGGACCTTTAGACTGTAGGATACCCATTCCATGGTATTGGCGCTTCAAACCTAACCATATACAGGCTCGGCCCCTATGAAGGCAACATTGCAGCTGTCATACGAATATTTGCGGCTATATACGACTGCATTTGCATTCCAGGCTGCGATTTCTCAGACTTTGGCGAAGCCAAAGACTAGTGCAAACTCACACCGGGAGGAACTCCGATCAACATTCAAGAATGTGGCTTCGATGCAAGATTCTCGGTTCATCTATGAGTCGGTTGATGCGGCTAAGGCCTATCTGACCATTCTCGTGGACTCCGTAGATCCTGAGAGGCATTTACATTTCATGCCACTCCGGTTCTATTTGTGAGTTTCTAGCAGGGCCCATTGCATGGAACTTCGCTGATCAAGCTTTAGATATGGCATTTACTCTGCTGTCTTCCTCTACAAGGTGAGTTCGTCGATACCTAAATTTGCAGAGGTTCGCTAACCTTCCATAGGCTCGTTCCTTTGGAATGATGGTTCCTTCCGAAGAAGCCAAGGTCCAAGGGCTTGTCGCTCGAACCACAGAAGTCCTCAAACAAGCTAGTGCAGGCCCCGATGACATCGGAGCGCGCTACTCTCACCTGCTGGAGCTTTTGTGGAAAACAAAGCCGTCCATCTCGACGGCCGCCACAAATACCCAGCAAAACAGCGACTTTATGCAAACAGCTCTACCAAACTCAGTCTCTGACACATATATGGATTTCAGCCCTGCCAACGACTTTTCCTGGTTGGATCTGGAAGCCGTGGGTGATTATGTATCTGGAGACCCAATACCGGGTGGCCTACTAGGTCTGGATGCCTTCCATAATACGACCGACCCTTACCAGCCCGGACAAGAAAGGCCACAAGTTTGGCAGCAATCTGCGTGGCTGGGCGATATGAGTAGTAACCTTCTGTTTTAAGCGCTAGCCGATTTGATGATGATCAAAAGCCGCCGGGCGCTACGGCAAATGATGCGGGGCTGCGGAGCTCCTCTCGGAGAATACCCCGACCACCGCCAGAGGGGTAACCGAGGCCAGCACGAGCCCTTCTTGAACCACATCACTCAATCTTGAGTCTCAGAGAGATCATATTTGAACTCTTACTCCTCAAATATTTCTTCTGCAAAATGTCACTCAACGAGATCCGCGGGCGTCTAGCCCTAATTACCGGCGCATCTGGAGGGTAAGTCCCCGTAAATTGGTCTCCCACCCCCGCATAATACTATACCACCAAAAACAAACTTGCTAACATTGGTGTTTGACTCTTAGAATCGGTTCAGCCTGTGCGCACCAGCTCGCTCAACATGGAACCCACCTTGCCCTGACATACGCGACCAACCTGGATGCAATGAATGCGATTGTCGCAGATATACAGTCAAAGTATTCAGAGAACAATCTCCGTATATCCATTCACAAGGTTGATGTTGGATCAGCCGATCAGATCGAAACCATGTTCCAGCAGATCGACAAGGAGCACGGTCAACGGCCAGATATTCTCGTCTCCAACGCTGGTCACGGCAAGCGGTTCCCCAATATCTGGGAGATCGAACTTGAAGAGTTCGACTATACCCTCAATGTCAACCTCCGCGCTTCATTCATACTCGCCAAGGGTGTTGTGGAGCATATGAAGAATCAGCGCTGGGGACGCATTATTTTCATGTCCTCAATTGCCGCGCAAGGTGGAGGTATCAATGGATGTCGTGAGTTCACCCCTCTCTTCCGCGCTGGCTCAATTTTAACCCAAGAATAGACTATGCCGCTTCAAAGGGTGGCCTCACCGGCATGATGAAGAACCTGTCAACCCGCCTAGCCGAATTCAACATCAGCGTCAACGACGTTGCTCCTGCGATGATCGGCGACACGGGGATGATTCCCAACGCAGCGGCAATTCCCGAAGTCGCAGCTGGTATTCCTTTGCAAAGACTGGGTACGCCCGAGGAGACGGCAAATGTAGTCACAATGCTGTGCAAGACTGGGTATATGACAGGCCAGAGCCTCCTGCTGGCTGGGGGGTTGAAATAGGCTGTAATTAGCATTTCAAGTACAAACCAATATAATTACCCATCTACATACCAATTTGCGCCTTCACCAATACCATAAAGTAACTTCTTCGTAGACGGTATATTACATTTCATCCTAATGCATATACACAATTTTGATTCTCACTATGCACAACATTCCCTACTTTCACAATGGGTATTTTCAAGTCATCATCATCATCATCATCACAAAATCAATCTCCACAACACTTTACAAATGGCTCTGAGTCTTGTTCTCAATAATCACCTTGACAACAGGGTTACCGCTCTCATCAACGCCCTTTCCAGCGAGCGTGAAGGCACGCTCACCCTCCTCAAGCGGCAAGCGGTGCGTAACAACCTTCTCCTCCACGGTCTGCAACTTCCCACTCGCCAGTAGAGCAATAGCTGCCGGGTAGGCATTGCCATCGTACCGGAAGACACCGATGATATCGACCTCGCGCAGCGCGGCGGCGCCGACAGGAAGGGTCTGGATGGGGTTACCCATGCCGATCTGAACGAGGACACCTCCTGGGGCGGAGGCGTAGATACCAGCTTGAACGCAGGCGGGCACACCGGTGCAATCGTATACGCGGCTGAAGCCAGACACCTCAGGGCTACCTGCAACATTGGCAGCCTCTGTGAGGGTAGCAGCGACGCGCTGGGCATTTGCAAGCGCATAGGCTGTCTGGTCGGCGTGAGGGGCATCCTTGGCAGGGGGAGGGTTGGCAGGGTCGCCGCGGGGGATGAGGGCAGTCTTGAGGCCGAGGCCGAGGGAGGCGGCGATCTCAAGACGCGAGGAATCAATGTCTGCGACGACAATGGATGTGAAGTTCTGCGAAGTAGCGAGGGCTGAAGCAACAAGTAGACCGATGGCTCCTGCGCCGAAGACCAGAGCAGCTGTGCCCTCGCCTACACTGCTGGCGATTTCAACCTCTTCCTTGGTAGGCGGGTGTGAGCGGCGTACGGCGTGCAAGCAGACGGCCAGCGGCTCGACGAGCGCACCGCCAGCGTTGGAGACATTGGATGGCAGAGGGTGGCACATGGCAGCCGGGTGGTTGGTGCGCTCCATGAGGGTACCGTCCAGGTGGGGGAACATCTTTGCGCTGCTGCGGAACTGCATGTTTTTGCAGATGTTGTAGCGACCCTGCTTGCACAGGGCGCACTTGCGGCACGGCAGACCGACCTCCAGGGCTACACGGTCGCCGACTTTGAGGTCCGTGACTTCGGGGCCGATAGCCGTCACGGTGCCGGCGGACTCGTGGCCCAGACACATAGGCTCGCGCACGACGAAGTCGCCATTGCGGCCGTGGCTGTAGTAATGGAGGTCAGAGCCGCAGAGACCGGTTGCTTGCACGGCGACTTGGACGTCGGCGCCCACCGGCGCCGGCACAGATCGTTTCTCCTGTGTTGTTATTAGTCGAGGCTTTTTTTAGTAGAGCGAAGCTCGGAGCTTGGAGCTTACCAGACGGAGATCCTTTGCGCCGTGGAGGACGAGAGCGGTAGCTGATGTTTCTGTGGCCATGATGAAGATGTGTAAGAGATGAAGAAATCAATTCAGCAATCGCAAATTGTTAAAGGTCTTGAAATCGGCATCTGACTCCGAACAAGGCGTTCCCCTCTCCCCCACTTGACATCGTGGGGGAGATGTGACGCGCTGGTGGTTACGCCGGGACCCACGGAGAAAGTCCGGGGCGGCTTTTGATCTCAAAGTGGCAGGTTTCAATAGCCGGTGTGCTGGCGCGTGGGGGTTCCTATTGCATCATTTGAAGTCGTACGAGGAAGAGAGATGGAATGAATAAAACATGTACAGCATATAGTATAGCTAGACTAAATTATCTGGAAGACATTAGTATTGGAAACATCATATAGCTTCATTTGCAAAAGTAGAAAAATAGAAAGGTCGGACGTTGCTTTCCCACGTCTTCTCCACGCGACATTCGCCGCCGCGGATAATATGCGGGGGTTCAACTTGTTACGGAGCTCCGCCAGAATTTCAGGCTTTAGCCATTTGGCACTTTCTTTTTCTTCCATCTCTTTCAAATCACATCTTTGCCTCATAGCTGTCTACCCATCCTCAATTTCCTAGGTATGGTTGCGCTTCGCTACCTAGCATCATGGCTGCATCTGATCGCGTCACAGAATCTACAGAATGCCTTCCCAAGCTGCCCTCCTCATCGGAGGCATCACGCATGCGCGCAAAGAGTGGGAGAGCCTCTCTTCTATCCTCAGTCTTAAGGTAAGATCGATACGTTTACGCGATCATCCGTATGGTTAGCTAAATCCGTGGACAGGAATTCCCTACCGGCACCCGCGAAGAGTTCATCGCAAACTGCAAGGCGGGGCAATACGATGATGTTATCGCAATCTATCGGTCCAATACTTCTAATAAGGTGTGTAACTTGGATTTTTGTCGCGCAAACTCCCCGCGCTGACCTTCGATTAGTATACCGGCCCCTTTGACGCCGAGATGCTCGCCGTTCTGCCCCAGTCGTTGAAGTACATTTGCCACAATGGAGCTGGATATGACAATATCGATGTTGCAGCTTGTACGCAGAGGAATATTGCTGTGTCCAGCACTCCCGTCGCGGTTAACAATGCTACCGCCGATGTGGGGATCTTCTTGATGATCGGCGCTTTACGCCAGGCTTATGTTCCTATTGCGGCTCTGCGCGCCGGTAAGCTTGCATATTCACAGCGACAGCTGTTGAATTGGAATCGAAGGGGGAAAAGCTGACTGTTTTACTTAAAATAGGACAATGGCAAGGTCAGACTACTCTGGGAAACGACCCCCAGGGCAAGGTCCTCGGTATTCTAGGCATGGGCGGCATTGGACGGGTAGGCGATCCCATTTGAAGAAATTGAAAACCATCACTAATTAGAAATCTAGGAAATGGCTACTCGGGCCAAGGCCTTTGGCATGAAGATTCAGTACCACAACCGCTCCCGCCTCCCCACCGAGCTGGAGGCCGGTGCGACGTATGTCTCGTTTGATGAGCTTTTGGCCAACTCCGATGTGTTCAGTTTGAACCTGGCCCTAAACGCTTCCACACGGCACATCATTGGAGCCACTGAGTTTGGCAAGATGAAGGACGGTGTAGTGGTTGTCAACACGGCGCGTGGAGCCTTGATCGATGAGAAGGCGCTGGTCGCAGCACTCGATTCTGGAAAGGTAATTGACGCTCGTATGATTATTCAATAAATAAAATACTAACCAATTAATCACAGGTCCGCTCTGCTGGTCTGGATGTGTACGAGGAAGAACCCAAGATTGAGCTAGGCCTGGTTAACAACCCCAGGGTCATGCTGCTGCCCCATATTGGCACTGCGACCTTCGAGACTCAGAAGGAGATGGAGATCTTGGTGTTGGATAATTTGAAATTGGCGGTCGAGAAGGGTGAGCTGATTACCCAGGTTCCGGAGCAAAAGAAATAGATTTAGACTTAGAGTATACAGTAACAGTAACAGTACTTGAATAATGCGACTTCGAAGATTTCATGGTTCAATTTTAGCCTCAGGCACAAATGCAGAAAATAGCATGACTAAGCAGATCTATATTACGTAATACCATGTCACCCAAAGAGGTTAGTGTTAGGGCTCGCTTAGGGCCCGCGTGCCAAGAGCGAAAAAAACCGCACCAAACTTGGTGTTCAAGCGTTAGCGGTCGAAGACGAAAAGCGACAACATCAATCCGACACCGAGGACCATCGACTTCCCCTCGTCAACTCCTTCAAGATGGTGAGTTTTGCCCGCCCTCATCTTCAGATTCTCCGAAACGCAACCTGCAGAGTCCAGTCTCTGTCCAATTCGTCTTGAATCTTGGATATGCAAGATCTGCCGCTTCGACGAGAATCACCACCTCCCCGGCGCCAACATGATTACTGACGACTATCCTTCGTCCTACAGGTCCGTTACGCCGCCCAGGAGATTTCGAACGCTAAGAGCGCCCGCGCGCGGGGCTCTTACCTTCGCGTCAGCTTCAAGAACACCCGCGAGACCGCTCAGGCCATCAACGGTATGAAGCTGCAGAAGGCTCTGACTTACCTCGACAACGTCACCAAGAAGTCCATGGCTGTCCCCATGCGCCGCTACGCCGGCTCTACCGGTCGCACTGCCCAGGGTAAGTGCCCTCGAGAAATTTTACATGCTGGATTCGTTTGGTGGCAACGGTGTCAAGGAGTTCCGTGAGGGGCAACTGGAGGCATATCGTCGAATATTTCGAATGTGTGGATGTTCAGGAGGCCTTCCGTGTTGATTTAGAGAGGAACTTGGGGTCGTTTGGGGTGCCACCGTTGCCGCTAAAAATTTCAGTGTGGGATCGGACCGGGAACAAATCGACTGACAATTTCTGTCCACAGGCAAGCAGTTCGGTGTCTCCAAGGCCCGCTGGCCCGTCAAGTCCGCCGAGTACATCCTCGACCTCCTCAAGAACGCTGAGGCCAACGCCGACACCAAGGGTCTCGACACCTCCAACCTGGTCGTTCAGCGCATCCAGGTTAACCAGGCTCCCAAGGGCCGCCGCCGTACTTACCGTGCCCACGGTCGTGTACGTTTCTCCGACTTAGCTATTTTCTTTCCCTCTGAGCATCCACTAATCGGCATCTAGATCAACCCCTACATGACCAACCCCTGCCACATCGAGCTCATCCTCACCGAGGCCAACGAGGAGGTTGCCAAGGCTCCTGCCAAGAACAAGGCTGGTCTCACTTCCCGCCAGCGCGGTGCTGAGCTCCGTCGTGCTATCCAGGCATAAACGGATCGTCGGGATGGGGATTGAAAAAGGATTGCGGTGGACGGATTGACCGGAGTTGTGCGCATCTGTATGTTGGAACGGAAATGATACCGGATCATACAAGATTTTCTTAAGGTCATGGCACCAAATACAAAAAGTTTAAAGCGCGACTCCGGTCGATGGACTTAGGTTTCTGTACTGCCCGGTTCGATTCATGATACAACGTGGTTCTTCTTCTGTGACTTGTCCAAGTGTATCGTGATACCTCCAGATGTGTTTCATTGGCACCGGTCTGGCGTCTGAAATAATTTTATACGTTTCATGATTCAAGACGGATCGGTTGTTGTCCGTAGATAAAGCACGACACTATGCCCAGAATAGTCCCCGACTGTGCAATGGAGCCCCAATCCAATCAACATGGACGATTAGCGGGGGACGTGCGGGGTCAGATGTAGGATCTAGCTTAAATAGAAGGTGTCTGCTTGTCTCTAGGACCAATTCGCTTCCAAGTACACAATGTCTCGACTATCAGACTACCGTCTTCTGTGCTTCGATGTATACGGCACTCTCATCGACTGGGAAGGTGGCATCCTCGCCGCCTTGCAGCCGATACTGGCGCGCACCAATGCCCATTTCTCGCCTGAGGAGCTCCTCAGAGTCTATCACGAGTTTGAAAGTGAGCAGCAGCGTCTGACCCCAGACATGCCCTACTCGCAGCTCCTCTCAGCTATCCATCCCCGTCTGGCCGAGCGCCTTGGCCTGGATATACCTAGCGAGGAAGAAAGCAGACAGTTCGGCGAATCGGTGGGCAGCTGGCCTGCCTTCCCAGATACAGTGGACGCACTCAAACGCCTCTCGAAGCACTACAAGCTCGTGGTCCTCTCGAACGTCGACCGGGCCTCTTTTGCACAATCCAATGCGGGCAGTCTACAAGCCTTCCCCTTCGATCTGATCATCACGGCACAAGATATCGGCTCGTACAAGCCAGACCGGCGCAACTTCGAACATATGATAAGGGCCGTGCAGGCCGACTTTGGCGTTGAGCCGAGCCAGATCCTGCAGACAGCGCAGAGCCAGTTTCATGATCATCAGCCTGCACGGAAGGTGGGGATCAAGAGCGTGTGGATTGAGAGGCCCGGGGCCATCATGGGGAACCAAGATGATCCCATCTTTGATTGGCACTTCGACACACTGGGGGAGATGGCAAGTGCGCTGGAACAAGAATGAGAAACGAGAATGAACGGATTAGACTCTGGCCAAAGTGTTGCTGCCTGCGACTCAAGGGAGACGATGCTGCAGAGACGTGGATAAAGGGCTTGGCACGGTCAATTAGGCTGCCTCAGCCACACTGCTGGCATCATCACTTTGGTTTCACATTTTCACATTTTCACATTTTCATAGTTGTGCAGGCTCGTTCTATACAGATATTCATTCAGGGTAACTATAAATCAAGGGTCAAACTAGCACGGGACACTAGGACATTGGGTCGGGTAAATATAGATGCGCCGGGGCCGCGAGAAGAGCCGCAGAATGCGAAAAGGGAAAACGCTAAAATAGAATCGTGGATGATTGACATTGTACTCGTGTACACGGGACGACGTAGGCTCAAGTCATCCCTTGGAACTTTGCCACGCCTACTCTCATCTCGCATACAAAGCTGGCGCCTTCAGCCCATCTCCCGGTCGAAAAACAGCACTCCGGGCTTGAGCATAGACCCTGCGCTACTCTGCACTACTAGGCGAACTCACTAATTTAGACCCTACATCTTCTGGCCCCCGGTCTCTTCTGATTCTTTTCTTTTCTTTTTTTTTTTTTCCCTTACTCCCGACTCTACTACCCTTTGACTCGCATTATGAAGCGCTTTTTCAAGCGACCAGGAACCAGTGAGTGCTTTCTTCGACACACCCCCGCAAACACCGCTGACCGCCAGACTCCGGTGAGAGTACCCCGGACCATGCCGAGGACTCGCCTGAAGGCATTCTCCTGCGAGAGATCGTTTGTCTTCATATCGCCGATCGCATCACTCTCCGCTAATTTCGCATACAGGCCACTTTCTGTGAAGCTCCTATCAGCGGGCCTTCGGTACGTGAGCGGACACGCAATGACAAGAACCCTCATGACTGACCAATTCTCTACCAACAGGGCAATGAATTCGTCCACCTACCCAAGATCGTCGAGAGCGCCGAGTCGAGTCCCGCCGCGGCGAAGGAAGCTGCCGCCCGCATTCGCAGATACCTGTCCACCCCGAACAGCACTCCAAACAGTACCCAGTACAATGCGATCATGCTCATGCGCATTCTCGTGGATAATCCCGGCCATAGCTTCACCCGCAACTTCGATGCCAAATTTGTCGCCACCTTGAAAGATCTTCTCCGCTACGGACGGGACTGGCATGTCCAGCACTACCTGCGCCAGTATCTGAATACGCTTGAGGGTACCAAGGCCGACGACCAGGACCTCCAATTGCTTCTACAGATGTGGGCAAAGGAGAAGACAAAGAGTAACCGGAACTTTGTAAGGAACGATGACCAAGGGAAGGAGGGGTCGGAGTAACTGACCCGGGTTGGTAGATTGACCCATTCCCCCAGGCAAGCAACAACCAGGCACCTGCGGGATATCCACCTCAGAACAACCGTCCTCTCCATCCTCCACCCGGCAATCAATTACCAGATGCAGGCGAACTCGCAGCGCGTGTTGAGGAAGCACGAAACTCGGCAAAGCTGCTCACGCAGTTTGTCCAGACAACGCCACAAGCCGAGCTCGAAGAGAACGATCTCATCAAAGAGTTCGTCGACCGCTGCCGAACTTCTTCACGGTTGCTTCAATCCTTTATTCACGCCACCAACCCATCTCCTGACGAAGATACTCTCCTCACTCTCATCGAAGCCAATGACGAGATCTCCGTCGCCATGTCGCAACAGCAGCGTGCTATGCTAAAGGCCCGCAAAGCCCGCGGCGCCTTGAGCCCTACCTCCTCCAATGTCAACAGTCCCTCTCCCACCACCAGCGAAAACGTTGCTTCTCCTAGCCCGCGTCCCGCCTCTTTGGACCCGGGATATCGGTTATCCAGAAGCCCAGAGCAGCAATCTGCGCCGCTCGTCGAGCTTTCCTCCATGTCTGATACAGTGATGTCCGGCGGCCGGCCAAACGCACCGAGAACCAACACTACTGAATACGACTCTGCCGATTTCGAGGTGCAGAATCCCTTTGCTGATGACTTTGCTGCGAGTGAGGGCAATGAGCGGCGCCAGCATCCTTTGATGTCGAATCCGCCTGAGACACGGGTGTCTTTCCCGCCCACGGAGCATGAGCGTTGAGTTTAGCTGCTAGTATGTACTGTAGCTGGTGTTTGATACCCCGTTCTCCCTTCCATCATATGCTACATCCGTTTTTCTTTGGTTCGAATTTGATTGTGTGGGAGTCTTCGTCTGAGTACTGTTCATTCTGTGATACCTTGGGCTTCTAGTTATTTATGTCTGATTCTGAACCAACCGTGCTTTCAATAAGTAGTGATTAGGCTCAGAGTAGACAGGATTGGTCCTACCTATTGTATCATGCTTCTCTAAAGATATCTTGCCCTAAAGAGACCCATCTTAAAGTCGACTTGTGACTCACATCTATGGACTGCTTCTCTTGTACTTTTGCATCGCTAGTGTCTTTTTGGCCACAGAACATCTCTCTGCCTTCCACAATCTTTGCTAACCGAAATCGCCAATATATCAAGAATGATTGATCCAGACTATCAATCGAATCTGAGGTGACGCGGGCCGACACGACCTAGAGTCCATCACTGTAGGCCTGGAGCTTCTTAGGTTTCAGACTCCCAGTCTGCAAGGTCCGAACCAACCTTAATCAAAGTCGACGGGTCGGTTCGAGGCTGAAAAGGGAGAGGCGCCCGAGAATTAGCCGTGTTCGAGACCCACGTCGTTTTCCATGTGCACAAGCTTTTACTTCAAACGTTGTACATGACGCGCCCAGGTCGTTTGCACAGAACATCTAATTTTCAGGCACATCATCAGCATCTCTGCTAATTCTCCAGCAATCACGTTCTCCGGTACTCGTCTCTTTTTCACCGTGCTATCAACATGAAACTCGGACTATCCCTGCTCGGCGCGTGGGCCAGCCTTGGCAAGCCCTAACAGGAACGTCCGGATGCAGCAATTCACTGATCCAGATAGGGCCGAACAGCAAAATTTCCGAGGTTTTGGCATCTGGCAACACCGCTGGTCTCACCAGGCACCTCCCTGTGGATATATGAGAGGGGGTCAAATGTTTCAGAGTGACCACTAGGTGCATTTGTCCTCAATGACAGCTCCAAATGTGGACACCCACCATTCACCTGCCCTGACTCCTGTCTGTAGTTAATTGGGAAGGACTCTGGCAGAATCAAGATCGACAGATGCCGATGGCGTGCGGTTGTCTATATAAACAGCCCAGTCCCAGCGCTGCCGGGCCCTGACATCAAGCTGGCCTATCTCTTCTGAACTTCTTCTTTTCTCTTTGCCATTCTTTCTCTCCGGTCTGGGACCGTGCAGTCTTTTCCACACTCGCTATATACTTTTCACGGTACTGGTTTACCGATTTCCATTCCTTCGCCGGTCCTCTATACATCCTTCCAAAATGAAGCAGTACACTTCCATCGCGGCTTTTGCCGGTCTTATCTCCTTGGTCAATGGCCACGGCTTTGTCACCAGCCCGACTGCCCGGATGCCCGGTGCCGCCATGAAGGCTGCCTGTGGTGACCAGGTTGAGGTCAACCAACTGTCCGACAACTACGGCAACATCCAGGGCGAGCTGCAGGTCGCCGCCTCCCAGAGCGATTACAACGCCGAAGAGTGCGATATCTGGCTCTGCAAGGGCTACAAGTTCGCCGACAACAAGGACAACGTCTACTCCTACACTGCAGGCGAGACCATCGACTTTACTGTTGCCATCCACGCCCCCCACACCGGTGTCGCCAACGTCTCCGTCGTTGATACCGCTTCCAACACCGTTATTGGTGATCCGCTGATCTCCTGGTCTGTCTATGCTTCCGTTTCTACCGGAGTCGCCGCGAACAACACCGACTTCAGCGTTACCATGCCCACAGATCTTGGTTCAAAGTGTTCTACTGCTGGGTCCTGTGTGCTCCAGTGGTACTGGTACGCCGAGTCTATTGACCAGACCTACGAGTCCTGCGTCGACTTCACTGTCGGTGGGTCCAGCTCCAGCTCCGGCTCCAGCTCTAGCGCCGCAGAGGTCAGCTCTTCCGCTGCAGTCTCCTCGTCCTCGTCAGCGCCCGCTTCCACGTCTACCTCCGAGGTTGTCCCCACCACTGCGGTTTCCTCTGCTGCTGAGACCTCCGCTGCCGTGGAGACTTCGACTCCTGCTGTTGTTGCTACCACCACTTTCGCGACTCAGGCTCGTGCCTCTGCTGCTCCCTCAGGGCAGGCCGAGTCAGTCACCACTTCCGTGACTGCCACCGCTGTTACTTCCAACATGGCTATCCCTACCAGCGGCACTGATACTGAGAAGCTTGGCTGGGTCGAGAGTGTGTTCAAGTACCTCGTTAACAGCAACTAGGTGTGTTGAGAGACCCGCTTTTAAAGATATAGGTCTATGGGGGGTTATAGAGCTTTTCTAGAGCTAGAGATAAATCCAATGCTATTTCTGGCTTCGTCCACTCTGAAGATTGTTCGAGTATGGAGAAAAATAGCCTTTTGAAAGGTTCTGACTATGGACCCACTTGTGTACATGTAACGTCGCTTTTCGATGTGCCAAGGCGCAGCCAAGATGCAGGAGATATGCGGGCAAACCTTCCGGACAAGTGTTCGGGTAAAGCCTGTGAAAACCATAGAGATTTTCTATTTTTCTGGGGAGAAGAGAGGTGTAAATCGTAACTCGTCGGTAGGATTCCTATGGGGTTGACTTTAAGATGAGATAGTTACCGTCCGGTGGGAGATCTTCGCGATTCGATAAGATAAGCACAGCCACCCTCTAGTTTTTTATGTTCCTGTCATCTTTGGCTTCCCCTTTCTGTCCTTTCATCCCCCTTCATTCCCTTCACATACCGCCAATATGGAAGAACATCTACGCCAAAGTATCTCCAACCACCCCTCGGCGTTCCAGCTGCACAACAGCTCGCCCCACCGATCCGAAAGGATGGCGCGCTCTCAGAACGAAGGCACCTCCACAGCCTTGGAACTTCGGGAAATCATGCAGAACCGCAGTAGTAGCCCCGACGAAGAGGGCATGCCCCCACCTCGCTATACTGCTGATAGCGACCCGTTCCAGCTGGCATCCAAGCTGAAGACCGATGAAGAAATCCGACAGATCAAGGCCAACACCTCTCGGAAACGCGACCATGCCCACAGCGTCAAGGTGGTGGAAAAGGGCAAGCAAGCCCTTACCACACGGAAGCTGCAGGGCTTCTACGAGAACCAGAACGAGAACATTGAGCGCATGTTGAAGCCGGTTGAAGAGCATGTCCGTGCTGCCCGCGAGCTCAACAGCGAGAACAGCCTCAAGTACAAGATCGCCGTCTACGCCAGTTTCGCTGCCAACATTATTCTCTGTGTTGTGCAAGTGTACGGTGCCGCCTCTTCCGGCTCCCTGTCACTGTTCACCACCATGGCCGACGCCATCTTCGACCCCATGTCCAACTTGACCCTCCTGCTGTGCAACAAGGCCGTCAACCGTGTCGACCCCCGCAAGTTCCCCGCCGGCAAGGCTCGGATCGAGACCGCCGGCAACATCTGCTTCTGCTTCTTGATGACTGCCGTCTCCTTCATCATTATCGCCTTTTCCATTCGCGAGCTCGTCGCGGGCTCCGACACCCTCAAATCTTCCTTCCACCTTCCCTCCATCATCGCCGTCGCCGTCGCCTTTTGCACCAAGCTAGGTCTCTTCCTCTACTGCTTCGCCCTGCGCAACCAGGTCTCCCAGATTCGTATCCTGTGGGAAGATCACCGCAACGACCTTCTCATCAACGGCCTCGGTCTGGCAACCTCCCTTATGGGAAGTAAGATCCGCTGGTGGATTGATCCCATGGGCGCTATTTTGCTGTCCGTGCTCATCAGCGGCCTCTGGCTGCACTCGGCCTACGGCGAGTTCCAGCTTCTCGTCGGTGTCACGGCCGATACCAAGATGCAGCAGCTCATCACCTACATTTCTATGACCCACTCGCCCCTCATTACTGCCATCGACACCGTCCGCGCTTACACCTCCGGGCCTCGTCTCCTTGTCGAGGTTGATATCGTCATGGATTCCTCCGATTCCCTCCGCGCTACTCATGATGTGGCCGAGGAGCTGCAGATGAAGCTCGAGTCCCTGCCTGATGTTGAGCGTGCCTATGTTCACGTCGATTATGAGACCACCCACAAGCCGGAGCACTTCCTCAAGAAGGAGCTGTAAGCGCTCGTGGTGAATTCAGTTGTATTATTTCCTGTTTTAATAGCCTTGCACACTCATTGCACATAGCTAGTTTCTAGAGTTTGTTTGGCCACTTCGATTTCATTTCCTTTCAAATTTCTCTCGGATTACATCTCATCTCGTAAGACCAGTCAACGTGGATGGGAGTCCATTCCAGGACATCCCGGGAGTAACTTGATCCAGTCAAGAGAATTTAGAGCAAAGGTAAATCCGGTCTTGAGAAACGAAGGTGAAAGGGATCCAAGATTGCCTGCTCAGTGTGACGACCCTGACAATGATCACGACGTTGAGTCACTTCCAGCCTAGGCGACTGAACTGCTTGATCCTGCGATTGTAGACGGCGCGGTCAGTCATATTTGTCTCACCGACTATGTGATACATGATGATGTCGCTTATAATTCAAGTGATGAATACCATCGATCAGTGGTGGGGTTGAGCCTATGGCACACTGGCAGGACTATTTTTGGTATGGAAGCGGCCGGTACAGCCTAGGTCAGTGATACAAAATGGAGGGAGATAATGATTGAGTAGTTCTACTTCACCAATGCGGACTTATATTGAACAGAGCTAGCTTCTCCTGGTGATATCGGGGCGATACATTTGGGATATGTACCATCAACTCTCAAGAAGAAGCAAGAGCAAGACGACATCGAACTATCTATTCTAGTACGACTGTGAACATGTTCCTGGCAGTGCTGGAAAAGGAGTCAGTCGATTGACGTTCAGAGCAATTCGCGGCTCCAGGAAACTTAGGGCAAAAGTGGAGATCAGCATGGCAAGTGGCTAAAAGCCCCGTAGGAAGGAAACCTAGCTGTGCCTTCGTATTGTATGCGCTCGCGAGATTCGTCTGTCAAGTGTCGCTTAGGAGTCTCAGCTCGTACATACGGACCATTATCGAGAACTGACCACATTGTAGCTACCTTTGTCGGACTGCTTGCTCGAAGAACAGTCGATCTTATTCGGGAGGCGGCGTAGGGGACAGAAGGTGAAGATGCCTGGTCGTTTAAAAATCGTAGGTTTACTGCGGGAGGGAACCAGCTGATTACCGCCATATCCTTCGACTTGTGTCTCTTTCCCAACTTTCACCGTCCATCTTCCTACCTCACCCTCATGCCTCTAGACTCTGCGCGAGTCCCTCAGGGGAGCTACCGTACCCAACTACTGTGATAATCCCGTGCGAAGTCTTGAACAGGATTGGCATTTCAGATCTGTAAAACACCTGCGTGATGGCCCTATCCACCAAGCAATCTCCTGAACGAATGCCGAAACTCCTTCCGCCTCTAATTACGGCCGTCGAAGGTTTCCCCTCGTTTCTGGCCGGTGGCTGGGACTCGGAGAAGAGGACGACTCGATACAAATTCTCAGACCATGAAGAGACGATCGCTCATCAAGTCAGACAAGACCAGATATGGCGATTCTTCTTAGATTTCTATCGGGAGATCGATCGCCGTGGGTGAGAGAATCAATTCAGAAACTAAGAAAGCCCAGGACCAAGTACAAGTCCTCGACATCAAAAACATACACGCGCGATTTAAAATGCCTAACTACAAAAACGCTATTTGCAAGGGAGCCCGAAGGCAAAGAAAAGAACAGAAAAAGGAATACGAAAGATTTGGTATATACTCCAACACTAAGGGCCCCATATGGTTGTCATCAAAGTGCGTCATGGCCGCCGCAAGCTCATCAAGCAGCCACGTACTTCCCACCGACCAGCTTGCGCGCAGTCGGAACCTCCTCCCAGACAGTCGAGGCAGCTCTCTGTGCGGCTTCGTCGGCGAAGGGGTCGATCTCCTTCGGAGAGGTGTCGGTGGCTGCACGGCTGACGCCGAGTCGGGAGCCAGTTGTGGTTGTGCTGAGCTCGAATTTGGCTTCGACGTTGCCCTTGCGTGGACCGCTAGTTGAGGCTGAGAAGCGCACGAGGAATTTGCCGTCTTCGCTGGTGCCTGGAGCGTTCACTACCAGTTCGGGGATTCTCCAGGCTACGGTGGAGTTCTTGCGGCGGAAGGTGGCACCTTGGTTCGGGTGCATGACGGCGCTGGTGGCGTGGGCGACGGGCGTGCTAGCATCTTCGGCGGAGATGTCCAGACCGACTGTCAGGACCACGTTCCTGAGAATGATAGGCTCGCCAGACTGCGAGATGAAGAACGGGTTGAGGGAGTAGAAGATGATGGCGCTGGCCGTGGTGTCTTGAAGGTTCCAGGCTGGCTTGAAAATGACTGGGCAATAGGCGGAGGGATCATCCAGGTGTACTTGGTACTTGAATGCGACTGTAGGCATGGGTCGCGAGATACTGGCCAGCTGAATCTCATACTGACCTCGGTTCTCGTCGGTGTTTTCATGAACAAAGTGCGGGTTGGCGGCCACCTTCTCCAGCACTGGGAAGTTGTCAAGGCGGATGCGTGTAGATTCTACTGGCGCGCCGGGTGTAGGGTTGTGGGCCAGAGCAAGTTCTCCCACCACGAAGGATTTGGTAACAGTGCCTTCGGAGAACCAGGCGTTCACTGTTTCAATGATAGAGGCATTCAAGCCTGATTCATAGAGATCGGGGTGCATGGTAGGAACGGGGCCTTGCAAGGTATGTCCCGAGCGAACAGAAGTCGTGTCCGACATTGCTTGGTCCTCCATCACACTGCTGGGAGACGCAATGTGCCTAATAGGCGAGGAAGGGGTGTACATATCGGGTGCTGCCGAGGCTGTGGCCCCTTCAGAGGTGGGATTCGGGACAAATACTGTGTTTCGAACATCGCGGCGGCCACGGATGGTACCGGCATTCCGTCTGATGTTACCAGATTGCTGAGCGCGCTATTATTGAGTCAGTATGAGGGCTACTTGGCCGATGATATGAGACTGACCAGTCGAAGGGTATTGGCCATATCGTCCATGGCCTGCTTGGCCTGGCTCTCATCTTCAAAGATTGGCTGGTCACGGATTTTCAGGTTCATGCTGGGATCTTCCAAACTGCGTAAATGACTGTATTAGCAATCATTTCAGGTTAAGTCTTCGGGAGAAACGTACGCTGCCTCTCTCTGGGCACGAGTAATCTCATCGATTGTAGAGGGACGCTCAGTGAAGCCTTCCGAGTCGACATGTTCAGCACCATTACTAGCAAACCCACCCGGGGTCTCTTGGTAGTTGCCATTAGTGCCGGTTGGCTCGGGCTGAGAGACGGGAACTGGTGTGACAATGTCCGTCAAGGTGCGATCGTGTGATACATCCGGAGTGAGCGCAGGTCCTTCTTCCGTCATAGACGTTCCTGGGCGATCCAAAGGTGTTCCAGGAGGTGATTCGGGTATTTGCATGTCTCTCGAGGAATCGCTTCTCTTGAAGGGCGCGAAGGGACTGAAGTGCTTCTTCTCTGCCTTTCTGTCGTATGATCCGCCTGACGGTCCGACGACACTCTTTCGCCTGTTCATGACAGTGCCGAGTCGTCTCAGGCCCCCCAAGGGAGTCTGCCTGGGCTGGGCATCCGGAGCTGTGGATAGAAGGTCAGATTTTATGCTGTCAAATTTTGAAGGTTCGGAGCTTACCTGGGGGAGTTTGGACAGTGGTGGCCCTCTCGGATCTTTCCGATCGTTGGCTAGCCGCATCGTCCTGGATGTGTGGTGGAGGTGCAAGTGGTGCCGCGGTTGGGGCCGTTTGCATAGGCGGAGTCGTAACAGGAAGAGTTTCAACCTGAGATGTCTGTCTCCGAGAAGGCACAGGCGAAATGGGAGCACGGGTGCCAGTCATCTTTGCTGCAAAGGTCTTGATCTCATCGGCGGTCTCCACATTAAGGAGAACGTTCAGGCAGCTCTCTGCAGCTTGCCGGCCGCGCTCGACTTGGTCTACCTCGTGTGTCTCAAGCTGGGTGAGCACATCCCGAAGGTGGTTAAGCCGGCCCTCATCAACCGCTTGAAGCTGCTCGAAGACGAATGGGGCACGCGATTCCCATTGCTGGTTGATCTCCTCTGCAGCGGCGATCGCACTGGCCAGCTTGTCGGCGCCTTTCGCACCCTTGCCCTTAGCCTTCTCGACCTTCTTCTGAGCTTCTTCAACACTCTTAGCTAGTCCCGCCATGTTACTCTGAATTCCAGACATTTGCTGCATATCGCGATTCTTGTTGCTGTATTCCCTTAGCGGCCGCTCCACGTCCTCTTCGATCTTGTTCGCAAGAGTCTCGTGGGATACAGCCACCGCCTCGGTGGAATTGAGAATGCGCTGCCAGGGGATTTGGAAGATACTGTTTCTCTATCAGTTTGTTGCCCATTGGCAGTGAATCGGAGCTCACGGCTCTCGGGCTCATTCGACTTACCCGAGCGCGGCACCATTCTCGAGTTGCGGGCGATGCGCCAGCTTTCGCAAGCTCTGGGCATAAGACTCTTCAAGACGACGACGCTCCTACCACCGAGTCAATTCTATTTCTGCGTATTCAATTCGACATCAGGTGTCGAGAGAGTCACGACGGACGGTCGTACCTGGAGGAAATCCGCGATATCCGAATGGATCTTGTTGATGACTCGAATGCGGTCGCTCAGGACGGTTGTAGCTTGTCCAGGGTAAAGAGTGGCCTAACAATGTGAAAGAGCCCCACGATCAGTATGCGGAAGTCCACGGGGGAAGATCAGAGAGCATCATACCAGCAGCGCCGGGTATTCCTGCCGTGAGAGGTCCATTGTTTCAAGTTGACCGAATCACCAAGCGCACCAAGCGCATAATCCGAGAGAATATAACAACCGAGAAAGAGTAAGGTCAAGGCCGGGAAAGGTAGACCAAGACCAATGAATGGAATCCGGGGGTTGCAACGATCGCTGCCCTCGGCGATGACGATGTGCCCCAGTGGTCACGTGATATGATCCACCCGTCAGTTTCCACTGGGTTTCTTCGGTGCTTTAGTTCTTGAGAGGTGTCATCATGGATTGGAGGAATGGTCTAGGCTTTACTGATCGACTCAGGGTCATCCAGTCTCTGTGGGTAGAGCACTCGTTCTGTAGACTAAAACTGATCTGATCCGATCTCCTAGCACCACGGCCTACCAACAAGCTTCTTCTGCCTCTGCCTTCACGGAGGCACAAACACAAGCTAGGCGATATGAAACCGAGGCCTACGAAAATGCCGTTTCAAAGGTCCGTTGTTCAATTTTGCAAGTCCGGGGCTGCACAAACTCATCCCGTTTAGGAAGAGTATGACGGCATTTGTCAACAGGCAATCGATGCTGCCGAGACTACATCTGTAGCACCAGTGACCAGCACTGATGAACTTCAAGATGCACCTCAGGAGTCAGAGGCATCTGACGTCCCAGTAGGTGAAAAGTTCGGCCAGTATTCATCTTGTTTCCATCACTTTGACGGGCTGCATTCCACGATATATAAAGCGAAAGCCGCAGACGGTACCGTCCGCGCTGTAAAAATCACCATTCCGCATCTCATGACTGCTCCTCATGATGCTCAACGAGAGGCCAGACTACTTCGTGAAGCCCATGGTCCGCATACGGTTTCGCTGATCGAAACCTTCAGATTGGACGGAGGGAGACTGGTGCTGGTGTTCCCCTTCCTGCGGTATGACCTGGAACATCTGTTTCGACGGGACATGGTGACCGCTACTCAGACACGGTCAATATTGCGTGATTTATTCCAAGCACTTGCCCATATTCACAAAACCGGGATCATTCATCGGGACATCAAACCATCTAATATCTTGATGGACTCCCCCGATGGACCCGCGTACCTGGCAGACTTTGGCATATCCTGGAAAGAAGGAGACCCAGGATCGGAGCCATCTCACCAGAAGATCACGGACGTCGGAACCACCTGCTACCGACCTCCAGAGATCCTATTCGGCGACAAGAGCTATGGAACCGCTCTGGATCTCTGGGCCGCAGGATGTGTGGTGGCGGAAGCGATTGGGGTGGGACATCGGGCCCTCTTCGATTCCGGGCCCGTGGGTAGCGATCTATCGCTCATCGTGTCTATATTCAAAACACTGGGAACCCCGAACGAACAGAAATGGCCGGTAAGTGACGATATACAACGCCCCGACCAAAGGCCAATGCACCGGAATCACGAGATAACCCGTCCATAGGGAGCGCAGGGACTGCCCGACTGGGGTAAAGTGCAATTCTACGATTTCCCAGCGCAGGTCTGGGACGACATTCTACCGGGGGCCTCCTCCAATGGACGTGATCTTGCCCGCCAGTTGCTCTGCTACGAGAGTAGCGAGAGACTCACGGCCGAGGAGGTAAGTTCCTAGCGAGTGGCGGGTGTGTGGCGCGTGCAAGACGTTGAAAACTAATTTCCCACAGGCACTCGGACACCCGTATTTCTCCACATGTTAATATCAACAAGTATCCTGGGATTCGACCCATTGAGCCTCCCAATTAATACAGATAATATGCAAAAGCCCACATGGAGACGGGCTGTTACAGTAAACAGTAGACCAAGTGCCGATCGGACTTCGCTAGGAACCACGATCTAGACAACATGACTAGCGGGGGACCCAAAATGAGCCCGCGCCTGAACCTGAAAAGATCTTCGGGTGCGCCGGAAATTGCGAATAGACATATCAGGCAATGAGAATCGGGAACACGGTTTCATCCCGTGCCCCGCGTCGAAGCGAAGGAAAGTCTACCACGTTTGGGGCCACGCGCGGCGCTAGTCATTTAGTGAAGGGACCGAGGGTCTCCATTATCATCAAGGGTATATTGCTAGTGTTTTTATTTTTTATTTTTTATTTTTTTCTAGGGATGAATTCATATCAGGCTGGGGAAGTGAAACCGTCCAGGCTCCAAGGAACCCAAAAAGCAGACCGATTCTCAAACCCTCAGGGGGAATCGAGTCCCTTGGGTGAGTCCCAGCTCGTATTTGGGGTTCCTTTCGTAACTTACGAGACCCCTTGGAAACCAGGCACGGTATACTATGGGCCAATCGTGACATTCATCACGCTCAGATCCTCATCGAATCCGGTTAGCGTAGGGTAGCTCGGTAATTCCATACCACATCCATGTGGATCAAGGGTTTAATGGATGCAATCATTTCCCTGAGATCGTAGTTCTTCACGTTGAGCGCTGGTCGGTCTCTCTTTTCCCTTTTCACACTTTACGGCCTGGCAGTCGTTGTCCTTTCGTTTCCCTGATCTGGTTATCGGCGGTGCTCGATCTCCAATCGTCCATTCTTTCTATCTACATTCCTCGCGACCAACGACGCGGTCCTCGGAAGCCACTCGCGTTGGAATTCTGGCCTGGGCCCGGAATTCTACTCTCTTTAGGAGCGATAATCGCTCATCTATAACTCCCTTCTGTGTTCGACCAGACCTCTGAAGCATCACTTTCGATATGGTGCACGGGCATGCCCACGTTCACGAGCACCGCCCTCATGAAATTGAGAGGCGGGGCTTCCTGGACGAAAGATCCAACCCCTTTGAGGACGCCTACGATTCCTTGTCCAAGACCTGGGAAGACGCGTTTGGTGGCGGCGATGCTACTACCTCTGCCAAAGAAGACACCGCTACTACGACTGCTGCGCATATGGGTGTAGGTCCCGCAGTGGCAGCGACCAGAACGACCTCGTCCGAGACTACGGAGAAGACAACCGAGGCGGCCGCTACAACGACCAAGGATACTGAGAGGCATGAAGCTACCACTACCAGCGAAAAGGAGACCCCCACGGCCGTGACGCATGCCACGCAAACCAAGGACACTAGCACCGAGACTACCAAGGAGTCCACAAAGACTACAGCAGAGGCTACTGCCTCAACGTCTTCTGAGGACAGAAAGCCAGCCACCAAGATCGAACCAACGTCAACCACAAACACAAACACAAACGTCAGCTTTGTGACCTCGGTGACTTCTACGGCTGATTCTACTAAAGACGGTAATGTCCTGGTTGTGACCCACACTGCCTCAGCCACCAACTCGGCTGCATCAGCTTCATCTACTTCTCTTAACACGAGCTCCGAGGGCATGTCCTCCGGTGCCAAGGCAGGTGTTGCCATTGGTGTCATTCTCGGTGTCGGTGTGATTGCTGCTCTGATCTTCTTCTTGGTCCGCAAGAAGAAGCGCGCTCAGTCCTTGAAGGAGGAAGAGGAGAACGAGAAAGTAGCGTTCACTCTCCCGCCACCTCCCCCGGTCTCGAAGCAAATGGGTTCTTCAGCTGCTCCTCGACTTAATGTTCGCCCGATTACTCAGTTCGCGCCTGACCTGAGCGGCAATGGCGGTTTTAACCCCGTCTCTGCTGCTGGGGTCGCTGCTGGTGCCGGCGTTGGAGCTGGTGCTGCTAATGCTGCTTCTCGCAATCTTACTGGGAACTCGCCGCCTTCTACCCCTCCCAAGTCTGCTGCTGGCTCTAATCCGTTCAATGACCCCGTCAATCCCTTCAGCAGCAGTAACATTGTCGCTGGACACGCGCCTGGTGTTGGAGAAACCGCCGCAGGAGCTGCCGCTATGGGAGCTGTTGCTGGGGCCGCTGTGGCCCATGAACGTGCTCATTCCCCGCCTGGATCTTCCCCGAGCCCCGCCAGCCACGATGGCGAGTCAGTTTCATCTGCAACATTCGCTGCTGATGGTGCGGCTGGTATGAGTGCCGTTGCTGGTGCCGCTGCTGGCACAAGCCCTGATAATGTTCACCGCGTGCAAATGGATTTCAACCCCTCGATGGAAGATGAATTGGGTCTCCGTACTGGTGCGCTGGTTCGGATGCTCCATGAATACGATGACGGATGGGTAAGTGATTCTAGAATAACCATGAAGAAAGCAAGGACATTTATTGATTTTTCTTCCAGGCTCTCTGTACCCGCCTTGATCGATCTCAGCAAGGTGTTGCTCCACGTTCTTGCCTTTCTGCGCGCCCTGTGAAGCCTCGCTCGCGTCCTCCTCCTGGAATGCGCGGTCCCCCAGTCATGGTCCCCAACGGCCGTATCCCCTCGGGTCCCCCGCCTGGTCGTTTCTACCCCGGTGACGCACGGCCAAGATCCCCCGCTGGCCCTGGATATGGCCCCGGTCCTGGATATGGCGGTCCGCCGCCTCCTCGCCCATACCCTCAGAGCCGCTCTGCATCACCCGTTCAGTTCCCCATGCCTGGTCCAATGGGTCCTTCAGTCCGTCCAGTTCAACGTTCAATGTCACCCGGCCCCAGTATTCGACCAGTCCCTCGGTCCATGAGCCCCGGTCCTTACGGACCTCCTGGCATGCAGCGTCAACCCGTGATGCCAATAAACCAGCGACAGCGCAGTAATAGCGCTGGCAACTTCCCTCCTCCAAACGTCGGCTCTGCTCCACCCCAGTCCCCCAGCCCTCTCGCCGTAGCCGAGCCTGCAGCTCCAGCTCCCACCGCCGAACTACCCGCTATTCCCAGTTCGCCCACATCCCCCGGATCGCAGGTTAATAGGAAACCTCTTCCTTCGCAGAACTTCTAATCTGCAACCAAATATATGAAGATACCCCTATCCGAGTCTACGAGCCCCCGCAGAATGAGACAGCCGCTTGCGCCTTGTCAATATCCCCCTGGAGAGAAATGAGCCTGCCTCGTACGACTCGACTCAATCTCTACGTCCGTGACGAACGAATTCCCCATTTTCCATTTTCCCAAATATACCGTGTTCGGAGTGTTTATGCCCCCTGTACCACCCCTTCCCCTGCGTATGCGTCTTCCCTTCTCAACTGGCGACTGCTCGGCGAAGCTATTGCTTTAGGCTTATGCATTTTTACATTGCTTCAAGATTTCCACGCATTTGATCTCACAGATGGATGTTCGCGAATGTCACGAGGTGGATTTGTTGGAATACCCTGGATCTTATATTACTTTAGGTACCGCGGGATCTGTTAGATATCGAAATATACTCTTATGCTACTTGTAAACAGCCTGCTTTTGGATTTTCCTCCAGTGATGAATAGAGTAGAGTGAAAGAGAATCATAAATTGTCCGAAATGCGCGAAATTCATGAGTATGTCTATCGTGCACAAATCCACGCTTTTGATGCAAATTGCTCTATAAGATCCCCATCTCAATTTAGAGATGAGGCACACGCCCGCTGGCAAGAAGGAGATTCACAATACTCAGAATCCCCTCGCCTAGAATCAGACCCGATGCCAAGACGACAATAGTCGAAGAAGCGGCGTCTGCTTTCTCACGTTCCTGGGCTGACGAAGAGCCCTCCTGCCCACTTTGCACCTCTGCCGAAGCACCGGGATCAACTCCATTGATACCCTCGGCAGACACAGGCCGAGCAGGAGTAGCGTGCTTTCGAGCCCACCACCAAGCAATGACACCACCAATAGCCCTCGCCAGAGTGAAAGAGGGGACATTGAAAATGCCAACCGCCACAGCAATACCACCAGGGATCCAGTCCCTCCAAGCCGGCGGTTTACCATTCTGCGCAAACGCAGGAGACGCAGCCGCAATGCGGACGCCTGTAAGAACCATCCAGATAAGGCCTGCGATGAAAGACGCCTGCCAAGCCATGTCAGGCAGGCCTTGACCAGTGACCAGGCGCGCGGTAAAGATCCAAACATATGCCGTCGGCGTCTGGAACATGTCTCCAGGAATTTCGTAGACGTTGACGTACATCTTGTAAACAGCTGTAGATAGCACAGCGCCGAAAACACTACCGATCATTTGGCCGTAGAACTGGGCTTTAGGGCTTGCCCCGAGGAGGTGGCCTGTCTTTAGGTCCTGCATCATATCACCTGCTTGCAGTGCACCAGACTCGGAGACAGCCCCTGCGAGCAAATTCGTGACCAGTGCTGTTCGTCGGGAGAAGTGAGAAGCTGGTGTGGCGAGGGAGAAGAGTAGTTGGGTGAGCTTGCTGATTCCAGATACTGGGTTCAGATCTGTTTCGCCTAGGGCGCGCACGCCCATGATGGATAGAAGGACTGCGATGACAGTCGCGAGACTTGATAAGGCTGGGGATATGATGTCGCCGAAAACATAATGCATGCAGATGACGTTCAAGATTAGGGTTAACGGGAGGAGAATCACCACTGTGCGGGTTGAGATAAGCTGTGACGGAGGCGCATCCTCGTCTTCTTCAACAATCGTGGCGGGAGCCGCGTTATCAGACAAAGGATTGCCATTGGAGTCCAATGAGGAATAATTGATGTAAGAGTGCTGGTGGGAACTGGAAGACTGCAACCGCAATGCAATCCATCGACCGGCACGAGTTGATCTGAACCAAGCCATCCATGTCGGAGCGCGGTTTACCAGGGGCTTGACCACGAGCCAGCCGAGGCTGACGAGGGAGTCGGCAAGCATGATTGCTAAAGAGATCCACACAATCCATGCTTTACTACCGTCCTCCCAGCTGTCCACGGGTCCTGGCGCCCACCCGCGAGCCTTGGCCAGCGGAGAAAGAATACCCCATCCTAATACCGCGCCGAAAAGCATATGCATACATGTTGATGGGCCCATGATGATACCCTGACCAATGTATGCAGGCGATGGATTAAGGGTCCATAGCCAATTAGAGGCGAGACCCATGCCGAACAGAGGAATGTCGCGGACCAAAGGGACGAAGTATGAGAAGAGTGTCTATATCAGAGTTAGTTCAACTGCCAACAACCAAATAGAGAGATGTACTCACGTAAACACCAGACACTACGAAAGCACCAACTAAGAGGCGCATCTTCGACCTCCAATCCTTTTGATGGGCGGCTTGATCTTCAGTATCGACGTCTTTCATCAACAGACCTTGCTCCTCTTCTCGCTGGCGAGTAGTTTCGCTAGGCCCCTCCGCTTCAACAATGCGATCCTGAGGCTCGAGCGGTGTCTTCTCATCCTTGCCAGCTCCATGTAAGACCTTGAGCATCAACGCCGAAGCAGTACCACTCGGAAACTTCAATTTCTCCCGCACGATGACTTCTTTCCGGAGTGGGACGGCAAAAACCACGCCAAACAAGCAGACGCCCAAGCTCCAAACAACCAATTTCCAAAAACCCAGCTTGAGAGGTCCACCCTCACCTTCTCCACCGTCCCCATTCGGCCCATCCTCGCCATCTTTCAATAAGAACTCTAAAGCAGGAATCACACCCACAAACCCACACCCAAGAGGCATAGTCCCCACAGCTCCAGCAACAGTCTGAATCAAGACATTCTCAATCGGCGTAAACGGGAACGATAGATGGTTCGCCAGGACCTTGAAGACCGAAAACCCGATCAAAGCCGACGGCATAGCCATAGTACTAATCCATCCCGTCTGCAGTCCGAAATATGTATTGGAGAAGGTTATCAAGGCGCCGATTAACAAGCCGACGATGAGAGAGCGGGGCGTGAAGCTCTGTGCGGAGGTGGTTGGTCGCGCTGCGGAGACCGGATCGGAGTGGGAGCGCGATGATGGCCGGCTCCCTGTGTCGATCTCGGGTTCAGAGGCATCGCGTGCCATGCTGAGAGACTGGTAGTTCATCGGACCAGTGTTTTGGTCATGGAGAGTTGCTGAAAGTGAATGCCCGGACTGATAACCCCGGATGATTAATGCCGAGTCACTGATAAGGTCGCCTCATGTGACCCGCTTTGCCTCTTATCGGCGCTAAATCTATAGAGATCTTACTGGGGCCAAATTAAGCTATTGGAGGGTATAAAGGGTTGGTAGAATAGCTAGATGATCCCAATGGGCCTTTTACATTGCTACTCAAAAGGCTCAATTGGTATGACAAAATGATCGAACGTCCAGTGCCCCCTGTGACCATTACTGACACAGATATCAGTCTCCCAGGGACCTTTGGCACGAGGGAGTCTTTTTGGACTATGATTTTTCTATGTAAAATGTAGTCTCCAAACTCTACGCCCGAATCGAGGTAGGATGCTGACAGGGGAGATACGACTGGCAGCCCTACAGTTCTGATCTAGGCTAGGCCTAGTGTTGCCAAGGCTGGAGAAAAGAAACCTGTAGGTATAACCCGGCTTGGGTAGGGTAATTTCCTCAGCCCCAAACACCATAAATTGTCCCTATTCTGTTCCAATTTTTCCTTTCTCTCTTTCTTCTTTATCTCCATTCCTTCTCTCACACGCTCTTTCCATTTCACTTTCCTTACTACGCCCAGGCAGCATGGCCACAGCCACCGAGCTTAGATCTCGGAAAAGATCTGACAATGACAGTGTCAACGACTTCGCCAAAGAACACATCACCGGCGGATGGCGGCCTGGCATGGATCCTAAGGTCGACTACTCGGGTCACTTCGAGTTCGGCGGCTCGCTTGGATGTCTCGCTCTCATGACAGGCTTCCCTACATTGATGTACTACATGTGGATTGGCGCCACTTACTACGATGGGAAACTGCCTCTTCCTGAAGATGGACAATCTTTAATGAAATTCGGAAAGCATTTATGCCATCTTGTCTATGAAGGTGCCTTTCCGCACTTTAGGGCTTGGCGTATCTATTGGAGCTACATCATCTTCGAAGCTGCATGCTACGTTCTGATGCCCGGTTTTACATGCTATGGCAAACCGCTCTTTCACCTGGATGGAAAGCAGTTGAAGTACCACTGCTCGGCATACACTAGCTTCTATCTCACTATTCTGGTCATGACTGTCCTGCATGGAACTGGGCTATTCCCCATCTACACTTTCCTTGATGAGTTTGGGCCAATTCTTTCCGTTGCAATTATCTCTGGCTTTCTCGTCAGCCTTGTGACTTATGTTTCTGCTTTTGCTCGGGGCGCTCAACATCGTGTCACTGGCTATCCGATTTATGATTTCTTCATGGGTGCCGAGTTGAATCCTCGCATATTTGGAACCTTGGACTTGAAGATGTTCTACGAAGTCCGAATCCCTTGGTTCATCTTGTTCGGTCTGAGCTGTGCTGCTGCTGCTCGCCAGTATGAACGTTACGGCTACGTCTCTGGCGAAGTTCTGTTTTTGGTCATGGCGCACTTCACCTACGCTAATGCCTGTGCCAAGGCAGAGCACCTTATCACGACGACCTGGGACATGTATCAAGAGAAGCTTGGATTCATGCTGACTTTTTGGAACATCGCTGGTGTCCCGCTGTCTTATTGTCACTGCACACTCTACCTCGCGAACCATGATCCGTCCACCTATGCTTGGAACAAGTATGCCTTGACCTTACTCTTCGTCTCATATCTGTTCGTCTACTATATCTGGGATATTGCCAACAGCCAGAAGAATTCCTTCAAAATGATGGAGCGAGGAACCTGGTCCAAGAGAAAGACTTTCCCTCAACTCCCCTGGCAAGAGGTTCACAACCCCAAGACCATTGTCAGCAAGAACGGGGACGCTATCCTGGCTGATGGAGTCTATGGTCTCGCCCGCAAGCTGCACTACACTTGTGATATGTTCTTCGCTATCTCCTGGGGCCTGATTACTGGCTTCAACAGCCCTTTCCCTTGGTTCTATCCGGTCTTCTTCTGTATCATGATCGCCCACCGGGCCATGAGAGATATCAACAAGTGCCGACACAAGTATGGGGAGGCGTGGGAGGAGTACGAGAAGCAGGTCCCATACCTTTTCATTCCGTATGTCATCTAGGCTATGGCGGGAAGTCGTTGAGAAAGCTGTACATTAGGAATGTTAACATTCCCGGCAATTATTATCTAGTCATCATGGCTCAAATGAAGCTCGAAAGATCCCAAATAGAAACATACTGCTTGAGAGATAATTCAGGCGCCAGCCTCCGAATCCCTCATTTTCAAGACGGAAACTAATTGGGAAAATTCCTTTCACCTCCCGAGATCTTTGTTTCTCCATATCCCCTTATTTTCTCCAAAGACCGGGCTTAGATTTTATTCGGTGGGCGTGTAATGGCAATGGAGGAACCGGAGGCACTGGAGCTCTTGACCTGCTCTTCATGTGAGACGCTTAAAATTGAATTCAGAAGAAAAATTCGAGCCAAGAAAGCTCATATTGTCTCTCGTATTGTTTAAACAAAACATAGCACAGAATCAGGCGTGCTGGGGGAATCACAGAACGAACAGAAGGATACACATGAAAATAGTACAGGATAGGATTAGACAACAAGACCTTCTCACATCCTTGCCGCCCGAGTAGTCTTGTCATAGAAGTCCAAGGTCATAGCTGCCAAGAAGCAGGGAATGTCCTTTCTCTCCTCAACCCAAAACTTGATCAGGTGCTTAATCTCCAGAGCGAAGAGACTGTTCGGTCCACCAGAGATCTTCATTGTGCCATTCTCACCGTCGAACACGATTGAGTTCTCCCCGCCGTCGCCCATACTACCCGGGCCACGGGAATCAGAGGCACCGCTATCGCCATGACGGTAGGCGGAGGAAAGGTGAAACATCGATGTGACGCGGACGCGGCCGTTGGGAAGAAAGTCAAGCTTATAGCCGAGCAAGGAAGCGACGGCTTCGCGGAACTCGGAGGATTTGGCGGTCCAGATTTCCTTGAGTCGGCGCATGCGCTTCTCTTTGTCAGCGACAATGGCTTCCATATCCTGCATCTCAAGCTTGAGGCTTTCGAGTGTACTAATAGGGACGACCTTAACGCCCGTATGTTCACTCCGCAGCTGAGCCAGAAGGTCTCTGTTCTCGGACTGGAGCGTTTTCAAAGTCGACATCTTAATCTTTTCCGCTTCAGCTGTCGGGTTGTCGCGTAGCTCGAGAATGCGGGTGCGAGATTTGGACTTCAAGGACTTGATCTGAGACTTGGCAGCATCGAGCTCCTTGCGGGCAAGGGTTGTTGATTGCTCCGATTTAGACAGCGCTTCCTGCAGTTTACGGTTCTTTCGAGAAAGGACTGCCAGTCGCTCGTTCTCGTCATCGCTTTCGGCTGGTGATAGAGGACGCTTAGTTCCTCGAGCCTCGGCCTGAGCTTCCTCTAATTGTGGTGCCTCTCGCCTGGACAGCTCTTCGTGGGTTTGTTGTAGTTCCACACGATACTCATCCACGATCTTCTCGAGCTGCGCGATTTGAGCCGACTTCTGCTCGTCAAATGTGCCCTGGTCGGTGTTCATTGTCTCTTCTTCGGCGTCGAAAGTTTTCAGCTGAGCGCGCAAGTACTCAACCTCTTTGACTGCCAAGGCACGCTGGCGCTCTAGTCGCGAGCGAAGACGGGCCTCTACGCCTGCCGGTGCTCCTACCGAACCACTAGCTGCGCGAAGCTTCTCCAGTTCTTGACCAAGTTGCTTCTTCTCATTCTCAAGAACCTTGAGCGCCTCATCCTTCTCCAGGAACTGCGCGTCAACGTTTCCGAGCCTGTCGACTAGAGAGGCCTTTTCTATCCGCTCCTGGACCAATGCCTTCACCACTGCCTCCGGAGAATCGAACTCTGCGGGTTGGTCGTTATCCTGGAGCAGACTATTCCAAGATTGACGTTCGTCCTCGAGCATCTGCTTTTGGAATTGCAAAGTGCCAAGTTCTCCCTCAAGTCCCTTCATCAGCTGCAGCTGGTTCTCGAGAGATCTCTTTTGCTCCTCGACCACCTCAACATTCTTCTGAACTTTCCGGAAGTGTCGCAATTCCGCATTTTGGTCTCGGTTTGTCGACTCAAGCTCCCGAATATGGTTGACCTGATCCGAAAGCTCCCGCTTCAGGATTACCAATTCTTCAGCACCGCTCCCTTCTGCCTTCAGACGAATATTCTCAGACTCCAGTTCGGCGACCTCGGCCTCGCGTTCAGATAATTTCTCCTGCGTTGTTTGCTGTGAGCTGCGGGCCGCCTGGAGATCAATTTGAAGCTCCTCAATGGTCTTCTGTAGCGATGCTCGGACCGTCTCCAGCTCGTTAATTTGGTACTTGAACTGGCGCTCCTGGTCGGATAAATTGGCTTCAACGTCGCTGAACTCCTCTTGGATATTCTGCTTCTCGTCCTGCAGGCTTCTGATCTTCCGCTCCAGGCCCGTTTTCTCATCAAGAGCTTGGTCTTGCGCTTCTTTTAGCTCTTTGGCCAAAGAATCGCTCTTGTGGGTCGCGCGTTGGCTGGCAGCTTCGGCAGCCTAACAAGGAGAAAGTTAGCTTAGATTCACCGCGATTTGATCATGAATGCACCAACCTGCGCCTTTCGGAAATCCGCATCTGCTCTCAGCTGCAGGTCTCGTGTCTCTTTCTCGTGTCGAAGAGCCTCCAGTTCTCGCTCTTGCTTGATATTTTCCAATTCATATCTAAGCGTGCTCACTTGGACTCGTAGCTCGTCTTTCTCGGCATCTGAAGCTTTTGTTAGTATGTCGTGGGTCGTCAATACCGTTGAGAGGGAAGGGTAAGTCTGACCATGCACAGGCTGGCGGGATGAAGGCTGAGTTTGAGTTGATCGAATTGAGTGTCGCATAGCTTTCTGTGCACTGGCAGGAGTGGAAGGCGATGCAAAGCCAGCAATCAAGTGCGACGCCGGACGCGTCGACTGGCTGTTGTCCATGCTGGCGATGGGGTTAGTATCTGCATTTAGAGGAAAGCAAGTAAAGAGACTCACCCGAGTTTGTTCTCGAGGAAGCTATCAGGAGTTCCTCCCAACCAGCGACAAAGAAAACAACAACGAACGTAACCTTTGGGAAGTCCAAGGCGGAGATGGGAGTTTGTACAAACACATCGGGAGCCTTGACCGCCTTCCTACATGGACATAGCCCCATAGCTACCGGATCGGGACTAGCGTACATAGCGCCGAAATTTTATTGAAAGTCGATTATTGTCTTCTCTCTGCACACCTTTTTAAACATCCCCCCCATTTCCCCCCTCTTACGATTCCGACATAATGGGCAAGGACAAGGTCGAGAAGAAGGAGAAGCGCGCTGAGAAGAAGGAGAAGCGCGCCGAGAAGGACGGTGTTCACAAGGCCGGCAAGAAGGAAAAGAAGGAAAAGAAGGACAAGACCAGTCTCGTCGATGCAGTAGAGAAGGAGATCGCCTCCCAAGTCCAGGAGGACCTCGAGCAGGCTGCCTCAGTTGTTGACGACGCCATGGTTATCGACGCCGAGCGCCCCATTGGTGCCCTCGTGCCCTTCGCCAACCCGTTGGTCGAGGACAAGCAGGCCAAGAAGGTCCTGAAGAGCGTGAAGAAGGGTCAGTCATTCAACAAACACCTCAACCTCCCTTTTTTTTTCACGTGTTACACTCCGGTTGTCCTTCAATTGGAGTTAATTGCACAGTCTGCGCAACTTTTTTTTTTTTTTTTTACACGGCTGCGCAAACTCTTTTTTTACCTTTGTCTCGAATATCTCTCGAATCACTGTACTAACCACTCCACTTATAGCTGCCGTCAACAAGTCCCTCAAGCGCGGTGTCAAGGAGGTCGTCAAGGCTCTCCGCAAGTCGCCCATCCCCGCCGCCAACGCTGCCATCGATATCCCCAACGGCATTGTCATTCTCGCCGCCGACATCTCCCCCATGGATGTCATCTCTCACATTCCCGTCCTGTGCGAGGACCACGGCATTCCCTACGTCTTCGTTACCTCCCGCGCTGAGCTCGGTGCCTCCGCCGCCACCAAGCGTCCTACCAGTGTCGCTATGGTTGTCCCCAAGTCCGCCAACAAGAAGAAGTCCGAGGGTGACGATGAGGAGTTCACCAAGGTGTACGAGGAGCTGGCCAAGCTTGTGCAGAAGGAGGCCAAGGGCATCACCGTCTAAGGTGTTGCCATGTTCGTCCTTTTTGCTTCTTTCCCACGTTCCTGGTTGCTGTGGGTTTCTCGTATTGTACAGGTTTTTGTTCCAGTCTGATAGGACCGTGCATGTCTTTGGGGGTCCGGCCTATGGGTATTTATTTCTTTTCCATATTTTGCTCTGCAGTTTCGGCGTTTTTATCAACGGTGTATGAAAAAGGCAGGAAGAGTTCCAACGAGAAATCACCCCACAATGATCCAATTCGTACGAAGTAATCTACCTAGTAATGCGTGTGGCTTTCAAGTGGGCCAGCGACTGCAATTGCAGGCGCATGGAAATATCCATCTGCCTCGAGGTGGGCACTAAGCCACGGCTCACTTCGTGCGATGACTAAGTAGATGCGAATGACCTCTTAGTCAAACTTTGCAAGATCAACGATGGGTTACACAGCTTTCCGTATCTTCAGGCCCACGTCCATTCAGAGGATTGAGCACCATTGGTAGTTTCACGGCGAAACTGAGCAAAGATTGAAAGGGACGAGGTTGCCCAGAGTCCACCCGTAGCTGCAGATACAGTACCAGTTGCACAGAAAGCAATGGTCTGGATCGGTACGACAGGGGAAAAAACCTTAGGGACAAAGCGCAACTCTAGCCGATCAGCCTTGCATCAGACCGGCGCTATCAATGCAGTGGCGCTATCATTCCAGGGTGATCAGTCTGATCGTTCCCCTCGATTTCTTCAACAGGCGAACAAGGGATGCCTCTAAATACCGACCCTCTACCGACTGCCCTCGTAACCCAATCAGCAACTTATCTGACGTTATCCCACCAGGAACACGGGTCGTCTCCCTTGAAAGTCCCCTCAAAATCCTTTTGGTAGGTTGTACTTGGTATCTTGGACTTGGGACTTGGGCCCTTGCGGTTGCCCTACCTTAGAATGATATAAGATCGCTCTCACGCTGCTATGTTGCAACCAGACTTTCCCTAAGTTTTCTTTTCTTCCCATTAATTGTAGTACAATGCTCAGCTTCCACCCGCAGTACTGGTCGCTCATTGCGCTTCTGCTCGCTATTGTTCACCCTTCCGCATCCCACCCAATTCGCCCCCCCAAATGGATTAAGAAAGACCAATTCTCGGACGCAGCAGCGCGAGGAACATGGAAGGTCTTTGAGAATCATGGATACGATTATGAGCCTGCACTACCGCAGACTAAGTCTATAGAGGTCAGTACGTCATTTGTTTACATCACGGATCAGCAATTGACTATCTATAGACACTCTCTAATACCCATGACGAAAGCACAATTGAGCGAGGGCCTCCAGGACGCCTCTATAAACGCGATTCATCGTATGGGAAGTCAGTTGTTTCGGTCCTAGTGCCCGTGGCGCCAGACTTTTTACCACGCCCGCCACAGCCTCAACACCACCGCTACGATGCAAACGGCAAGCCTCAAGAACCATCTTCCGAAGTGAAAACCTATGCCAATAATAAGAATCACTATGGAGAAGTTATGAGCCATTCACAACCCCACGGCGAAAAACAGACAAGTCACACAACAGCATTCTCTTCTGCGACATTGAAATTGGCATCCGGCTATTCCATCTCGTTCTTCTCTTACCGAATCTCACTGCCTTTCTTGAAATTCGCACCTGCCAACTTCCCGCAATATCCACTTCCGGGAATATTTACAACAGTCATGGTCCTTCTTGCTATGGTATGGATTGCGATTTTCATGATCGGGCTGGTGGAACTGGGCAACTATCTATGGAAACGAAGGGCCGCGAGACAAGCCGAACGGGATGAATATATAAGGGAGTCATCATTTGATGAGCCGGAAGAATTGATTAAATTGCCGATGAGAGTTATGGTCATCCCTAGACCTGACGCGGATCATGATGAAGAGGCTGCTTTGCTGTCAATTGGATCCGAATCGGACTCTTCATCAGACTCTGAGAGGGATGACTATCGGTTTTGAACTACTCTTTTCATCCAACGCTTGTTGCTGGTAAATCCGGAGCCAAATCGGTCCTTTCATTGCAGACAAGCCTGCACATGTGGTGGGCAGTGTACAAAATGTCATTTACATCGCTTTTTCTTCTTCCGAACTGCCGTCCCGGCGTCACTTGTAGAATTGATCATGGGAGAAATATTTCTACCATAGATAGCTTGTGGTTTACCGTGGAGAGTGCAAATTACCCGATCGAGGGCCGCGATGCAACAAACGGGAAATAGGAAGATGGTATCATATATACAGAGTGGTAATGATTCACTATGCCGGTCGGTGTCACGTCCCCTATTGCCTATTACGTGGACCCCCGATAGTCACATGTATGTTACGAAAAGAAGATAAGGCATAATATTAACACGTATTTGTAATTGCGTGTCACTTGTGCATGAGCAACAATGCGACTCTACAGGGCCAATGAACAATTCGTATGAATTATACGTGTAGTCGCAGTATGGGACTAATTGTAACTATTGGCCTATCCTACCAAGCTCGACTTGGCGCTTAGGGTTTTCTGTCAATTTCATAGATATCAGTACCACCGACTCACAACATCCTTCCTACGCAAGGCATTTGGCATGAGTTTCACCATCTTTCCCGCTACGGACCGGCCGCTTACGTGCATGTTAATATAAGAGTGTTCAAAAGATTCTGGCCTTAATTTTCATAAAAATCTATAATACATAACCTCATTCCTTTTTCATGAACAAAAGAGGCGCTCGCTTGCTCAAATGATTATAATAGGATACTTTTGGAGCCCTTAAATACGCTGCTCATCAAGAGTCTGGAAGGGGTGCTGGTCCTCAACACCCTTCTGGCGGGCACGACCGGCATCAGGACCGCTCTCAGCATTAGTGCGCTGGAACTTGTTGATAGCAGCACGGGCAGGATCCTGGTCAGAGCCGATTTCGGTGGTGAAGCTAGCGTTCTTATCGTCGGAAGAGAAACCACCCTCGTGAATGTTACGGCCATCAGGCTTGGAGTGCTTGTAGCCGTCGGTAACGTCATTTATGTAAGAGGGAGCCTGGCCGGCGACATGGCTAGGACCGCTGCCGCTAGCAGTGGACTGCTGGCCAGCGTGCATACCCTTTTGCTCCTTCGAAGAAGTGGGGCCACCAACGTAGCCACTCTGGGAGAGATGGACACCTGGGAAGTTACCCTGACCACCGAGAGCCTCCGGGTACTTCTCCTGGCGCTCGCGATCGTCACGGAGGCCGCCAACAGGAGCAGAAGGAAGCTTAGTAGCGCTGGATGTGTCGGTGTTGTTCAAAGTAGACTTGCTGCCGGAAACACCAATGGGCTTGGCGCCACGGTTCTCTGAGAATGCACCGCCCTCGCGGACGGATTGAGCAGCGAGTGAGTCGCTAGCAACTGGACCAGCAGACTCCTCATTGGGCTGCTGGGAGGCAAGAGGATCGGTGGTGACCTTGGTGCTGCGGGCGCCGTGAGGAAGAGGAGTGCCTTGGAGATCCATGGTGGTTATTGTTGTGTGTAGAGGTTTAAGAAAAAGAATATGATAACTTTAGTGGAAGAAGGAAGACTTTCACGATTGGAAAATATCGTTTGAATGATTTTAAGAAATTATGAGCCGAGAAGGGAACTATATAGGATCGAGACAGGCGAAATATCAAACAGTACTGCAAACGATTGTGGTATCAAGAGGGGAGATATCATGGCAGGTGATGTCACACTTACGAAAACTTCCAGCAGTTTCAAGTCTAGAGTAACAAGATGGGCAAAGCAGTCACGTCAATCGCCCTTGGGCAATTGGATATTCGGTGGCGGAATGGAGACATCGAGACAAGGGACAGTGGAGTATCCCTGCTTCGCTGTTACCCTTCGTCCACTGCTTCAGAAGCATTGGGGTCGTCAGAGGGTCCAGTCCCACATTTTAATCTTGTCTTGATTCACCGAGTTCGTCGAGTCTCCAACGTTAGGTGCATAGGCAGGATGGCGAGATACAGTAAGTTTGATTTTGGTCAGACAGTGATGTCACACTTACGAAAGGTAGCGCAACAGATGCAAACACCCAATTTGTTTCTCTGGCAGATGGTAGTGTAGCATGTTCATTAGGGGAAAAGACCACGAATTATCTTCTAATATTCATTTGTTCGATTACTTCAGATTTCTCAATAAAATTGTAGAATTGAGGTGATCAAGGGTGATAGCAACTTTTGTTCGCCAATTTGATAGATCGACGGATCCAGACCGCGGTCAACTTTCCACCAATCAGAGTACGAGAACCGATCTGCACATCATTACCGGCAACGAAACCCAGCTAGTGAGCACACGACACTCATGAATCTACATTTATTGGTTTTACATGGCAATCAAATAGTGTGGTAGTATGGAATTATGGAATTGTATCATTCATTCGCTCATAAAATAATGACTATCATACAAAATGGATCCAGTCCATGGGAAAATGCATTTATCGAGTAGTAGCGTCAGAGGGCAGGTGATCGAGTCCCTCCTTGCCCTGACGGCCCACATTGCCGGAAGGAGCAGTGGGAACGTGCAATTCCTCGCCGTTCACGCGGGCACTGCTGGAAGCAGTGGCAGGGCCACGCAGAGCGCTGTCGCTGTCGCCGGAGATGGGCTCCGCGAGACGGCCGCTGCCGACATTAACGGTGCGCTGGTCGGCGGAGTTCCAGTCACTAGCCACAGGGGGTTCCTCGGGCAGAGGCAGATTGGTCCTGGTCTTCTCGATCTGTTCAGGCTTGTTGGTGTTCTGGTCGATAATGGACTACAGGATGGATTAGCGAGGGGAGTTTGAGATCGATTGAAGAAAAAGCAAACTCACCTTCATCTGAGAGACATCGGAATCGGCAGGGATCTGGCCACCGTGCTGCTGGGCAACGCGGGACTCCTCCTTGCGAAGGTCCTGGCTGGTGGTGTGGAAGGTGGAAGAAGACATGATAAGAGTGTCGAGGTATAGTTTTTTTGAGTATATGAAACACGGAGTTGATGTGTTACAATTGAATGTAGAATGTTTAATGAAAAACTCGATTGAGGAGGGGGTGCAAAGATTTCTTATACTCTTGGTGCAGTCCCAAAAACGTCACAGCCAGTTGGTCGATGCCCGGGGATGACGACATCGTACCATCCTGCCCCATGGATGTCCTTCTCCACTGCAACCAGGGACATACTTGAACGATGGTGTCAGCGAGATATTTTGATTCATTGTCTGTGCTCGAATTATGCAGATCTGTGGATTCGAATACTGGGGCCACACCGAACCTGGGTGGCGACGCATTATTCAAATGGCAGCTGGATTAGATATCCCTCAATATCAAGCTTGTTTGAGCAGTTCAAAATCTGAAACTTGATAGTGCCGATGTCATAGCCCCGCTGCAATCTGTGCATAATGGAGTCTTTCAACCTCAAGCAAGGTGTGTTACATCATCTACTGACGGGACCTACAACAAGTCTACTGTAATACCAGAAAGGCCATCGCCCGAGATCATGTTGTAAGATTGTCGTCAACGCCCATGCAATGAAAGTGGAAGAAAACACTATCTCGAGAGTAATGGGAATTGAATGTTCGTCTATGCCCAGCTTTACGAGCCTTCTTCTCACCGACCGAGCTTTTGTGGTCTAGCGGTATAGTCCTCATCGAGAATTTTGGCCTACTCAGGTCTCGATGACCAGTGCCATGTAAAGCCTTCGCCCAATGATGGCACATCCATCAGAGCTTCTTGTGGTACAAGACTATTAGCAATGGGGGCGAAATCTTCGGAGATGGTCAGCTCTCTAAATCGCTTCTCCTACCTGGCAATTTGTGCTAGGGTAAATGATCAGGCTGGGCAATCGCGTTCGAGCATCTAAACTTGACCAAAAAAAAAAAATTTCGTTTTCCCGCGGCTTTGAGATTATCCAAGTCTAGATCAATCACAGTCGATTCAGGTGCCCCGGTTCGAAACGCCCTTGTATCTTTCCTTTAATCTATTTTTTAACAGATTCATCGTACCCTACTAGCAATATCTTGACATTAACATGGTGAAGCCTTGGTGGCCTGGTCCCTGAATCGCTCTGTATACTCCGGCTGTGGCGCAAAGGCGGCCTTGACCGGCAAAAATTCTTATCGGACAGTCTCGATGCGCGTGAAGTTACGACATTGCGATTTCGCGACTGACTGCGTGAGTTTTTCTGTTTCCCCTGTCTTCTCCTAGCGCTTGCGACAATTCAGTATGCCTCGCGATCCACTCGTTGGCCTTGTGGGCAAGGTCAGTCTCTTCCCACCTTCTCACCCAACACTCCGCTGACCTGAGGGGCACAGCCGTCAAGTGGGAAATCCACGACATTGAACAGTCTGACCGATGCTTCTTCCAAAGTTGGTGAGTGAAAACGAATCTTCGATTTGTGCCAATCGTTAACCTTTGGTCTTACAGGAAATTTCCCGTATGTACAGCCCACTTGGGTATCCCCGCGTTATCAATGCACTAACACAATCCGCCAGTTTCACAACCATTGACCCCCAGCGAGCCATCGGATACCTTCAGATCGACTGCGCCTGTCAACGACACAATGTTTCGGATCGATGCCAACCGAACTATGGTGGCTGTCATGAGGGGCGCCGCTCCGTGCCCATCGAGTTACTAGATGTGGCGGGTCTCGTGCCCGGAGCGCACCAAGGTCGCGGACTAGGAAACAAGTTCTTGGATGACTTGCGACATGCCGATGCTTTGATTCATGTGGTGGATGTGAGCGGAACTACCGATGCTGAAGGGAAGGCTACCCGCGGCTACGATCCTTCTGTGGATATCGAGTGGTTGCGGTCGGAAATTGTGCGCTGGGTGCTTGGAAACTTGATGGAGAAGTGGTAAGTTGCAGGGAGGCAGACAGATGTGGACTGAGGGCAATGCTGAGGTTTGACATTAGGGGCTCCATCAAACGCAGACACATTGCGACAAGTCAGTGAACTTCTCTCCATACTTGAGATCGGCAACTAACGTCATTCGCAGAGGCAAACCCCGTCGACACACTACAGGGCCAATTTTCCGGATACGGAAGTACCTCAACGATCGTCGCGCGAGTGTTGGACAGGCTCGCTTTGAAAGAACATCTTGAAGAATGGTCAGATGATACCGTCAAGCTTATGGTCGAGACCTTCATCGACGAAAAATTCCCCACAGTGTTCGCCTTGAACAAGATCGATCATCCAGATGCGGATAAAGTGCGTCTATCCCGTTATAAAGACCTCGACTCTCCTAATCTCTCACAGAATATCAGTAAGATCGCCAAGATGCAAGACCCTCAGAGTATCGTGCTGTGCTCGGCCATATCAGAGGTCTTCCTCCGCCGATTAGCGAAGCAGGACTATATCAAATACGTCGAAGGCAGCGAATTCGTGGATACCAGGGAAGACCTGATTGAAATGGGTGATCCGGATGGAGGAGGCCTTAAGGAGATGGATGAGAAATTGAAAAGGTGAGTGTACCACCCGGGTGCTATTTGTTTCAACTAACCCGAGCCAAATAGCCGCGTCGAGAACTTAAAAGATATGGTGCTATATCGATTCGGATCCACTGGTGTGGTGCAGTGCCTGTCTCGAGCAGCAGAGCTTCTGGGTCTCGTTCCCGTCTTCCCAGTGAGGAACGTCGCAACATTCAGCTCAGGAAATGGCACCGCGGTGTTCCGCGACTGTGTTCTGGTCAAGAAGTGAGTGGTGTAGCATAGAGAATGAGAAACCCCTTGCTAACTTCCCGCAGAAACAGCACTGTTGGTGACGTAGCTCGGAAGGTGATGGGCGACGTGCCGATCAACTATATTGAAGGTATTGGCGGCACTCGCGTGTCGGAGGAAGATATTGTCGCAGTCGGGAAGCACGATGTAAGTTTTGTCTACCTTTTAAGGTCTTCGGATCCGAGACTAACATGACTGGAAGATCCTTTCATTCAAGGTCGGCCGGTAAAGCAGTTACATTTTATGTACAGTTTCGTGGAACGCCAATTGAAACGCCCTGACGATGCCATTCATCATATCCACTTTGTAGAATATAGCGTCATCTGCAAAAATCGACCGAATAGACAGGTCTTCGGAATCAATCACCCTTCTGCATGTTATAGTTGGATCAGCAATCTGGACCTAGAAGCCAAAGAGAAGAGTCTTACCCCCGCGCGCTCGTCATTCATCCCAATAATCGGTTCCGGGGCAGCAGGATGCTCTTGCTTAGCCTTCTGTGCGTGTTTGCGCCCGCCTCGCTCGGTAGTTCCCTGCTGTTTGGTGTCGTCGTTAAGACCTGAGCTTGCTTCTCGTTCCTTGAACGCGGAGGCTGCTGCATCAGATGGAGGGTCATTGGTATCACCCTGTTTAGCTCGCTTGACATTGGAATCTGTAGATCCTGATCCTTTCCACTCCTTGAGAAGTCCGTAAGTTCGACTGAATTGACGGGCTGTTGGCGGAGCAAGTATCCGGGTGCGCATATTTGATCGGACTGGCTGGGAGAGAAGCTTGTCGCGCAGCGTCAACCCAGACGTTGAAAGGCGAAAGTTCTTTAACATTGTGGCTTTAGGATGGCCGTGAGGATATTTCGAAGATTACCGATGCTCAGTTGATGAATCAATTGTAATTTTGTTCTTACTTATTGCTGGTTGGGGATACCCGCGATATGACGTCGTCATGCTGCAATTCACAGCGAAGCTACCCTGGAACTTTTGTCAGTGAATCAAGAATATCTTAAACCCTTTTGAAGTTAATAAATATGGGGAGACTATTTAGCACGAAACTCTAGTTATTCTCTGTGTGCTTGATTTGTTTGTGACTGAGCAAGAGTAATACAGTTGAAAAGTTAAATAACAAGTATTCCTATGGTCGCTGCATGATATCGTGCATTCATGATTCGACCAAAATACAAGTTTGTAACATACGTGTTTAACATACAAGAAGTAAGAAAAGTTCATAATACAGTCTCGAGTCCCATCCCAACAATGAATATGCTACTCTTAGCGAGTAGTGTCCGGGATAGTAGGCACATTCGCATCTGCCCCAGTCATAGTCTCGTCAGGTTGGCCCGCATCAGCCACATGTGCCGAAGTGCCCTGTCCCTGCCCCTTGTCAAACGAACCACGAATGATATTCGGATCGGCGGGGAACTGGAACTTGGAACTCTTCCACGGCTTGACCTTCATAAGATACATAGTATCGATCTCCTCCAAAGTTCGGCCCTGGCCCTCGATAACGGCGAAGTAGACCAAGCCTGCGGCTAAGAACAGACAGCCTGCAAAGACATATCCGTAGCGGAAGTCGATGGCGCCGACAATGAATGGAGTGAAGAAGGCTAGCAGAAAGTTCCAGAGCCAGTTGGACGCAGTGGCGAGGGACATACCGCGGGCACGGTACTGTGAAGGGAAGAGCTCGGCGATGATGGTCCATACCATTGGACCCCAGGTACTGGCGAAGCCGAGAATGAAGAGACAGGCAAAGACCACCATGGCCACACCGGCACTGTGTGTTTGTTCTGGATGGTCGCGGTTCAAGGAGAAGTGACCCACAGAGGCAAAGATCATGAAGCAGACGAACATCCACAAAGCACCGGCGATAAGAGACCGGCGACGACCGTAGTGCTCGATCAAGTAGAGACCAAGGAAGGTAGAGCCAAAGTTAACGCCGCCCAGAATCATCTGCGTAACGTAGCTGTTCTGGATACCAGCACCCTGGAACACTACGGTCCCGTAGTAGAAGAAGTAATTGGCACCTGTCAGCTGCTGCAGAGCTTGTAAGGTGACACCCACAGCAACTCGCTTCGCCATCGTCGGTGCTTTGAAGAAAGTCACCCAGCCGATTTTGCCGTTGCGGACTTCTTCCTCGTATTTCAACCTGATCTCTTCGAATTCAATTTTCAGGACACGGTGGTTTCGGGGGAGTCCGTAGATCTTGGAGAGGTTGTTCAGTGCTTGCTCCTCTTTGTTGTGGCGGTAATCGAAGCGAGGACTTTCGGGGAAGAAGATCATTCCCACGCCGAGGATGAGGGCCCAGAGGTAGGTGATTCCCATAGGGATACGCCAGGAACCAGTGTCGGTGCGTTTTTCGGTGCCGAAATTGATACAGTTCGCAACGAAGATGCCGAGGGTGATGAACAACTGGTACGTACTAAAATGAATGTTAGTATTTGCATTCAATGTGGAAATCCGGTACTGTGAACGTACCTAACCAAAGCTCCTCGAATGTGTCTTGGTCCTGATTCTGCCTGGTACATTGGCACAAGCAGGGACAACGCACCGACTCCAAGACCTGCTGTCCAACGGCCCATTGCAACTTGATACCATTTGTGGTCGGGGGACGAGATTTGCACAGTGACACCAGCCATGAGGATCCAGCACCAGCCACTGATAGACCACTTGCGTCCCACTCGATCAGCGATTGGGGCAGCAACTAGAGCTCCGATCAAGGTGCCGATGGAGAGCTATACGGTACTGAAATTAGAAAAGAAGAGATAAACAGGGTATAGTCACTTACCAGACCAACAATAAGACCCGAGCGCACATTGCTGAAATAGTAGGTCCCAGAAGAGTTCAGCTCACCAAATCGCATAAGGAAATCCTTCATCTCCAGGAACCCGGAAATCTGACCGGTGTCATAACCGAAAAGGAAACCGCCCATAGACACGAAAATGCCCATGATAAATGAACGCAGCGTGAAGAGCGGGATAGGAGAATCCACGGTATCGTCGTGGCCTTTCTCATGATCTGTAGTAGATAGAGATTCTCTAGGCAGCTCGCTATCAGCGTAGACATCCTGAGGCTTTTTCTTGAATATGTTTTTGAACATGATGCCGGTGACAAAAACGCGTCTGGTATATTCTGACGTGCTAGGGCTCTAGCCAGGTTTTTTTTCTTCATCCTCAAAATGAGCCACGACCAGTCATTTATACCTGGCCGATTGGCCAAGACCTGGACAATAAGCGCATAGGAGCGCGTGGTCTTGTGTGGAGAAGAAACCCCGTCATGTCGGCCGGCGGTATGGACCGAAAGGGACATGATGACTCGTTGATTTGTGAAGCGAACGTCCTCCCGTGGCAGGAGACGGTCATCTCCGTGTGAAAGCGAGAATCTGGGGAAGTGGGGAATGCTTTTGGCAGGTGGCTCCTAGTGTATCCGTGGGTTGCCGGGCTGTGTGAGAACCCAGACCTCATGGCCAAGCGAGCTCAGTGGCGTAAGACAAGGTGCCTCGTTGCAGGTAACGAATCATAATGTAGATAAGTGGCCGCATTTGGCACCCAGATAAAGGCGTCCGGTACTGCCAAGTGATGAAATAGGTGGTAGCCACGAGAAAGCTTGGAGCTACGCCTCACGGCCATTTATTCGCCGGCGGGCTCGGCCGGAACCTGCGGATCCGCCGTTCTCTACATGACTCGTCCGGAGTCGTTCTCCCGATCCAGCTACGTCGTGCCGATTGTATCGGCAGGCCGAAAATGCACTCGGTAGGCTGTGTTCCTGCCGAAAGGCCCTGGAATGACAGAAAATGCACGTAAGATAGAGAGGTATATTCAATTAACGAGGGTAATAACTTTAACCAACTCAGGCACGTAGAACAAAAGATAATGAAACGCCTCCCGAGCTACCCAGGTATCATCGTATTCACAAAAATCAATCATGTCATCCTCAAATATTGACACCGAAGAAATCCTTTAATCATCAGACGGCCAGCCGTCGGTCCCAGCCGTGAACCAAACCAAACTCATCATTGTCTTCCTTGAGAGGCATTGTCATGGCGTGGAATGGGTCGATAAAGTTCATATCGTCCGGACGGACCGAGAGGTCCGGGAACGGATGCATATTATCGTCTGCACTGCCCATGCTCTCGCCAGAATAGCTAAGAACACTCTGTGTGGGCTCCTGTATTGTGGCAAATTCCCCACTGCTCGCGGACCAAGCCTCGGGTGACAAATCGTTCATGTCAGGAGGGGCTGGTACCACATGTGAAGCATCATTGAGCGGCTTGTGATCGCGATTGTACTCGGCCGTGATAGAGGCAAATGGACCGGGGTCCTCGCCGCACTCCTTTCCACCGTAGATGCCCGTGAAGATGTTCGAATATCCTCGGTCCATGTCGCTCAGGACGTACTCCCAGTCAGCCATCGTGATGGGCCCAGATTGGTTTTCCGATGGGGTAGAGGTTGACATGGCTCGTGCATAATCATATCCCATGGATGAGGACATCATCCGGGGGTTTGAAGCAAGGTCCAGCGATGAATGTCCACGGGCGGCATGATATTGGGGGGCTGAAAATTGGTCGGGCTGCGATGAAGGAAGACTCGTCCAGCTTGGAGACCGAAGTGACTGAGCAGTTGGAGGAGTGCCACCGGAAATGGTGTTACGGCGGGAAGGTGAAGAAGCTTGCTTGGGTGATTGATCCCCGAAAGCCCCGGTGAGGCGAGACTTCAAAGACTGCAGGTGTTTCTTGGGAGACGAAGCAGGCTTGTGGGTTGGGGCCATCATTACCTGTGACTCGGTGCCGGTGATGGCTCCCCGATTCAGGTTGTCCAGTGAAACTAGGGTACCGGCCAAGATTCCAAATTCAGCCGCTGCCGTCGAGGAACTTTGCCCAAGCTGCTCCTTGACAGTAGAAAGAAGCTTCTGACTCTCCTGAGCTAGCTTACTGCCCCGCTTCAGACCCCAGGCTTGCCACAAGAGTCCCAGACCAGAGAAGAAGACCAACTCCTTTCGGTTGATGCTGAAGGAAAGGCATAGTCGTCGTTCATCCAATAGCTCGAGAATCTGCACAATGTGCTTTGAGGAATCAGAGAGCGCGAGAACGGATGGAGAGCGAAGATGTTCTTCAGCAAAGCATACGGCGGGGCGATGAATTAGAGACCGAATGAAGTAATAAACAAGAGATAAAAGTGGTGACCGGCTGCTTGTAACATTTGTACTGGGCTTGTCCTGAGAGAACTCAAGACGAAGATGCGGGGCCAATGATGACAGCCAGTCATCCAGCTGCCCTGCCAATGTATGCATCTTCGAAACATAGACGTCGTAATTTGACTTTGAAGGGAACAAGTCATCCAAAACCTTGTTCAGAATTCTCGAGACGGAGAATAGGGCAAGAGCACTGGAGATGCGAGTGGATTCACCAGGGAGAGTGGGCAAGAAACCGGTCTCGGTGACATTTTCGTCGTCCACATCAACGGGATACTCAGTCTGAATGTCATCCTCACGTAAAAGAGTAGGCATTCCAGTCAAGGCAGAAGAGAATCGGTCCAGTATGTATTGGCACCAGAAGACCTTCCTGCGAGTTTCTCCCTCTAACGGGTTGGAGGAAGTGTCCTCCCGGTTCTGGTGAAGATCCATTTGATGGCAAATATCCACACCAAGAGCGCGATAGCGAAGCAAGCTGCGGTAATCGGCTTTGGTCATGCAGTAGACCTGGGCCAGAACAAAGCACTGCAGACTTGCGACAGAAGTATCGCTTACGAATGAATCGAGAGCAGCGGTCCAGTTCTCCTCGAAGAAGGTGGGGTCCTGGTTGGTCCTCGACTGTGGCAAAGTTAGCGTCGTAAATTCTCCGGGGTCATGAATACTCACATTTGAAGACAAAGCAGCGATCCCGAAGATCAAATTCAACTGTGCCATTGCATGAACATCATTTTTCAAAGAATCGGTGTTGTTTAAGAATTGTTCGTAAGCTTTCAAAATGGTTGGGCGATGCACCACGGGGTACAGCGGAGCCCATTCTTGGAAGAAAATATTGATGAGCTGGTCCGACACCAGCCGTGGAGGTGTCTTCACGACTTGGTTGGGAGATCCGCGGGCCACAGGGGCAGACAATTTGGTCAATACTTTGGTGGGGATTCTCGACACTGACTTCCCCTGACTGACAAGCTTATCGGTAAAAACACCTAGTTTTGTAAGTTAACTTAATCCGAGCGAGCTGAGCGAGAAAATCAGACTCGACATACCGGCAAACCCTTGAGTGCTCGAGAGGGCTGTATAGGGGTTATCGGATGATTTCTGAATATGTGATCGCTCGACATGAACAACTCCCTCTCCCGCATCCAAGCCAGGAGATTTGGTCGTTCTGCAAGTAGGCGCAGATGGAGACCGTGAGGACATGGCGCGTTGGGAAGGCGACGAAAACGAGTGTATCCGTGAGAGAACGTCGATCTTCTCATCCTTTTCGTCCAGTAAATCCTTCAGATCTTTGACTTCTGTTTCCAGAGATCGTACACGTTCCTCCAAGGACTCAGTATAGCCACGGGGGAACGCGCGGCGGCTCAGTTTATCACTCGTTTTGCACTCGAACCCAACATTGGCGCATTGGGTACAGCATGGTCGGACGCCATCACAACGAATCTTTTTACTTCTGCAACGATCACAGGCCTGGGCGATCCGGCTTTGAGTGCCGGTGCCACCGACCTTGATCACTTTCATGGGCAAGATACCGGGCATTTCGGCTAGGCAGACGGGCACATCGGCCGCCCCGGTCGAGGTTTTGTTGGTTAAATTTGGGTTGCTTCGGAAATCGAGTTGGTGCAAACAGGACGAAGATCTCTCGAAGTTCAGCGAGATAGGTTGAGTTAAGAGTCCAGAAACAAGACAGGAGGGGGAAAGATCCCATGTGTCGGCTGAGTCAGGCTGTGGGGGGAGTGCTGACCTGCACCAGGGCCAATCATGATTGTATCAAAGTGTACCGTTCAATACGCTCGAAAGCTAAAAATTCTCCCCTTTTTCTGGTGCTGCGACCCAGATGATGTCGCTCTCCGTGCAGACCCATTTTATGGACTCGCTCGACCAGATGTCATCGTGCTTAGAAACCGCCCCCTCCCAGATGTCATCCTGCTTAGAAACCCCCCGTTTCAGAATTTTCAAACCTTTACTTGTAACTGACGATGATCTGCCCGATGCCCCCGGACCCCGCAAATCCTTGGCTATGGCTGTATTGATGGGGTACAGATTCCAGTTCCGCACTGCGAGAACGAAAACGGATGAACTTTGTTTTCTAAAGGAAAGGACTACAGGCCGTTTCGGTTGTGAACCCTTGCCGCTCCGCCGAGATTGTCATCTCCCCGGGTGCCCCGGATTTTCGTTGGAGACGAGACCCTTGCGCCACGGTTGCGCTCACTCTGTCGCCTGATCTACCGTGAGGGACCCATGGTTGAGAGATAGCTAGGTGCAGTCCGTCAAGAGACTCAAAAAGGAGACGGCACTAATGGTGCCCGACTGGGGACCCGCGCATCTGGAACTCCGTGCTGTCTGGGCTGATCTTCTCCGTGTCTGCCACTCCCGCGCTCCGATATTCGGCGCCGGATTCCCATTTCGGAGACTTACAGTAATACTTGTGTGATATGAGTGGCGAGTCCCTTTACGCGGGGATCCCGGCTCTGGAGATCCCAGCAGCCTCGGTACTGTACAGAACCCGGGACTTGGAAGAAGGAGATCACCAATGAAAGTGGATGAATTATTGAATGAAACAGTATCATATTATGAGGCAATGTCCGAATCATGAATAGCGAGTTTTGGCCGAGAGAATCGCGAGAATGGGTTGAACCATGGATACTACAGGATCCACAGAGCCCACCTTGCCGCAGCCGGGGACCCCGTCCTCGTTAGTCCCCGAGGTTTCGGCTCCCGATCAACGGGTCTCGACGGATCCTTCGACTGTATTTGGTGTCTAACGGTCCAGCTATGCTGCTGCGTTCATCGTACCGAGGTCCCTTCGTCACGAAATGCCCGCCTCTGCTTGAAAACAAGGATTCCTTGTACCATCCAAGAAATAGACCTGTTCTTCCGATCATCCCCGATATGCGGCTGTCGGCACCCCGCAAGTAGTGGCTGGTTTCGACTAGGGACCAAGGTCGATCAGTCTAGCATTGCAGATCTCAACAGATGGCTCCGTAAATTTGATGATCTCAAGCCAAACGTCATAGTATTCGCAATACTTGCACCCCGCTCTGCCCCCTCAAATGCCCCCGATACTATGGGTGGGTATGTAACTCTATTGGAAAAATCCGGGGTCTGTTCGCGTGGTAATTTCTTGTTGCGCGCGCTAGTTACTTGGCCAATTACATTCTTTCATAGCTATATTATGAGAAATCTTCGACTTCCTCGGCTTGTTGCTGCTGGGCGAGATACGCAGTGACTGTTTTGGATGCGATCAACTCCTTTCTCTGCCAGCATTTGTCAGTAAGCATCTTGGCCGTGAATTCGCTTCTGGGCAGTAGTATATACTCACCTGCTTTAAGAGGTCACCGACAGCCTGCTCCAGTAGCTCTGCTTCGAGCTTTCGTAGTCGGGTTACCAGGGTAAATATCTCGGGTCTGAACAGGTTATTGAAAAGTGTCTCATTCTCGCGAAGGTTGTTCAGGACCTCCTCTGTCTCCTGGAGAATTGAGAGTTGCGCTTCTAGTCGTTCAAGTACCAGCATAACTGCACGAAGCTGGAAGATTTCCCACGCCGGGTCAGTGGCTAGGAGATCTCGAAGTTGAGTCGGCGCTCGGATATTTTCGCCCTTCCAGATAGTTTCCAGCTCTCTTGTTCCCTCTGTAGTCTGGGTGACCCCAATTTCAAGACCGTCTTCCTCGTTCACACACGCCCACCAGACAATGGAGCTATCCCAAATCGTCTGATGTGAGTTTTCAGATGTGTCCTGAGCCATGGATATCCGAATTCCAGGGGCCTCCCGACATATCATGTTCTTGGCAATAGCAAGAGGATCATCACTTGGTATTGTCATATCTAAGAAGACCTGCTTTGCCTCGGTTCTGTTGCTATCGAGGAACCCGTAGGAGAAGATCATCTCGGACGCGGGCTTCTCCTCGCCGTATCTAACAGGGGTTTAGTTCGCCGACAAAGGCCATAATCCGTTTGATCAGAGACTCACGTGATAGTCACTTCATCGCCAGGTTGTACACTCTTGCCCCAACGCAGCTGCAGAATCGCATTTCCATCCGAGTCAGCCTCATACAGCGCATTCACTTCCTCTTCCGAGGTGTGGTTAGCCATATCGACACAGGGCACCATGGCATGTCCACTTCCGGGTAGATCCACCATACGCGACCGGTACGCAGCATCGGCATATTTCAAATCATCAAGGGTCATCTTGCCCGTACCTTCGTCCCACCAGCACAACTGACACCAGTCTATGTGCTCCGTAGACTGCCTGAGATGCTCAAACTCCCGCTCCAGAGAGCTTTCCTTGGCTGCCACTGCATCTCCGAGCGAAGTTCCCCTCAGCAGCTCTTGCTCTTCGGCTGAGTAAAATGTAGGCAGTGGGAAACATGGTGGCATGAATTTGATGTATTCTGTCCACGGACTTGAAACGCCTATGTGCTTGGGCATTTCCAGACACGAATGTGTGAATTGTACCAGAAGGAATATCATGATTGCACCTCTCGGGGTCTGACACAAATCAGTAACATATCAAACAATGATTTTAAGATATAAGTATCGTACCCTTCCGAAATCGCCGACAGCCTCCAATACCTCCCGAAGATGATGATCGGATTTGGAGTAGTCATGAACGGTCTCCAACGACAGTACCAAGCTCGATGGGACCCGCAGGAGGACTTCTGGCGAAGCATCACTTTCACCGCTGGACTTGTTCTCAATTGCTACAAGAGCATTGCCCTTATCTGCTCCGCTCTCACTTGAGCCAAGTTGCTGGCATGCAACGCCATTGGCATCGATCCCGTTGAGCTTGAGCCAGGCCGGGAGTGAACCCAGCTGGAGATATTCCCGCTTCATGAGGGCTGCCACTCAGTTTCGAACGTATAATGAATTATGAAAGCTTTCTAGATCTGTCATTCAAGGGATCAGAGCTGGACGTCATTGTTCAAGTTGAGATATGCCAAGACCGGTCGCGAGACAAATGTGCTTAGTAACACTTCGAAGCCTGAGGCTACAACTCATGTAAAGAGCAGGCAAGTAAATCGCAGGTGACCAAGATCTTCCTAATGAAGATGCAGCATTCGTATCAGAAGTGAAATATGAAATTAAATATGGGGGACTTGTATCGGAGCACTGCAAGTGCACAGAAGGTTTCAGGTAGTACATGTTTCACATTGTCTCAACCTCGCAAGTCGATCGCTTTTTTGTCGCTTGGGGGTTGGTACTGCATCCTCGGAGAATCCTACTTAATGCTTCATCCATAGTCTAGTAACAAATAAATCAGTCAGCTGACTCTGGTGCACCAACTGGTCTCAAAAGCCGAGCTTTATGCTGAAACTCTCCCATCTACCTAGTCACCATTTCGGGGTAGACGGGACTGCATGAAAACTTCTTCGAGCCATCCCAAGCAATCAAAGACCTAAAGCCAAAGATAGATCCCAGCGTTAAGATAAGCCCCAATACCGAATGCACGGGAATTATGGACAGGGGTGTATAACGGCCTCAACTCTTCAAATAGGCGATAGATGGTTTGTTACCTTTTCTTCTCCTCATTCAACATATGAACTCTTCCCCCTTCTCTCTTTATCAATGACATGACCCTTGCAAAACTCACGTTCCTCGGTTTAATTTTGTCCTCGCTATCACAAGAACAAAAACCCGTATAGATCAACTAATACCGCTAACGACATCCTGACACCAAAATTGAAAAAGCTGCAAATGATATTGATTTTCTTCTCCCTATTCCCTTCTCATATAGCTCTACCTTTAATGCCCTACTCCTCAGTCACGACCTTGATCAGAGCACCGTCTAGGTAGCGGGTCATCTCATCCATATGTTCCAGCTCACCCACCCAGCCAATATACTGATCCGGTCTAACAACCAGCATCAATCCACGCATGCGGTCTACTCCCCACTTCTCATATCCTTTGCCATCACAGTCCCGATCCCATATGCATGCGTCATCACACCAGATCTTATCATATCCCCAGCCCAATGTGGCGTCCAGGTCACGTAGGATTTCGGGGAAGTCGAAGAACTCTGTCTCCTTCCAAGATGCGCTGTGGGCCGTCACCACATCGATCGGGCTCTTGAAGCGGCCCGGGATCGCATTATATCTGCTCAAAGGCGAAGCTTTTTCTTTGAGCTGACCAGACAGAAACCGACTAAGAGTGTCAACCCGATGTTTCTGCATTTCATTACGGACATCTCCAGCAAGAATGACCAGTCGGAATCGACCGTCACTCTCGAAAATTCTTGTCGTCCACTGTGTATTTCCATCTGCCTGCTTGCGTAGCTTGACCGGTGGGAATCGCTCACCCGGAACCAGATGATGGCCCGGGTTAAGCTTGTCCTCATTGACAAACTTGCAGACCAACGGGCTAGCACCATAGAAAGCCTTCAAGCCATCCGCAAAATCTTCAAATGTCTCAAGAACCTTGATCATGTTCTCCGTCTTATCAGAACCTCCTTCTGGGATTCCCTTCGATGGCTTGTTATCGGTGAAAAGACCAGACAAGTGACGATCAAAGTCAAGCAACATCTCAGCCAAGTGATGGCGCTCAGCATTATACGTGCTAAGAATAGCAGGACTAGCCACCCCTGCTGCAACCAAAGCAACCTTCCAGCCGACATTAAATCCATCCTGCATACTCATGTTCATGCCGAGTCCCACTTTAGGAGAATGAGTGTGCACTGCATCTCCGGCGAGGAAGATACGATCATCTTTCGCGAACGTGGGCGCGATTCGCTGTCCGATCTGATATGCAGTCCACCATTCACAGACTTTGTAATCGAATGTGTACGGCTTCAAGATAGCTTGGACTCGCTCTTTGATCATCTCTGGAGTGATTGACGAGCGGTTGAAACGAGCGTTTCCATTTTTGGCGACATCGACAACTTGCACGGGCACGTAGAGGCGTACCAGTCGTCTTTCACGAGGGATGACGAGAATTGTGCCTGATGCGTTGGTCACAGTGCCCAGGCGACGGATGTCCGCTAACAATTTAAAAGTCATTTTAAGATCTATGAGCCCGGTCCGAGAACTCACGGAAGTCTGTGATGGGGATAATATCGATCACACCCCTAATGGATATCAGCTTTGGCTTTTTCATGGACTAATTGCACACTTATCAAATATGATCTGTACTCGACCCTTCCAGTGGAATATCGACCTGCTTTCGGGTCCAGCTGTGGGCACCATCGCATCCAATAAGATACTTGGCTTTGACAATCTCGGTCTTCGTTTGCCGACTCTTGCTATCTTGAATCAAGTCATCCAAATCATCTGGATGTAGATCACTATCTTTGAGCTTGTCAGGAACAGAATGCGACCTTCCTTCACCAGAATTGTTGGAAGGAGTCACTTCGTCCTCACTGAGAGTTCGCAACTTGAGAGTGATGGGGTATGCATTCTGGTCATCTTTGACAATTTCATCGTACTCAAATGACTCAGCGATGACACCCCTTTCAACTTCGAGATTCGAGTACTGCTTAATACTATCGAGAATGAACCTTTCAATTCGTCCTTGACTCAGAAGCATGTTGTGAAACGGAGACTCGTTGACTTTAGAGCTGCAGAATGGGCCCTGACGAATCAAGGTTCCATCTGGACCAGGCGCCTATTTGTCTTGGCGTTAGTTAATATACCAGGCGTTAGATAAAGCCATACCCAGAAGTTGGCCTCAACGGCCACATGGCCTTCATGCTGGACCCGGTGTTGGAAGCCAATGCTATCGAAAATTTCGAGAGTTCGCACTCGCAACCCATCTGCTTGACCGGTGAACACCTTGGTGCTCTTTTTATCGATGATTCGGGCTCGCACGCCGCAACGGGCCATCCAGTAGGCTGTCATCAAGCCAGAAGGCCCAGCACCTATGATGAGTCTGTTTTGTTAGAATTTGCTTTGCGTCTGTGCAATTTGAACGATATCTTACACGTCGGTCTGTGATGCCGAGGCATAACTGGCTTCGGCCATGGTGAATATTTTACTTCTGGGTGGTCCACAATTGAACTTGAGGGACTTGAGGGATTTGATGGTGTGGTACTTTGCTAATGGATGGATGCAGGTGAATATTTTACTTCTGGGTGGTCCACAATTGAACTTGAGGGACTTGAGGGATTTGATGGTGTGGTACTTTGCTAATGGATGGATGCAACGTTCTTATATTCTATCATCTTAAGTCTCGTAATTTATTCCCCGGTATTTCGCTGTTATACAGAAGTAGGGTTGCATGGATGGTGCATTGCACATCTGCAAGCTGACATCAACTGCCTCTCCTACCAGCTACTATAGTTGAATAAGGTCCAGGGTCTCTCGTATAGCGCTGTCGGGGGATCTCCACGTCGGCTTGCCCTGCAAGTGGAGCCCTAGCTTGTGGAAAGGTCCCGAATGGGGTACTTTCAAAGACCGCCCTATTTCTCCTCATCTATTTAAAGTCCACTGAATCACGCGGTTTCCTTACAAGCGGGGTTCAATTACCGACCAGAACAGTCTACTTAGTTTGATATAGTTCGGATCCACCAACTATTTACCCGTGACTTCGGTCAGGAATTTCCGCCAATTGAAACCTAATTGCGATTATTTCCGCTCAATATAGCTCTATTGGACCTCGAGTATCAAAAGCATCGCCATGTCATATATCCATGTCATGCTAGGAAGATCCTCGAATTTCATGCAGCAATGCAGGGGTCTCTGTTACCCAAGAAGCTGCTAGCAAAGACCGCTGAGTCAAAGCTGACGAGGACAGTGAAGCGGTAGCACAGCTTCATACTAGATCATTCAATTGATAATCGGACTCCTTTCAGAAAGCTCTAGATCTCCATAAAACCGGAGGACTGCCACCCGTCCAATGTTCAGATGAGTAAGCGCCCCCCAGCGGCTACGCTGTTTCTGGCACACCGGGTCCCCCAACGGAGTGTAGGATTTACCCCTCCAATGCTGCAAGCCGACATCAAATCGGATTGGCCTAATCAGGGAAACCGGTGCAATTACCATGTGCTCTTTTTGCTACTTAGAATAGGTTGTTGGGTAGACAGGCCCGATATATAAAGCGGCTATGGAGAGATCGGCTAATTTCGTGGTCCCGGAGCAGCGTCCTCCGAGACGGGCCCCGGTGAAGGTGTGGACATAGGCCAAACGGTTGGGAGCCCGACACTGCTACGGAGACTTCTCATCCCACCGCAGAACTCGTAGGAGCGGTAGTGTACCCTAAACGAAGAGATTGAATCCGAGGAACAATACTTGGCTCGTGCTCCCGGAAGCTACGGATGGGATGTGATGCGATGGTTTTCGTTCTCTGCAGTAGCCCTTGACACGTAAGAAGTAGGAAAAAATAGGAACAAGAGCCAAAGCATTGGCCTTGGCCGTTCAAAAGCTCCGGGAATGAAAAGCGATGAGTAGAAGGCGGCCGGCAGCGGAGGGACTGGCTTTCGCCCCACCACAGCGTCATACCCACTGCCCCTCCCCCTCCTCATATTTTGAAAGCCATCTCTCTTCTTCTTCTCATCTCCCACATATTTTGAAAGTGAGTATCTTATCCATCAACCCCAATCCACTAGCTAATAAACAGCTAGTATCTGCCAAAATGGGTAACACTGATCTGGACCAGTTGGCGATCAACACCATCCGCCTTCTCGCGGTATGTCCTCTCGCCCCGTCTGCTAAGGTCTCTCAGGTGCAATTGGAGGGGCTATCCGCCTCATTTGCACATGGGACCAGTAGCATCACAAAATTCCAGATGAATACGAGCTTACTGACGCTCTCTTCCAGGTTGATGCCACCTCCAAGGCCAACTCGGGCCACCCGGGTGCCCCCATGGGCATGGCCCCCGTGGCTCACGTTCTGTTCAACAAGTTCATGAGCTTCAACCCCCAGAACCCCGACTGGGTCAACCGTGATCGCTTCGTTCTCTCGTATGTGTCTTTCCTGATGCCCGTATCCCTGGGATTGCCTGAAGCCCTGCCTTCCGGAGCATATCTCCATCACAAGAACACCCGTCCTGACAATCGAATAGGAACGGCCACGGCTGCATGCTGCAGTACGCCCTGCTGCACCTGTTCGGCTACAAGCTCTCCATGGATGACCTGAAGAACTTCCGCGTAAGTTCTCTTAACCCAATGTAGCACAGGAGCCCCGCGCTGATCTCCCTTCGCAGCAACTCGACAGCATCACCCCCGGTCACCCCGAGGCTCACGACACCCCCGGTATTGAGGTTACCACTGGTCCTCTTGGCCAGGGTTTCGCCAACGCCGTTGGTTTGGCCATTGCCCAGGCTCACACCGCTGGTGTCTTCAACAAGCCCGGCTATGAGCTCGTCAACAACCACACCTACACTTTCTTCGGTGATGGCTGCGCCATGGAGGGTATCGCCTCTGAGGCCGCCTCCATGGCTGGTCACTTGCAGCTCGGCAACCTCATTGCCATCTATGACGACAACCACATTTCCATTGGTAAGAGATCAACCCAATGTCTCCCGCCAAGAGGCCCGATCCTTAGCTAACACATTCCTAGACGGTGACACCAAGTGCGCCTTCACTGAGGATGTCATGAAGCGCTTCGAGGCCTACGGTTGGCACACCGAGTGGGTCAAGGACGGTGACAATGACCTTGCCGGCATTGAGGCCGCTATCCGCAAGTGTCAGCAGGTCACTGACAAGCCCTCCGTTATCAAGCTCACCACCACCATCGGTTTCGGCTCCAAGCTGGCCGGTACTGGCGGTGTTCACGGTAACCCCCTCAAGGCCGATGATGCCGAGAGTGTCAAGGCCCGCTTCGGCTTCGACCCTAAGCAGAGCTTCGTCGTTCCCCAGCAGGTCTACGACATGTACCACAGCCACGCCGCCGAGGGTGCCGCTAAGGAGCAGGAGTGGAACCAGCTCTTCGAGAAGTACCAAAAGGAGTACCCCACCGAGGGTGCCGACCTTGCCCGCCGTCTCTCCGGCAAGCTGCCCGAGGGCTGGGAGAAGAGCCTCCCTACCTACAAGTCCACTGATGCCGCCGTCGCTTCCCGCAAGCTGTCCGAGGCCGTCCTGGAGAAGATCCACTCCGTCATTCCTGAGCTTCTGTCCGGCTCTGCTGATCTGACTGGCTCCAACAACACCCGCTGGAAGAACGCCGTCGACTTCCAGCCCCCTCCCTCGGCATTGGTGAGTGGTCTGGCCGCTATCTCCGCTACGGTGTGCGTGAGCACGCCATGGCTGCTGTCATGAACGGTCTCGCCGCCTACGGCACCGTCATCCCCGCCGGCGGTACCTTCCTGAACTTCGTTTCCTACGCCGCTGGCGCCCTCCGCCTGTCGGCCCTGTCCCGCGTCCGTGTCATTCACGTCGCTACCCACGACTCTATCGGTCTGGGTGAGGACGGTCCTACTCACCAGCCTATTGAGACTCTGGCTCACTTCCGTGCTCTGCCTAACTGCATGGTTTGGCGCCCCGCTGACGGCAACGAGACTTCCGCCGCCTACTACATGGCCATCACCTCCAAGCACACCCCCAGTGTTCTCGCCCTTACCCGCCAGAACCTGCCCCAGCTTGAGGAGTCCACCATTGAGCGTGCCATGAAGGGTGCTTACGTCGCCGTTGACACCCCCAACGCCGCCGTTACCATCATCTCCACCGGTTCCGAGGTCGGCATCTGTATCGAGGCTGCCGACTACCTCCAGAAGAACCACGGCATTGCCGCCCGTATTGTCTCCGTTCCTTGCTTCGAGGTCTTCGATGCTCAGGACAAGGATTACCGTCTGTCCGTCCTGCCCGACGGCATCCCCGTTCTGTCCGTCGAGGCCTGCTCCACCATGGGCTGGGAGCGCTACTCCCACGAGCAGTTCGGTCTCAACCGCTTCGGTGCCTCTGGTCCCTACAAGGAGGTGTACGCCGTAAGTTTTCTATTCTCTTTTGATCTATTTCTCCAATTACTAACGACCGCCAGAAATTCGAGTTCACTCCCGAGGGCATTAGCAAGCGCGCCATTGCCACCATTGACTTCTACAAGGGCCACAACGTCCGCTCCCCCGTCAACCGCGCTTTCCAGCAGATCCTGTAAAGCGTGGCTTAATGCTTTAAAATTTTATGATTTACTAGTTAAGGAGCGACAGCCCTTGAAACCAATATCTAAGAATGCGATAGAGCGTCTGTCGATTACCACCAATGCCTTGCATCGTAAGATCACATGGTACTAAAGTACAAGGTGTAAATGAGATCCTATAGTCATAGGCTATCTATCTTGGCGTACTGAAGAGCCTTTAGAAAGGAATACTTTGACAGAAGAATCTAAATTCGCCGTGGCGATGTCAGATGTCATCATACCCTGTTCATTCGGCATAGGTTAGCCTTCGGGACAATATAAATGACTCTGTTCTAGACGGTTGATCCTTGCAGCTATCACTAACAGATTAAAGCAAGAAGTATAAGCGCAGCTTCGTCGAAGAGGCGACGAGAATTATAATCGAGGGGCGGCCGGGACGGATGTCCGGGCGTGGGCTAGGAGAACTGGCCCGGTAGAAAGGGATGTCGATAGCTACGAAGAGAAATGGGACTATGGTCAACTGCTTTTCAATTGCGTTCGAATGTTGCAACCTTTGCCTGTTTTGCCCCAATGTGACTATTTTCGAGGTGGTTACATGCAGACGCATCACACACCCCAAATACCAATGAATAGCGCAATATAATGTGTTTAGGCAGTTTACAATACGTGCCCGACCTCTGTGAGAATAGAGATCACTCCTTGCTCCAGCACTGCTTCTGCATCTCAATAGTCCCCCTCAACATAACCTCCTTTCTCTGCCGCGTTTCTTCCGAAGTACGAGGTCCATACGCCTCCTCCGTCTCACGAACAACGACATCTCTCCACTTCTCATCGCCTCCCTCTGTCTGAATATCAATCTGCCCCAAATCTCCCCAAACATCCTTCATGGTCGGCGCCAACTTGTCCAAAAACCCCGCAATCCCACCCTCCCCACCACCAGCATGATAACTCTCAAAAACACCACTGCCAGCCCACCTCGGTCCCAGACTAGAAGTCACAATAGAATCCAGATCTCGAGCCGATACTACCCCCTCCCCAACCAGATAGCACGCTTCCCGCATCAGCGCAAAAGCAAGCCTATTGCCCACGAACCCAGGTACCTCTTTATGCAGTATAACAGGCCGATAATGTTGTCCTTGGTCCTGAGAATCCTTCGAACCAGGAAGATGCGAAGGACCAGGCACAGCCTCGAAATAAGCCTTCACGAAGGCCACTCGCTCAGGTCTAGTCTGCAACCCAGGCACAATCTCAACGAGAGGCATCAAATGAGGCGGGTTAAACGGATGCGCAACAACCAACCTCTCCCTGACATTCTCCTCACACTCAGCAACCTGCATGGAAGCCGCAATCCCAGAAGAGCTACTCCAAAGATGAGCCTCCGTATCCGCAAACCTCACAACTTCCTTCCAAAGAGCCTGTTTCGAGTCGAGTTTCTCCGGCGTCTGTTCTTGGATGATAGTCGCGCTCTGCACGGCGTCTTGGATGGATGCTGCCAATGAGAGGCGGGATGATTCGATCAGAGCGGTGATTGCATTCTGTGGATCGGAGTGTGATCCTGTTAGGGTCGAGTCTATAAATGAGGGGAGCTGGGCGCGCAGGAGGACTTCGTAGTCTGGGCGTGGGTCGAAGACTGTTACTTTTGTGTCGGGGCGGCGGAGGTGGAGGGCTAGCATTGAGAGGCCGATTGTGCCTGCGCCTAGGAGGGCGATATGGTGGGTATATTCGGGCATTTTTATGGAGTGTTCAATGTTGGAGACTTGCTTGGGGTTTGTAGAGTTTATAGAGATGTGGTAGTATTGGGTGGGGTGCGGGGGTGTATAGTATGATGTTGGACCTCGGGATTTACGTAGGCCTCAAAAGTTCCTATATGCCCTTTAAAAAAGATTGAAAAAAAAAAGCATATATTGTCTCGGCTCCCCTTGGTGCCCGAATCGAGTGAACTACGACAGCTAAATGGAAGTACAACTTTTTTGTGAATAGACATTTGAGAAAGCTCGGCTGTTGGTGCCTGGGGTGGGCTTTACGTCAAAACCCTACTAATACCGACTCACGGATTCAAAGCCGCAGAATTTTTGGAATCCCTTCTTTTTAAAGCTTCTTTATACATGCCCTAATAGATATCACAATCATTATAAATGCGCAAATCTTTATACGAGATTGCATCGTTGATTGAAGCTTGTGGGGTGGGATGGAAGTCTCGGAGTTGGACATCCTCGAGGGCTGTATAGACTCACTTGGAGCCCTATTAACATTTTGTAGCTCTTCTAAAGAGCGCGGGTCCAAATCTAGTTACTGGCATTCATCTTCTTTCATCTCGTTTTATTAATGCTAGATGAAACCTCCGCGTTGGGTGTTACTCGCTTTCTGCCCCAAGTCCTTCAAAATGTTTTACCTGGGTAACCATGCTTATAGGAATATTGATGGATTCAACGGCCACATCTTACAGTTTGAATGCTACTACTAGTTGAATCTTGACTAGACAAGAAAAGATCACACCGGAACGAGTTTCATTCATCATGATATATTCATCTCTCCATTTTATTTTCCACCCATGTTTATCTAAGCACCAAGAGCCTTGCGAGCAAAGTTAGGCAGGACGAAGCTGGCGCGGTGGATGTCCTGGTTGTAGTAGCGGCACAGGCGCTCCTCCTCCTCGCGGGTCCAGGAGCGAACGGGCTCACGGACGTTGCGAGTGGCGTCCTTGCAGCAGACCATGAAGCCGATCTGGCCGGAGGGGTAGGTGGGGATGGTGGTGTAGGCGTACTCGGCAACGGGGAAAACCTCACCGCAGGACTTCTTGAGGTCAACGATCAGGGGAAGGTGGAGCCATTGGTTCTCAGCTGTTAGACAAAAGCACAGTTCCGCGAAACCGAGCCCGTAGAGCGGGTTGGTTGGCGGCGTAGTGCGATCAAATTAGCCAATGTTCTTTTCAAGGAATATAATAAAACAAAACAAGACAGACAGAGAAAGAGAGAGAGAGAGGTGGATGGATTGATGAGTATAGGGGAGGAGATGGGCAGTGGGCAGGATGGAACAAAAGAAATGGGAACGAACAACCTTGGGTAGTAATGACACCGCCTTCGCGGAGAGCGTCACGGAGAAGCTCAAAGTAGGGCTTCTGGAAGAGGCTCTCGGCAGGGCCCTCGGGGTCAGAAGAGTCGGTAATGATAACGTCGAACTCGTTCTGCTTGGCCTTCAGGAACTCGAAGCCGTCACCGATGTGGGTGGAGACCTTGGGGTGCTTGTAGCTGACGGACATGCCGGGGAGGTACTTCTTGGAGAGACGGATGACGGCCTCATCGATGTCGCACAGAACAGCCTCCTCGACGGACTCGTGCTTGACGACCTCACGGAGGACACCGCCATCACCACCACCGATGACAAGGACCTTCTTGGGGTTGGGGTGGGAGTTCATGGCGAGGTGAGTGATCATCTCCTGGTACGAGAACTCATCGCGCTCGGTGCACTGGATGACGTTGTCGAGGACGAGAACGTTGCCGTAGTCGCTGCTCTCGAAGACGAGGACGTCCTGGTACTTGGACTTCTCGTGGTGCAGGACCTGGTTAACCTTGAGGCTCATGGCCTGTCCGGGCCACATGGAGGAGCGCTCGGAGAACCAGCCATCTAGTGGAGTTAGCGATAGAGCTTCAAAAAATTGAGGGTCCCAAGGAGGGGTGACGGCGGAAGTGGGATGTGGGATGACGAGGCGGGGCAGGAACAGCTGTGTAGCTGTGTATTTGACGTGGACATGGACATCGAGACGCAGATGGAGATAGACATACCCTGGATAGTGGGGTGAGTGATCTCGCTCATTTTGTAAGATAGACGAGTGTTAATCGATAAGGAACGTAGAGAGGAGAAAGGACGAAGAGTTCGAAGCATGCGAGAAAAAGTAAAAGCTGCGCGAGTTTGCCTGCTTTGGGCGATTTTTCCCAAGTCCCCACTTTGACCCAGACAGGCAACTGAGGGGAGATTTCACGTAGGGTAACTCTTGGCTCTTGGGCAGCAATCAGACAGGCCAACCGAAATAGAGAGAGGGAGAGAGAGGGAGAGAGGAGACGCTAAGCTATCGGAGCTTGTTGCACCCGTGTTGCACGATTTCTGGAGGGGGGTGCCTTCGGGGCCAATAGAAGCTATCCAAATCACGCTTACTGGTGACCCCCCAAGATCTATAGATCGTGAACTACATGAAACAGTCGGAACATCCCTCTAAATCATGGTGAAACCCCACAGCGAGGCCAATCGGCAGACATAGGAAACTCAAAATTGTCGATTGCTTTCTAGTTACTGTACAATTGATACAGCTGCGACAGCACGGATTGTCATCTCGTGCCCCGATATACCCTTTTCCATCCTCAATTCGACTCAGTTCAATTCAATAAGAGCAATTTATTCCTCACCACTACCACCCTCGAGCATGCGGCCGGGCTTGGAGTTAAGGTACTCGTTGCTGTGGAATGTGTCAGCCTCGCCCTGGGCACACAATCCCAAATTATGGGTCAATCTTACCGCTCAACGGCCCAGTTCATAGCAGCGTAGGCAATGATGAAGGGAGGGGCGACGTAGAGGACCTGGTTGCGGAAACGGCGGAAGACGTTGAAGATGGCAGCGTGGAAGGCACCGGCGAAGGGGCGCTGACGGTTAGACGAGACAGCGTAGGTGGCGATGCGCTGGGGGTCGGGCAGCCTGCAAGTCAATTGGGTTAGTGTCGAGTCCAGTTGCAAGGATTCCGCTCGTCGTGAGAGCCCCATTCCACCAAGTCGAGGTGATCCGTGGTCGGTCGGTATCTCGCACGCGCATTCGGGAATTCAAGGAAGGCTGGTCAACGTACCGAACTCGCCCCAGGTGCCGATGAAGCTGCAAATCGTTGTTAGCACATGAGCTAGTCAATATCAACTCCAGGAATTGAATCGCATTGTTGGAGTCTAGTCTGCTGCCGGGTCGTGCTCGGTCGCTCGAGCGGGTGCATCCGGGCACAGGCACAGGCTCGGGCGGCCACGGACAGCAAAGAGTCGAGGGAAGCACTCACTGGCCGTTCTTAGGATCGACAGAACCACCCATTGTGGAAATGTGTAATTGAGTGGAAGGAGAACGAGGGTGTAGAGGTGACGGGGGATACGGAAAGGGAAAAGACGGAGTCGGGCAAAGTTGGACTACGGGCGTTCTCAGCGGCCACTAGGAAAAAATGACTAAGCACATTTTCGACATCATCCATCAGTTTGGTGCTATTCTGCCTCAAGGTGATCTCTCTACCCACGTTATTCATCATGGCCAACGCCCTTCAAAACATCTACCGGCTGGCCGGCCCCGTGGCCGTCGGTGCCATGCTCTTCAACGCCTCCCTCTACGATGTCAAGGGCGGTTCGCGGGCTGTCATCTTCGATCGGTTGTCTGGTGTGCAGGAGCAAGTCGTCAACGAAGGCACACACCTGTTGGTCCCCTGGTTGCAGCGGGCTATTATCTACGACGTGCGGACGAAGCCGCGCAATATTTCGACTACCACCGGAAGTAAGGACTTGCAAATGGTCACATTGACGCTCCGTGTGCTGCACCGTCCGGATGTGCCGCGGCTGCCCCAAATCTACCAGGTAAGAGCTACCACTGAGAATCTATCTGGTGCAGAGCTAACATAGCATTTCACAGTCATATGGTACCGATTACGACGAGCGTGTTCTCCCCTCCATCGGAAACGAAGTACTCAAAGCCATCGTGGCCCAGTTCGACGCCGCCGAGCTCATCACACAGCGTGAAGCCGTCTCCAACCGCATCCGTACCGACCTCCTCAAGCGCGCTGCGCAGTTCAACATCGCCCTGGAGGACGTCTCCATCACCCACATGACCTTCGGCAAGGAGTTCACCAAGGCCGTCGAGCAGAAGCAGATCGCCCAGCAAGACGCCGAGCGAGCACGATTCATCGTCGAGCGCGCCGAGCAGGAGCGACAAGCCAACGTTATTCGCGCCGAGGGTGAAGCCGAGTCCGCCGAAATCATTAGCAAGGCCGTCGCCAAGGCCGGCACTGGTCTGATTGAGATTCGTCGTATCGATGCCAGCCGTGAGATCGCACAGACTCTGGCTTCTAACCCCAACGTCACATATCTGCCTGGCGGCGAAGGCAAGGAGGGTGGCAAGAGCACTAGCCTCTTGCTGGGTCTGCGCTCTTAGGAGGTTGATATAAGGAAGTGAGGGCTGGCGGCGCCCATTACTGAAATGTACCATTTAATCGCTCGCCGTGTCCGAGGGCGTTCTATCGACTGTGCATGTTCCCCGAGGCGCGAAGTGGCTTCGTCCACGTCTTTTTTCTGACCTGTAGCAATAACAATACCTCTACTCCAAATACTTCTACTCCTTCGTATGATAGAAAATGTACTCATGAATCATTATGTACTCCGGTATCCTCTATATATGATCCTATCTAAGCCAATCGCTTGTACAAATGCACCTGATATCGCATATCCTCCAAACCCGCCCCCTCACCAACCTCATATCTTAGCCTCGTAGCATCCCTCCTCCACCATCTCGAATCCTGCGAAAGCACCCGTTCCCATTTCCCCTCCGCAACAGAAAGCAGCGTGTGATCAAGCAAGAACTTCATAGGATAATTCCTCTCCTGCGCAACCCCATCCTTCCCCAACTTCAAAGTCGAGTAACTGCCCGGACTATCGACAACAAGCAACACCGCCCCGGGCGGAAGAATCTCAGTCATCCGCAGAAGCCAACCAGTAGTCTTCGCCATGGAAGTAGAAAAGAGCTCGTTCAGCGTGAACATGAGCGTCACCAGCAGAGAGGGCGGAGTAGTCGCTGGAGCGGTCCCATGAACGACATCTTTCAGATCAGACTCCGAGATAGTAAGGACATCAGTCCTAGAAAACGAAACAGAAAGGCCCCCTTCCGAGACATTAGACCCCGTCAACGGCGGCTGATGCTTCGACGATTTCGGAGTAGGCACGTCAGATGAAACCATCGTTTTCTCGAGAAGGTCAATAACACTCGACCAATCGGCAATATCAACAGCCACAACATCAAGAGATGCAGGTTTCGATACATCTGTCTCATCGCCACTCTTCAACGAAACACTCTCAAGACGTCCCCCTAGCCCCTCAACACCTTCATGCAAATCCCTCCAAACAGCCCCAAGCGCAACGATCTCGGCCCCGGCACCACCGCCAATAGATACCACCCGCGTATTGGCATTCAAGCCATGTTCAGCACGCATGTATCGAAGAACAGCCTTGAGAATACCCGCATATCCAAGCGCGCGTGCAGCACTCCATCGCAGCGCGTAAACGCGCAAAAGAGAATCATCCGCGTCCGTAAAAGCGGAGTCGAAATCACGCTGGTACAGATGTGTTTTGATAGTCTGAACGAGTGACTTTGTGTCTAATTGGGCTCCTTCAGTGGGCTTTAGCTGCTCATTGTCTTGCTCTGCAGCGGGGTCTGAGGAATTTGTAGATTGGATGGATACGGGTGACCGGGTGAACAGGGCGGTTTTGAAGACGTCTAGCAGAAGTTGCTGGAGGGAGATCGGGATTGTAGTGGAGAGGTCGATTGCATGGTTTTCATGGTCGGGTTTGCGATCCGATTGCTTTTTTTGTTGGCGGGTGCGTGGTGCAGCTGGCTTGGGCTGGTTTTTCGGTTCGAGGCCTTGCAGTCTAGGCTGGTAGGGGGCGTGGGCCTTTTGCGGTCGCTTTTTGCCTGGGGCATTGCTTCTCTCGGAGTATAGACTGTTTATACTCAAGGTCTCGGTGATGACTAGGGAAGTGCTGTAGTGCAGAGCAAATGTGGGGGAAGGGAAACTTTTTTGCTTATCGGCTTATCAATGTCAAATTGCCACTACAGCAAACCAAATACATACTACATACAACAGATAGATACAGCCACGCCATGGAAAAAAAGGAATAAATATTCGTCTGAGACGAGATGAGAATAAGATTCTGGCGTTGTGCAAAAGGAGAAGAAGTAAAAAGGGAAGGTCCGAAGACAGCGATCGTAGAGAAGGTCAATCAACCCGGGCGTCTCACACACCGGTACATAAACGATGGACAAGAATAGAGCATATCATACTCCGGAGCGGGCTATTGCAACCTGAGTGTAAAGAAAATTCGTAATGACACGTCTGCAAAGAGACGGAAGGTAGCAAAAGCCGCCGAGAAAAGAAACAAAAGAATCCACAAGAAACCGGAGCCAAATATGTACAGAACCGGAAGTGCCCAGGCAAGTGGGGTGAACAGCAACGGAAGAGAAGAGAAGTGAGGGAAACGGGACTCTGACAGGATATCGCTATGCCGAGGTTTTTGCGCCGGGAATCAAATAAATGCATCAAGACCAAAGAGTTAACTCTTACATCGGTCGTTCGGAAGACACCGCCTCATTGTCGTGCTTCTCCTTGTCTCGGATTTTCCAGAAGTGCATGAGTCGACTAAGTCGTCGACCTTTCTTCTTGGAATAATCGGGTACATCACCAGGGGGCTTCTCTTCTTGGTGAAGTTTGCTGCGTTCAGAATTAGGACCACCGACTAGTTTCGACAGACTGGCCAAGCTAGATCTCTTGGAAGAGTTCGCTTGACTGGAGCGCCGGTGGACAGCAGCTGAGAAAGATGCAGCTCGATCGGTGGAAAGACGAGCACGAGGGAAGAACGAGGAAGAGAAGCGGTGCATGGTGTTGGTCATGGTCGATGCGCTGCTGCTGAGAGATGGTACATCCTCAACCGAAGCGTAGGGATATTCCGAAGGGAGCTGATGATACGAGTGACTCGAAAAGTTACGGTCATTGAACGAACGTGGTGCATCTGGGGATGGGAAGGAGGAATCCGAGGGTGAGACCCCTGCAGACAGGGAGAAGGGAGGGATACTGGGCGGCAGCTCGTGAGGGGATGTGGCCGGCCGCTTGTCAACAGCAAGGAACCCGGGAGAGACCTCAGGACTAGGAGGAATTCGTGGTCTGGGAAGGCCCTCTTCGGATTTCAGAATCTCGATAGGGCTCCGACGCGGACCATTGAACGGATTCCCGGACTCATGCATCGGATCAGCCAGGTGTCGTTCCAGCGAAGGAGTTTCTGGTTGACCGGCGACCTTATCATTCGCTCGGATGCCCAGGCCAGCTTGCTCCGGGGAACTCATGGGAGAGCTTGCCTCGGGTGCCCTGGTCATAGTATCCGCAGTCTTCGCGGTTTTCGCAGTGCCCGTAGTACCTACGGTGCTTGCTGTGTCATCGCTCTCGACGGATAAGGTATCCTCTTCTGGCACTGCACGTGCACGAACAACCTCGGCCGGTGTCGCTTGACCACTTTGGGCGGGAGTCGCTCTGCCACTCTGGATTGGGGTCATGCGGCCCCGGGGAGACTGGCTCGCGGCCAGGAATGCATCCTCTTCCTCCTCGTAAAAGACATCCGGCGCTTCTGTGGTCACACCCCCAAGGCGGAACGGACTCAGAGAGCTGCGATCAAATGGCTGCATGACAGGAGCACTCTCAGTGCGACGATGATATCGCATCTCTGGACCGACAAATTCTCCACGTCGTCCACCACTATACATTCTTTGGGTTGCAAGAGAGAACTGGCTGGGAGCGCCAGCATTCTGTCGCATATCGGGGGTATTGAAAGGACCAAGGGCAGCATCAAGGTCAATGATCGGGCTGCTCAACGTATCATCCTGTGCGGTCTGTTCATAAAAGCTTCGCGGTTTCCATGATGATTCAAGACTGGGAGCAGAAGCAGGTGTAGGTGATGGTGGCTCTTCGCGGACAGACCCGGCGGTTGCAAATGTACCCTCGGGGTTGGTTGGCGTCCGAAGAACAACTACATCGTCATTATCGAAGTCCACATCCAAGACAGAGCCAACCTCCGAATTAGTTCGCGTCAGCATAGGAGGCGTTAACGCAGGTGGCCTCTTCTTTTCATCGGTCTCTGTCTTTGTATGTTTCTTGCTTTTACCGCGAGTCAAGATAGCGCCTGCCCATGAGCGAACACGCTTCTTCGCCTTCTTCGATTTGCGCGGTTTCTTAGGAGAGGTTCCATCTCCTTCATGTTCGCTATCGCTTGACTCCGAGCCATCATCAGAGTAAGAAGGGCGAGAGGTATCCGTCGAGTTTGCATCGTCGGTCCCATTATTGGTGAGCATGGCATCCAGGTTCCCAGTCGACATGCTTTTGCGGGATCGAGAGTGCCCAGTCGATTTTGAGCGCTTGACGGCGGGTACATCCGGTACATTTTGGCTTTGTATCAAATCAAAAGCCAGGGATGCATCGGCAGTTTTCGGTCGCGGCTTGGAGCTGCGATTCTGTGTCGGTCGCAACTGGACAGGCGGGGGATTCTCGGGCTGCTCAAATCTGACTGCTTGGTGGTTCGGGGAGTTCTCGTTAGATGACGCTGAAATGGCCGAGACGGGGCGTCCGATCTCTTCATCATCATTGCTCGGGGCCGGCTGGACGTGAATCGCAGCCGGGATAGGAGGCACAGGGGGCACTGGCGGAACAGGGGCGAATTGAGGGGATGAGGGAGGGGTTGGACGACCCAGGCTGCCAGCGGAGTACGACAGCGGTCGAGAAATGTCTTCATGGCCATTGTCGAAGTGCCGGTCACCAGGAGTGCAAGGTGCACTTCCCGCTGTCAGATTGGACGCGAGCGCCTTGTTGATGGCGTTAATATCGACACCAGATACTGCCGCTGATCGACGGTGTGCATGACCACGTCGACCCGGACCTCTTCCAGGAGGCGGCCCTGACGGAGCGCTCGGCTGTGTCTGAGATGAGGGTTCTTCCCGTTTATCGTCCCCGGGGGTGTTATCAATTGGTCGCCTCCAACAAATTCACTATGTCGCCTCCGATGACCACCCGCTCGAGGATTATGTGCCTGTGTAGGTTGTAAAGTCTGATTGGAACCGGGATTGAATGAAAATGCTGGCAATGCGGGTGGCGCTCGACTCTCCAACGTCTCCGCTGGAGAATCGACCATATCAGGGTCTCGAGCGGGAAATACAAAGTGCGGATTAGGCAATGGAGCCGGCATGCTCATGCGATGGCTGGAATTGACGTTTGCTGGGGCTGAAGAATCGAAATGCGGCGGAAACCCAGACTGGGACTGCGGGGGGAGGGAAATGGATGCCATGACTGCTGTGCTGAAAAGAATATAACGAAGAGAATATCACGGTGGAAAAGATCCAGATGGACGAGCAGACCCCCAGACCGTTCGACTTCCCCGCAACGACTGTGGAAAGTCTCAAGAATCTGGAGGTCTCTAATTACCTCGAGCGAGGGTCATTTGAATCTTCCGCACCAGGCAGGATCGAGAAAAAGGCGAGAATAGAGGCGATGATGATGGCGATGGCGATGGCGAAGGCGAAATAAGGAACGGACGGCCACGACGAGGGCCACAGAGGGGGAGAGGGAGGAGAGAGTCGTGAGGGTTTGGAAAGGGACGAAGGTGAGAGCGAGCCTGGGAGAACAACAATCCAGGAGGGGCCCTTACCGTACACGGTATTACCCGGACCGAGCGGGCCTCTGATGGGCAGGGGGGAAATTACTCTTGCACTTGGCTTTCAAGGCAGCGTCGTAGCCTCTCTGTATAGTGCCGAAGTGCAGTAGTGCGCAAATGTGTCTAAGGTGGTATTTGAAGTCTCGAAGGAACAGATCCTGCCCCTGCGCCCTTGACTCTTTACACGACTATACTGAATTTCCACTTTCCGCCTTCCACTTTCCACTTCCCCCACTCCCCTGGATGACAGGAGTCCGATGAAAATTTCTGAATTTCTGACAGGGCCATTGTGAAGGGCCAGATCCTGTCATAGAACCATAAAAAATTAGTGTGGAATGTGAGATCGGCTCGACTATCCCCGGAGTAGAGGACGTCATGACTTTGGTTGCCACCTAGAAACGGATCCCAAGGACCCAACGCAAGCCTGTGAGTAGTTCGTACATTAGCACCATCCGATGGGGCCGTACGGTGCCTGTTACGGGACAAGACTAGGCAAAATCCAGGCAAATCTTCGCCCAGGGAGGATCCTGGGGTCCAATGCGCGCCAATCACCACCGTCACGCGTCCGGAGAAAAAGTGGACTGCAGGCACCAACATCTTCTCTCCACGCCAATCGCGGCGCGGCCAAATCTCGCTTGACGCGGTGGGTCAACGCCACGCTTGGGATTTGAGCTGTCATAGACTATGCACACTTGCGGAGTCTGAACAAGTATATCTTTGGCTTCAGTTCTGTGGCTCGGGTCTTCGTCGTTGGGGCTGGTTTGGATCTCTGGGTCCCATTGCCCGGGAGATTACCAGTTCAGGTAGTAGGTTCCAGTGCGGGTCAATGTCTCGCAACTTGCAATCGGATATAAATAGTTTGACAACACCATTAGCGCTTAGACAAGGGGGGGAAACAATAGCGACCAAGCCGAGCTGAAAGACTCCCCTGGGACTAGACTCAAGGCAATACTGAAACAGTGTTTTCTCCCCCCTAGCGTCCGACTGGGGGCTGATTCACCTGTCTGCCAATTAGAGGCCCGGGTTGACCTGCACAGCAGCGGAAGATTGGCCGTGGCGCGGCATCGGGAGAACGGGCGATCCGAGATACCATTACGGTTTCAGAGACCATGAAAGATACCTGCGCACCATCTTGTGCTAGGTATAGTTCCAGTACACTTCGGATTAAATATACCCCGTCAGTTTGGCCGAGTGGTTAAGGCGATGCACTAGAATTATCTACTGAATTGATCACAGTTCGGCAATGCATTGGGTTCGCCCGCACATGTTCGAATCATGTAGCTGACGTTTCATTTCTATTTTTTTTTTCAATCCTCAATCTATTTGTCTCCTTTGTATTATTGGACCTACCATGTCGTGCTCTCACCTTTTACAGACCCCCCTGTTCCCCCCTGAGAAAAGAGAAGACAAGAAAAAACAACGTAGCAAGGTCTCTTGGCACTTGACGCAATCTGGCGCTTGGGAGAGCCTACACCTAGCCAAGCTCCCACAATAATACCGGTAAGCTACGGGTAGGCGTCGGCATCCCGGGTCTGGACACAGAATAGGGGCTGAACAAGTTCCGATCGGCACTCTGTAACAGATGCACAAGTACCTGATGACGAGGCCTCCTGAATGATTGGAGGGGGCAATTGCATTATCATCAGCGAATCAAATCCACTTGAAGCTGTACGTATTTTGTACAGTAGTCGGTATTGAAGCCTTTCTGCTCATCCTTGTTTCTTGTACTGTAAACAAAAGTGATCTATGACATGCAGTGACTGACCACATCTGACAGGATCGACTACCCGGGAAACTCAATCACGGCCTACTGTAGGTACAATATGATCTATGTTTGTCGTGAGAGACCGTGCCTATTTACCATGCCCAATCGGCTGGATCAGGGAATAACTCTTCGTGGAATTGACTTCCTGCACGCCGGTTGACAGGAATAATGGCCTCATGATTCCATCGTCGCTGAAGAAGATATTTGGTCGCTCCCGTCGGTAATAATCCACACTCGGTCCATCCGTAAAATGAACAGTTGTATTGAAAGCAACCGTCGCGTTATTGAAAGTCCATTTCCCATTCCATGACCTTGCAAACGCATGACGGCCGACATTGGGCCCATCCCCGAACCCACCATCCGGAAGAAGTGAATGAACTAGCATATGATAGTTGCCACGCTTGTCTGTCCAGATGAATGGATCCTCGCTTGGTTCCTGAAAGATCGGCTTCTGAGGGTGGAGACGCTTGTAAAAGCTAGTGGGGTCGCCGGCGGATGCCATGTTGATCAGCTCTTCTCCAGAGCAGTTGTACGGGCAACCACGGTAGGCCAAGACCACATCGCGCGTGCTTGCAGAAGATCCAGAGGGAACATGGAGTGGCGCAGGATTAGTGACGTCGGCGTCCCAGCTGCCATCGTTGGCTCCTTGGATAACCTGGCCGTGGGCAGTCCAGTCGCGGAGGTCTGGAGAAGTCCATACACTTATTCCACTCTCCCCGTTCAGAGTGTTTCCTGGTCCGCAGGAGTAACTCAGACTCTTGCAAGTGGTGGGTACTTCTGTCCGACACCCGATGGAATAAAGCACATATTGTTGTTCTGCTTCGTTCCAGACAACCGACGGATTATGAGCAAAGGATGGCACAATCTCCTGCTTGAACTCATAAGGACCGACAGGATTGGTAGCCTCGGCTCTGATGATGCGACTAAACGGTGCCCAGTAGTCAAGCCCACAGCGGTGTGTAAATTCAGACACAAACAGGTGATAACGGTCATTTCTCAAAGGATCCTTTACAATTGAATTGCACCATGATGATGTCCCTATCTTGTTCAAATTATATCCGTTTTGTATAGGACCGGGGCGTAGATCCAATTTACCACAGTCTGCGCCCAACCATCCAGTATCACAGTGACAGACACCGCCTGTGCATACGCCATTTAGATCGCAATCTTCGTCCGTTATACATGCATTGGCTTGCAGGAACCGACCAAGGAGTGATATCGACAGTAATCTGTAAAGGGAAATTCTCATTATGAAAAACCTCGGTGAGATCTTCGTAATTGGGAACTGAAAAAGCTGCGAGGAGTCAAGTTATACGTGGGTGTTAAAACCAGAGAATAACATTCAGATAAGAATGTCAGCTCAAGTGCGGGGGGACAAAAGTCGGGGAGAAGTCAACCGGAATGAAGATCAAAGCATAGCGGAGATTGGAGCTTAGAGGGTAGGATGACAGCCGTGAATGCTACCCTGTAGTTTTACTTTTTTAGCCTATTACCCGATGGGTACTAATCATTTTCCGTCTTCATGGCAGCTTAGTCCTCGATAAATGAACATTCTGGCCTAGTTGGAGGCGTCTCATGTCAATAACTGAGGAATCTCGCCATTCTGGCCAGGGCTTGAAATATTACAATGAAGGATGGCAAGGTTGGGTTGGGGTGGGGGGGTTATACATACAACCTTGGATTTATATTGGGTGCATCATCTCCGGCAAAAACGACCATTTAGGAATTCCCAGCCCGCTCTGTACGTTGACTCAAGATGTACAGATAGAATGCAGCCCATCTTGAAAATTCATCTATATGTATGCACTCCATAAATATAAAAGTGAAAGTAAAAGAGTTAATTCAATCCGATCGTGTCCAGTGGCCCAAGCCACATGGCATCCAACCCCCACGTCACGTCACGTGGCAGCGACGCAGCATTCGAGAAATATCCAGACCTTCACGTTAGATCCGTTGGACTGGTTGAGTTGAGGCGCCGATCACAAAACTTCGTCCCAGGTTGTGTCATTTCGCATGGGCCATCAACATCCCCAGAAGGAATGCGCTCATACTCCGGCTGGTACGTGCATGATCCTCCGCTGATATTTCCCATCGCTTATCCGCTGTCCCAGTTTGACATGCAAAGGCCGGAAGTTGAAATGCGATGAGGCCAAGCCTGCTTGTGGGAACTGTAACAAAGCCTCTCGGGAGTGCACTTACGGAGAAAGCTCTATTTTCCGTAGCCAAAAAATTGGTTCAACACCCGGGCGCAAGCGAAGGAAAAGAAACCTGCGGGAGAATGTGCCACCCACCATCGAGGAGAGTCCTACTTGGGTAGATGTTCCCACTGAACGTTAGTGTGAAGCCTCGATAAATTTCACCATGCTGATATTCGACAGTTTCGTTTGTACAAATTGAAGATCCGTGGGCACCTGATAGCTCAAAAGTTGTAAAGGATGGTGAGACCGCCATAGGCACAGAAGAAGCTCATGTAGATGGGGAGCAATACCCTACAGGAGCAAATGACCTTTCTGTCCACCATGAAGCCCCAGAGAGTGTACATTTCGAGCCTTCTCCACTTCATCATGCACCGATATTAGATCACAGCACGCCTCGGGAAGATACCTCTACCGTTCAGGTTGGCGAAGAATTTGATATTGATATCTTCGACAAGGTCCTTGTGTCATACTTGTTGCGGCATTTTAAGCAAGGTCCAGGACAGTGGTACGTATAAACGAACATGGTATCTACATTCTGCTGTTAACGATAACCAAGGATGGATCTTTTTGACTCGTCTGCCTACTTCTCTTCCAAGGCGCTTGTGATAGCAGCATCAAACCCTCTTTTAAAGTCCGCAGTGTGTGCTCTTTCTGCAAAGCATCTCAGGCACATCTGTCAAACCACGAGCCAGGCTGGAGAAGGCCCTGGAATCATATCCAGATACCCTGGTCTTCCTTGGACGAACGTAGAAATTTGGCGATACAACTCGGCAAAATACTACGACCAAGCTCTTGGTCACCTCAAAACCGCCGTTGACGTGGAGTCATATATGAACAATCTCTCGGAAAAGGAGGAAATGCTCGCTGCCGTCGCAATATTGTGTGCGTTTGAGTTAATGGACGCCCCTGGTAGTGCGTGGAGGGCTCATCTGAGTGCATTACCTCTTTTTAATGATAGGACTGCCTCCATGTCAGACCTATCAACGGTTGTCATCCCTAGGACCGCTGTCAAGGGACCGATATTCTGGAGCCTTGCAAGACAAGACTTGTTATGTGCCTGTAAGCTCTTACAACCCCCCATGAAAGACAAATACAGACTGACAAATCAGTCATAAGCGAAACCCAGACTCGACTGGACCTGAAAGACATTCGTCTCTGGCAGAATGCAGGCCTAGCCACCGATGAACACGGAGAGCTCCTACCCTACAGCCCTCTAGATGTGATGGAGAACCAGAACTCTTCTGGGTTCGAAGAAGACATGAAAAGCAACGAACTCACATGGATTCTCGGCAAGCTTGCAAACCACTTGACAGCCGGAGATGCTTTGACTCCCGAGCACAACGCACTGCCACGCCACCAGCGGCTCTCAATCGGTTTAAACCAAGAATACCTCCTGGAAAGATGGAATCTACTGATGACAGACTTAGGGAGATGGCACGACTCCCTCCCGGCATCCTTCTGTCCGACTGCTCGCACAAGAAGATTAGGCCACGCAAGCCCAGGGCTTGAACTAAGCTTCAATACCTTTGAGCAGATCTGGTTCGACCTGCCCTTATGTGCCGCAACAGTACAAAGCTACCACCAAGCGAAGATATTGCTATTGGCGAACGAGCCACAAGAGTCGACCGCTATTCGATCGACTGTTTCCGCACGGTTGAGATCATATCGACATGCTCTCAGAGAAGTCATATACCATGCTAGAGAAATTTGCGGTATTAGTCTTGCAAATTCGACTGATCCCTTCCGGGTCAACTCTGTGCAGGCTCTATTTGTTGCCGGACAGGTCTTTCAGGAACAGCATGAACAGGATGCGGTCATCGAAATACTTTCTGGCATTGAGCGAGATCTTGGTTGGACTACGAGATATCATGTCGCCAAGTTGAATGATGAATGGGCACGAGGGAGGGAGGGTAATCATATCGATCGGGATGAACAGGGTCATGACCGCAATTGGTTCATTTCTTAGGGATGTACTTGCACAGCTGCATGCACTTTCGAGGATTTAAGATACCTAGTAGAATTTTGATTGACATAAAAAAATGTTTCGGCGGTTATGAAAGGAAAAGTCTAGGAATATCCAAATAAGAGCCTGATAAAGAAACAAAAGAAGAACACTTCTCGACCAGACAGACGTTGTACTATTTTCACACCGACGCCTTCTCAACCTCTTCTATCTCATGGATCACATGGGAATCAAGACCAACAGGTCTATCTTGCTTTTCAAGCAAGCTACCACATTCTCGCAAATTGGACTCCTCTGCATTGGAATCTTCAGTAAACTCGAGCTGTCGATATTCACAATTCCGATAGCCAGTACCTGAGAAGAGCCAGCATTAGCAACGAAGAGGCTAGATGGCCATTTCACACAGCAATCATACCTCGAGCTTTTTCGTAGCCCGTCCAGTCCTCGGTAAAGTAATGCAAAAAGGCACCATGAGTCACGAGTGCGATGTGCTTCTCCGGACGATTGTATATCCAGTTCCGCATGGCAGCGGCTCTTTCTCGAACTGCTCTCAAAGTGGGGGCATAGATTCCTTTCTGTGAAAATAATCAGTATGGGAATTGAGTCAAATATCATCTTCGTCAGAAAATCCCACCTTTGAGTTCCAGGACTCGTCAACCAGAGTCATATCTAAGTTCGCCAGATCATAGGAAGGTGCTGCCTCAGCGATCAAGTTTGGAGCCTCGCTTTTGGTGATAGTAGCCTCATAGCCAAGATCACACGTCAAATAACTGATTTCTTGTGCATTGGGAACCAACACAATGGGTAGCTGTCGCGCCTCCAATTCAGGTGCGAACACGTAAGCGGCTGTTTGAATGGTGCGCCTCAACGGAGATGCAAGTACAACATCCACATCTTGAAGAAACGGGAATTCTTCTTGAAGCTCTTTACACTGAGCCTTGCCAGTTTCCGTCAAAAGAGGATCCCGAAGATGATGAGAATCCTATGGAGTAAGTTAGATACTTCATTGATAACAGAATAGGGTGAATGGTAGTGTTAAGTACGTTGACATTGTGTTCGCCTTGCCCATGGCGAATGATATAGACCGTTGGAGACATTAGGCAAAGACAAGAAACACAAGGATAAGGTTGATGGCTCAGAGGAGTTAATAATGACTGCTGGAAACTCGAAGAATCCCTTTATTCAAGCGGTTGTCTCGTGAGAAAATTCGAGACCGTTTTTTGTGGATCTTGCCTCAAATCTTCAAAGTGGCCTTAAACAATTTCGCTAGCTGTACACAGATTTCTCTTGATGGTTCTCGAAAAGGTACTTGTAGAAGGTGGGGCCGTGATCTAGAAATGGAAATGTTATCGGACTTGGAGATCTCGGGTCTCTTTCTGCATGAGAAGCAAGGCCGTTGTACAGTACTTTTATTCACTATCTGACGAGTATATTCTACAAGAGAGGTCCAAGGCTGACTGGCTACCAGAAGGGAATTTGAGCCCACATATCAAAACCCCTTCCCCCCCCCCCCTTCCCCCCCCCCAAAAAACTACAGCCGTATCAGGTGGTAGTGTAAGAATGTCTAACTGGGGGACATGACTGTCCGTCCGGACATAATTAGGACAGACGGAGAATTATATATAGAGAGAAATAAATAGGAGTCAAAAGACATTTGAAAAGCTATTCATAGGGACATTTAGTAAGAGGAAAGGACTGCAGGAATTACTTCAGGCACTTCTCGGCTTGACTTCCGTTCTTGGAACCGAGCATATTGACCCGTCTTCCCCATAGAATAAGTGGACTATCCACAACATCTCTCGGCAGGCCTTCCCCTCTCATTTCAGCTCGGTGAAGAAAGGCCCGTAATCTCATCAGAAATGAAGTAAAGGGTGGGACTTTTTTCAAAAGCTGACCATCGTTACTATTAGTTTAGATGGTGGTCACAGACCCTCCCAATGTACAGTAGGCTTGACTACTGTGATCACTACCTGCAGATCAGCAGTAACTATAAGAAGAAAACAGCCCCCCTCTTCGGCCAGATGGCCGATTCCATTCTCCAAGCCTCCCATTTCTCTCGGAAGAACAACATGACACAACCACTGCGCCTCCAAGATAAAATCGCCATCGTAACTGGTGCATCTTCAGGTCTCGGTCGAGCCATCGCCGTCAGATACGCACAAGAAGGCGCAAAAGTAGTCTGCGCCGACTTGACACCAACAGCCCGATCGCAAGAAGAAGCGGAGATCCCAACACACGACTTGGTAGCCAAGAATGGCGGGTTTGCGATTTTCGTGCAAACCGACGTTGGAGATGCGACGCAAATGGAGAATTTGGTTCAGGTAGCCGTGAAGGAGTATGGTAGGCTTGATATGTAAGAGCCATACGTTGGATATTGGAGACCGCCTATACTCAGACTAATTGAATGTATAGTCTGGTCAACAATGCTGGAATCAGCATCGAGGCACGGACACCAGCTGTGCTACATTTGACCGATGAAGCTACGTGGGATACGACGATGCGTGTGAACAGCAAGTCTGTGTTCCTTGGCTGTAAATATGCTCTTACGCAGATGCTGGTGCAAGAGCCGCATTCTTCGGGGGATCGAGGATGGATCATCAACATTTCATCCATTATGGGCATGATCGGAGGCCCGGAGAACCGTAAGTTGGACAATCAATCGATAGACTGTCATGACTAATGTCGAGCGCGTCCAGCTTCTTATTGTGCATCTAAGGGGGCTGTCAGCCAACTGACGAGACAAATGGCTCTGGATTATGCACCTCATAGAATTCATTCCAATGCGATCTGCCCTGGATGTGAGTCGCAGAACAAAGGATCCAATGTTGATCCAATATTGATGCTGATATCGGCTGTAGATACTCAAACTGCCATTTTCAAGGAGACAACTACTAATTTAACTCCCTGGGCGGAGCTGAACCGCCGACACCCGCTAAAAGGCCCGGGTCTTCCAGACGATATTGCCAAGATGGCTGTCGTTTTGGCAAGCGAAGATGCCAGCTGGGTTACGGGAGTTTGTTTGCCGGTGGATGGAGGTTACACAGCTCGCTAGTGTTTTTGAGGTTGAAAGCCTTTGCTGTTCAAATGTGCAGAGTTGACAGCAGCTTCAATGCTCTATATAAGATGCTTATTTGTATAGAAGGAAACCGAACTCAAACAGAGTCGTCTTTTTCTACCACGTGCTCCTCCAGGGTTCCAAAGAAATGATTCAGCTCGGTATAAAAGAGTAGAACTGTAGACGAGAGCAGGAGTGATTGAATAGTCGCTAAAACAACAAGAGAAAAGCCACCTGGGCAAAGCATAAGCGTTCACACCGTTGGTCTATTCGTCACTTTCCGACTCGACCTGGTCGTTCTCGAGGTGCTTCTTGCGCTCCTCACTCAGTTCTCGGTAAGTGCTCCAGCTCAAGAGGAAGAATGCGACCATGATAAAGATGCCGCCAATTATAGCGGCCCAAGAAAGTGGCTGTCCCGTGCGGAACCAGTCGACGATTGCGACGAGGAAAATCGTGAGGAGTGCCGCGACGGATGAAAGGACGGGTGAAGTAAGGGAGATGAGCACCAGGAATGACCCGGAGAATGCTACATACGGGATTAGCTTCGGTTCATGAGCATCGTGGAGAACGGTACTTACTGGCATTGGCACAGATGGAGACGAGGAGCATCCAGCCCGCCTCACCAGTGGGGAAGCGGAAGGTTTCCCAGCCGAGAACGTGTAGGATTGGAATAGGAATCCACAGCACTAAAAGAGTAAAGCATCCAATCATGCTGCCAAAAGCGTTGGCAAAGATGGTTCCCCGGCCGGGGCTAGTGCCCTCTGGAGGACAGGCAAAGCGCTTATACAGCACCTCGTAGAGTCCGTAGAGAATGCTACCGACGCCGATGACAATGTTTCCCAAAAGCCGACTACTTGCTTCTTGGTCATCTTTGGTTGTGCCTCCCTTGGAGACTTTTTTGTCTGGTCGATCACCATATGCAACTACAAGCACACCGACGATGGCGATGCCAACGGCGAAGACCTTGTCAAAGCGCAGTTTCTCGTTGAGAAGAGGGATTGAAAAGGCATAGGCAAAGAAGGCGGAGCAGTTGTAAATCGCAGTCAAGTCACTGGCCGTGGTCAGGTTGACGGCGACATACCATGAACCACCAGCGATGGTAAGAGCGGTGGTCACGAAGGCGGTAGTTCTCAACATGTATGGAATGGGCGAGCGGCGGGAAGAGCGGGAGCTGAGGTGGACCTCTTGGGCTTCTACCATCTGGGCAGTGGTCTTGATAAGAAAGACGTGTCGGCGCCAAAAGGCTTCCCATGATAGCTTGCGTTTTTGGATTCGGAGAATGAGGAGCTGGACAGGCCAAAGCAGTGACCAAGAGCCGTGAGTGACATATCTATAAGGGAAAAGAATTGGTCAGTCATGATTGTTGGGAGGAAACGGGGTACTTTAGGGTTCGATCTATCCAGCCCCATCCTGGTCAAGTCCAAACTTACAGCATGCAATAAGGCTTGTTCCAACCCAGCTCGTGCTGAATATATACAGCCGTCTCCGTTTGGACGACGAAACTAGCCAAGCTGAGTAGGAGAAAGCCTGCGGCAATCATGTACTTCTTTCGAGTTGCTTGGGCAGCATCGTATTCGCTGTTTCTACTCTGGATGGTAGGACGGCGCGTGTGATGCAACATAGGCCGGCCCTCTGTATCCCCGTTTCCAAAACTAGATTGCGAGAGGCGGCCATGGCGGTCATCTTTGAGTAACGGTTGCTGCGATCGGCCATCCGTTGGACGGTGCAATGGGGGGCGGTTGACAACCATGTCGTCGTCTGAATCCTGAGAATAGCGACCCGGCTCCGGGGTGGTAGATTCCCGCGATTCTCCAAGTTCGATATTATCCGCCACAATGTCGTTCTCCTCGATGGGTCGCTTGTGGATCTCACACGCCTCCTTTTGCGCTAAAAGGTTCTCGTCTACCCTAGCCCTGATAACAGATAAGAACAGGAAACTCTGGCAAAGTTCCACTCATTCAGATATCTAGATCTGAGCTGAAAGTACCCGTATATCTAGTCCCCAAGATCTCGCTCATATAACCAGAGCACCGGTCACTGGGCGGTTCGCATGCGGCCAACTTTTCGGAGTAGGTGATATTGCGGCCACGTAGGGGGAACAGCGGTGCAGGGGCCGAGGCGATATCGGTGGGTGACGTGACCAGATTCTTTGCCAGGTGGTGCAGGTGGGACAATCTGACTATCACAAGTGAAGAAGAATCGGGAGTTAATTGGTGGCAAGCCGGGGAGGCTTGCGATGTCCAGGGAATGGACGCCTTCGTCATCACGATGTTCCGCTTTGGGGATGGCGTTTCCACGTGACCTGTCCCTGAGCGGGGAGCTAGTACCAATCTGGACCAGCGCAAACTTAGATAATAGCCATGCCTGCCTCAGGTGCTGATGGAATGTGACCAAAATTAGCAGCTGGTGAGACTGGAGGCCTTCTCCATGCTGATTAACCTTGTTTGAGGGCCCTGGCACCAGACAATCAGCTGATCTAGATGTGTCACGTCGCTTCGTAACTGCTGCTTGCTGCAGCTCCCTAACACGTGAAGTATGCCGTCTACAACGTTAAGATCAGGCCAAGAACATAACTCGCATGGACCTTAATACGCTATGACTTATCCTCCTGTGAGTATTTTGGTAACAGTAAATTCTAGTATTAGCCGATCCTATGTACTAGATGCATAACAATTAACCCTAGAAACTTCCTCTCGTGGCACTCCTTCAAGCCTTCGACTTGGGCTTGAACAGGGCCTCCTGGGTGTCATATGTGTACTTGAGATCCAGGTGCCAGTAGTTCGGAGACGTAGGCTTCGTAATCAACCACGCCTTGTCAAGAACCTCCACCACCTCCTCCGGGAGTGGACCCTTCTGCAGGTCTCGCAGGTTGGCCTCTAACTGGCCGAAGCTGCTAACTCCGATCAAGATACCATCCCGGCCACCGTTGTCGATGTTGAGAGCCGAGTGGTAGCGCACCCAGCGCAATGCTGTTTCCACGAGAGTGAGACCGTGTTTCTCGACAACGGGCTCGATAATTTTCAGAGCATCAAAGTTCGCATCCTTGAAGTAGCGCTTGCGATAAAGGGCACCTGTGGCGCTAGCATCACTGTATCGCCCCTCAGCAGGTATGTCGTGTGTCTTAAATTTTCCGGAGAATAGACCACCGGCAATGGGATTGTAGATGACAATGTCGAGGCCATAGCGGCGGCAGGCGGGGATCAGCTCAGTCTCAATATTGCGAGCTATTTGGAAAATTGTTGTGAGCGAAAGCTTCAAAATTTTACGGGAACCACGGCAGGGAAATGGTGCGAGGTATTCAACCTACTGATGGCATTGTACATGGCCTGGAATATTGTAGGACGCACCCAGCCCTTCTGAGCGCAGAGAGTAACAATCTCGGCGACCTCGAAGGCCGTATAGTTACTTAGACCCAATTCGACAAACTTGCCCTCCTTATGAAGCTCATTAACAGCCTCAAGAGTCTCGGCAAAAGGAACCGATCGATCTGGGGCATGCAGATAGAAAATATCAACCTGGTTGGTATTCAACTCCTTGAGGGATAGCTCGAGCTTCTCACGTAGGACGGCCGGCTTGTGCGCGCCGGGCTGGTGCGGATACCATTTAGTCGCGAGTTTCAAGCCTCGATCTTTCCAGTTAGCCTTGGCAGTGAATGCTTCCTGCTCTCCACCCACGTAGACCCGTGCGGTGTCGACCTCGTTGAAGCCTTGCTGCTGGAAGTGATCGAGGCAGCGGTTATATTCGTCAAGTGAGGTGATGCGGGCACCTTTGTCCTCGCTGGGACCAAAGGTCATCAACCCGAGGATGATTCGAGGCTGGAGATTCTGGGCAATGAGAGGCATTGTGACTGTTGAGGAGTTGGAGAAATGAAGGCGGGGGGAGGGGCTGCGGAGTCAACCGATAGCGGGAGCTGCCATCGCGCAATTGCTTTGCGGAACCGACCGCCCTACACCGTGGGCAACCTTCATAATTACTGTCTATCTCTGTTTCTTTCTCACGCCACACTCGACACAATGGCGGCATCAGATGATGGTGCATTCCGCATCTTGGTGATCAATCCCAACACATCTACGCATATGACAGAAGCTTTAAAGCCCATCCTGGACCGACTCAACTACGCCGATGTTCGTTTCAACTATTTCACAGCTCCCGACGAGACGCTTACAATCAACGGAGCTGTATGCGAGCCAATCGCCAGCATCAATAATGGGGACGATTCTGCCAAGTCGGCGCTGAACTGCACGTCCGTTCTTGAGCTCGTGCCTCAATACGATGCTTTTTTGGTAGCGTGCTATTCTTGCCATCCTCTAGTGGGAATGCTGCGACAGCACATCAGAGAGCTTGAGCAGACCACTTCATCACGAACGAAATATGTGACGGGCATTTTCGAAGCTAGCGTTGTTGCTTCCTTGTCCCTGATCAGTGGATTTGATTTTGTGAGCCCCGGAGCTCTGAAGAAGAAGCAGGTGGAAGAAACATTTGGCATCATAACCACCGGCAGTGCATGGAAAGATGAGCTCAGCGGAGCCGTGAAGGAAATGTTGGTGGGTCAGGGCTCATCTTCGCGCTTCGCCGGTGTTGAGACTACCGGGCTTACGGCAGTTGAATTACATACAACTGCATGGGATGAGGTGAAGCGAAGGCTTATCGGTGCCACTCAAAAATTACTGAAGAGTGCACCGAGTCCAGTTGGTGCAATTTGCTTGGGCTGTGCGGGCATGGCAGGCATGGAGGAAGCAATCCGGGAAGGTTGTATTCAGGCCTATGGAGAGGAAGGTCGTCGAGTGAGGATTGTGGATGGCGTTGTTGCAGGAGCTGGAAACCTGGTGACAGCCTGTAAAGCTGGATTTTAAAGAGCCCAAAGGCATACTGAGATTCAACAACACCTCGTTCATGCTTCTAGGGTTCTCTTCGAGGAAGATATCCTCAAGGAAACACATGCAATACCCCAGTGCTCAAAAATTGCAGTCGCGTCACTTTGAATGAAAACAAATTTTTTTGAACCGCTATCAATGCCAACCCATCCCTAAGAAATGAAATAGAAATGACTTTCGATGCCCATTGTTGATGTCCAACCATACTGATGCCTGAGGCTAACAAATGCCGGCCAAAAAGTTCCCCGCGCCCAACGCGGTACGCGTGAACCAAACCCCATCGACGGCAACTGGCGACAACGATGCCTAGGTACATGGCCCAAGAGATCTGCGGTCTGGCAAGACCCTCTCAGAAACCATACCGCTGACACTCTGCGACCCTTAGGGAAATCATCACGATCCAAGCCGGCCAGTGCGGCAACAATGGTATGTGGACTCCGCAATGCTCGCCCGATTTCAGCTTCACGATCACCTATACTCCTGTGTCGACCTTGTCGAGCCGATTTTGCAATTGTGAATTACGCAAGTGCGTCGCTAACCTCGAGTCTTCATAGTCGGCAGTCAGTTCTGGCAACAGCTGTGCCAGGAGCACGGAATCAACCAAGACGGAAACCTAGAGGAATTTGCGACCGAGGGTGGAGATCGCAAAGATGTTTTCTTTTACCAGGTAAGATTTCAAAGATTGAGCAGGCTATATGGTCAATTGCTCGACTCGGTATAGGAGCCGAAGCTAATGGACCTCTCCGACAGAGCGACGACACCCGATACATTCCCCGAGCGATCCTCCTCGACTTAGAACCTAGGGTATGGATTTCAATCTTAGCAAAAGAGCGATGCATGACCTAGCAGTCCGGACAATGACTGAGAATTCGATAGGTTCTCAATAACATCCAAACCGGCCCGTACAAAAACATCTACAACCCCGAGAACTTCTTCGTGGGACAGCAAGGCATCGGTGCAGGTAACAACTGGGGCGCCGGCTATGCGGCGGGAGAAGGTGTTCAGGAGGAGATTTTTGACATGATCGATCGAGAAGCAGATGGAAGTGACTCACTAGAGGTATGAACGTGCCAACCCGGGGAACTATGTTTGAGGCTCACTTTGAATGCAGGGATTCATGTTGTTACACTCAATTGCAGGAGGCACAGGCTCGGGATTGGGCAGTTTCATACTGGAGCGGATGAACGACCGATTCCCCAAGAAGCTCATCCAGACATACTCCGTCTTTCCGGATACGCAATCGGTGGATGTGGTTGTCAACCCTTACAACAGTCTACTTTCGATGCGGCGATTGACACAAGACGCCGACTCTGTGGTACGAACCCTTGTTAAAAATCATTGAGTGATCGAAACTAAAGCGCGCCAGGTTGTTCTCGACAATGGAGCTCTCTCAAGAATTGTGGCCGATCGACTTCATGTTCAAGAGCCCTCTTTCCACCAAACTAACCAGCTTGTAAGCGTCACTCCAAATTTGATATGCAAAGCTCTGGGCTGACTGGCGCAGGTTTCAACGGTCATGTCGGCCTCCACTACCACACTTCGATACCCCGGCTACATGCACAATGACCTCGCAGGAATCATTGCATCGCTGATCCCGACGCCACGCAGCCACTTCCTGCTCACCTCTTACACACCATTCACGGGTGATAACATTGAGCAGGCCAAGACTATCCGCAAGACAACCGTTTTGGATGTGATGCGACGCCTTCTACAGCCAAAGAATCGCATGGTCTCTATTAACCCCAGCAAGACCAGCTGCTACATCAGTATTCTCAACATCATTCAAGGTGAAGCTGATCCAACCGATGTACACAAGTCTCTGCTACGCATTCGAGAGCGTCGCCTTGCATCATTCATTCCCTGGGGCCCTGCCAGCATCCAAGTGGCGCTCACAAAGAAGTCTCCATACCTACAGCACACCCACCGAGTGAGTGGTCTCATGCTGGCAAACCACACCTCCGTCGCAACTCTTTTCAAGCGAATTCTGAGCCAATACGACCGACTGCGCAAGCGCAATGCATTCATAGAGCAATACAAGAAAGAAGCGCCTTTTTCCGACGGTCTTGGCGAATTCGACGAAGCGCGCGCCGTGGTCATGGACCTGGTACAGGAGTACGAGGCCGCGGAACGAGCCGACTACCTGGACCCCGGTGCCGGAGAAGGACAGGAGATGGGGGCGTGATATGCTAGATGCTAGGAGAGCAGGTCTATTTTCTTTCATTCATGTTTTTGCTTTGGCAGGGCAAGGGGTTCGGGCGCATAAACGGGTGCGTGCGCAGGGCCGGCGTTCATGTTCATGTTCATCTTTGTCTTTGTCTTTGTCTTAGTCCACTCAGGAGGTCAATCCCATTTTCTTTGATGAGTCTCGTGGTCATGCCAACACATAGCTCCCTGGAACACGTAGAGTGGAAGTGGAATTCCGGGTGATCCGCAAGGTGCGACGGGCCGGCGATGTGCATTATGGTAGGTAGGTAAGACGCATGCAGGCCGGTGCTTTCCCCCCCTCCCCCCCCAAAAAAATTATATAAAAAAATTTGGGCTAGATGTGAAAGGGTGGGAACGCTTTTCTTGTGCTGGCGCAGATGGGAGTGGAAGCTCACTACGTGGTCCTAGGATGCGCAATGGCTGGTCGCAGATCACACGTGCTTCGCTAGGGCGGATTGGCTGGGAGACTCGTCCATTCCTGCGGAGGACAAGTGTCGCGGGCCATAGCTCTCTGGAGTTGGGTACGAGAGCAGTAGCGGTGGGCAGGACCCCGATTTGCCCTCTGGTCTTATCTGTACTCGGAGGAATCTCTCTGGACGAACTCGTCTGTCGCCACTCCGAAGGGTGGATCTCGGGTAAAAAGCATTCTAAAATGATAGTCTATCCAGGTCATGCCGTACTATACACGTGATAGAACGGAGTCAAGTGAGCCGATAGCTCCACTCGATTCGATAGCGGTAGGCACCTATAGACGGAAGTAGTGCGCACGTATAATCGCTCGAAACACGACGTGCACGGACTATGGCTACATTCCGATCATTGGCATCCCTGGCTGCTGGGTCGCGTGTGCCGACGCAGATGGCGCCTAAAGGGGGCTAACTCCATACTCGAGACGCACCTGAGGAGATGGAGGCCTGTAGGCAAAGAGTGTACGTGGTGGAAAAGCGCCACTCCGAAGTTCGGGGTACCCGTTGGGACCGGCAAAAGGGGGCTAGGCATGTACAGATGGGTTTAAATGGGTTGAAACGGGTTAATCAAGTGGCCCGAATGGAGCCTATCGAACCTTTGGGGACCCGCTCGCCTCCACGCCCAGCGATGACTGATTCCGTCACTCCATGGACTTCTATGGAACTGACTCAGCCATTAGACTCCGACCATTTAATCTGCTGGATCCGGATCTTGCATCTTTGACTTTTTGCCTCTCTCCGTCTCTTCCGCTCCCCCTTTATATAGCGAGTGTCCAGCCCCCGGTGCCAGGCCATCGTCTTGTCTCCCATCTTCCATCTCTCATCTCCCCATCTCCCCGAGGTACGTACTCCTCCTTCTCCGCTCATCCCTATCCAACTTGACTCACCATTCTCTCAGCTCCTGCTTCTCTGCCCCTATCTTGCGGACCTCATTGATCTCGCCACTATTTCAATCTGCACTTTTCGGCGGCCCGTCCTCGGCGCTTATTCTTCAACTCAACCTATTGCCACTGCAACGGTCACACCAGTGATCCAGCACCTGTCCACGCCGATCCTCTTCACCGCGGCGTCTCCTTCTCAACCACCCCACCCCACACCTTCTACATACATCATGGCCCCTCGCAAGCCCCGTTGCAACTTCAAGGAGTGCAAGGAAGCCGCCCAGCGGATCGTCGGCGATTGCAGCTTTTGCGCCGGCCACTTCTGTTCCAAGCACCGCATGTTGGAAGCACACTCTTGCAGCGGCCTGGAAGACTGCAAGAAAGAGTCGCACGCCCGAAATGCCGACAAGCTGAACAGCGAGCGAACAGTAGTCGTCAAGGGGGTATAAGACATCTGGTGTGATCGGAAATCGAAACCCTGATGGTTTGTCGCCATTCAGCTGGTTGAATTTAGCGCGGTGTTCCTGTTCTGTTCAGTTGTGACCATCTTTCTGCCTGGGGGGGTGTTTGCTTGCCTTTTTTCTCTCGTCTTTGGCCATGGCCCTGTTTTCTCCTTTCTCTTCTCTGGAGGGGGAGGCTCTATTCTCTTCTACCATCTACACGGCGTTTTGTTTCATCCCTTTTTTTTCTTTCTCTTCATTCTACTCCTTGGGAATCCTGTTCTGCATTCGCCTGGCATGATGCTTTGAAACCTGCCTAGTCTTTGATCTTTTGGACTTTCGGGACTGCTTCATAGAGATCCTGCGGGACTCCCATGGACATAATCTTCGTTCTAGCCGGTTTATTTGGAATTTATATGAATATACCATTTCGAAGTGTGTCATGATACTCTGTTTCCTGGAAACTCCACGCTGGAAGCTGTAATTTGTAATTTGTAATTTGTAACCTGGAACCTGTAGCCTGTGACCTGTGATCTCAACCAGGTCCAATCTTCGGCCTGTGCATGTGATTAGCACAATCTCGACCAAAAAGGACACAGACACGTACATGTCGTGATGCTCACTCAGCCTGCTGAGATACTTGTTCAGCTCCTCGACACGCTCCTTGTGCGTCTTGATTCCCTCCTTCTGGAGCCTCTCATGCAACTAGTCTCGTTAGCCCTGGAACACAGACTCAGTGACGCCATCGAGCCACTGATCTTCAGACATCAGGCTCGGTACATACTCGTTTTCGCCTGATTGCTTCATATTTCCTCTCTGCCTCGGTTTTCGCGGTTGAGTCTTCCGGTTCATCGTCCACCTGAGGGGATTTGGTCTCCGCATCTGGTTCCCGGGTTGGTTGATCCTGCTCCGCCTTCTCTTTCTTCTTCAGGCTCTTCTTCTTTTTCTTCTCCACGCGTCCATCGCTCACTTTGCTCCCCTTGAGCTTGAGCTTACCACCCCCGCCAGTGGAGTAATCATCTGGCGCCATGGGGTGGGGAGAGTGTGAGAGGTGATTTGCGTGCGGAGTAAGAGGGGAAAAGACCGGCTGGGTTGGGGGGGGGGGGGGGGGGGGGGGGGGGGCTGCTCCTCCTGTCCACTGGAATCTAGCACGCTAAACTTCCAAGGTTGGAAATGACACAAAGGATTTGGGAGAAGTAGACTTGCGGTAAGCGAGGCAGGAAAGGCAGAGGCGCAATTGGAGAAGGAAAGTTGAAGTCGGGTCGAGGGCGGTGGGCCAATCAGAGGCGGTGGCGGAGACTATCTTGATTTTGGGCAAGATGACAGTTGGACCTGGTCACATCGGGATAATGGGACGTGATACCAATCATGTTCCATGGATCTCACAGTGTGGCACTTTCCAGTGCCCAGGCTGTCGTTCTCTTTTACCTCGCGTTCGGTTGAAAGTGTCGGTCAGATAGGCGTACGATTTCCAGGTAACCGCGCCAACCGACCGATCTATAGCTTATCTCTTCAGGCTTTGAGTGATAGTTCTTTCGTGTGCTCATTAATTCGGATCTATGTCGTTTGTCTCTTTTCTTTTCTCCGGTTTACTAGACTAATCAAAGGGGATCGGGCGCAGTCCCGATCCACCCATCCGCTTGCGCATCTCCGCACCTGCAGCTACCGTACTGGGTACCTTGATACCACAGCAGTCGCCAAACCAGTCGGCGTTCTGATCGTGGGCATGATCATGAGCATGGTCATGACCATCCGCGCCATCTTCCTCTGTGAGCTCGCCCATGCCCTCGGCTGCGGGCAGGAGACTACCGAACAGGAAATGCTGCATGATGGGCAGTTTACCCAGTACCTCCTTGACAAACATCTTCTTCATGCCGCTCTCGACTTTAAACCAGTTCTTCGCACCCGAGATGTCATCCAGCATGGGGCTGTGCCAGCGGAGACCTTTCACAGTCTTGACGCTGTCCACCCACCGTACCTGGTCTAGGTAGAGATACCTATCTCCTTCTTCATCCAGCATGGCGGTATTGTGAATGCCCAGAGGGGTCACGTACGGATGATCAACCAGCTGGCTCGCACCAAACAAGAACGGGAGGAAATGGTAGTCATCTAGACCCCAGACACCATGAGATCCCGCAGGCTCCAGATAGTAAATGGACTGGATATCCCGCATGAGATGCAGGTACTCAGTGTAAACCTTGCACACCACGGCGGGGAAGTCCGCAGCCGGAAGTCGCCCCAGCTGATAGAGAGATAACAGCCACATCATAAAATTCAGCTCGTGGCCCGAGCCGTAGTCCAGCCGGTCTCGCGAGCCCAATGAGTGGATCAGATATGCCGATACCTCGGAGATCGCTGCAGTATCCTTCAGTCCCAGAAGATCACTGTGCCACGATGCGCTCTGAGCGGCGACATCGTCAAATAGGGTACGGAAAGCAGGGTTGCCAAATCGCGATCCACCCTGATCGATTGCCGGATGCTTGTCGATTAGGGACCGAAGTTGACCAATGACGGAGGATATTCTGGAGATGGCATCGGACTCGGGTTTCTTTTCATCGGTAGTAGCTCGACCGCGCACGGAGTCGGAGAGGCCGAAGATGAATGCAAGCACTAGGTTGTATGTAGGGGAGGAAGTGAAGATCTCATGGTCTTTGGGGGATAGAATGCGGCGAACGGGGCGAGAGTACTGGTGGGCGGAGAGGTCTGGCGGCGTGGGCAAAGGAGGGGTCTTCGGAGTCGCGTCTCGGGCAGCGGTCGATGATCGGCGGTTGCTCGACCGCAAGTCTGATAGCTTCTTTGACAGGTCCACCTTGCCTGCTTGGGGTGGTAATGAAGTAGGAGTCATTTTTGAAGAGTGAGAGATGGGAGTATTAACAACAATTAAACGACAGATGATCGCCATATAGGCAGAAAGGACCCCTAGAGGCCACCGCCTTCTCCAAGCGGCCAAATGATGAAAATCACCGAAAACGGATTGGCGCGGTGGGTATCCCGGCATAGAGAACATGTGATCTTCCCCGGAAAACAACGATCAGATCTCCCTCGCTCAGCTGAGGTCACACTAGACGCACACATGATATATCAAGCCTCAAAATAGACGGGAGGCAAACAGAGACAGAGGAGCTCCGTCACAGCTCGCAACAAGTCCAATCTCAGCCATCTCAACCGAGATATCTCGACAAACATTCAATCTTTCCCACTCCAGATTGGTCCCTGACAGCCCTGAGCTGCATAAGCCTTATATTTTTAAGGCTATCTATTGGACAGTAGCCTCAAGTGACCTACAAGGGCATGAGCACGCCATCATGAATACCACCGACTCATCGGCGACGTCTCCGACAGGCCCCAGCAACGTCGGCCTAGGCCAAGAGATAGGCTCTTCATTGTCACGCTCGTCTACTCATGCAGATTCGGCCCTGCCATCGTCTGCCGGCAGCAGCGGGTCCCGCTCGAGCTTCGGATCCCGAAAGCGTGGCGGGAACCAGCAGACCCAGCAACAGCTTTTCAACGAAACCACTAACCTCTTCAACGTGCCTGGCTCCTCGGCACGCAACTATCAAGCCACTGAGACGCCGGCCCCGCTATATGCACAGAGTGACCAACCCAGGAATGATACGACGAACCATCCCGCACCAAGCAATGGTGTGAACCAAATTAATGGCAGTAGCTGCAACTGCAACTGCAACTGCAACGCCCAGAGCCAACCGACTCAGACGCCAAATGAGCCTGAACTGTCCTGGAAGAGCCGTCTGATAGATATATTTGGCTCCCTGGAACTAGAAAATAAGGGCAGTGTTGCTCGTGACCACCTGGCATTAGGTATGCCACCCAATTCGATACAGCCCAAAGTATACAGCATACTAACGAAGACTAGAACGAACGTTCCTAGCCTGGATGCGCACATCCCTTGCCTTCGCATCAATAGGCATAGCAGTTACCCAGCTCTTCCGTCTGAACAGCGCAAACGAAACAGCAACTACAAAATCTCTCACCAACCCACCTTCCGTGCTCCCCCACTACTCTTACGGCATCCTCGACACAGCCACTACCCCCTCAACCCAAAACTCCTCCCGCCTCCGCAGCGTCGGAAAACCCCTCGGTTCAACCTTTATAGGTGTTTCTATCCTAATTTTGATCGTGGGCTTCCACCGCTACTTCGAGAGCCAGTACTGGATCGTCCGAGGCAAATTCCCTGCTAGTCGGGGCAGTATTGCTCTGACAGCTTTTGTGGCGGCTTCGCTGATTATTGCGGCGCTTGCGGTGATATTGGCGGTTTCCTCCGGTGCTACTGAGACCTAGCTCACTAATCATATATGTCTTCTTACCCCTTGGGTGCATTGCTTTGCGTGATTCTTCATTTAGCTTCGTTACACTTTTCAAATACAAACTACGCCGCAGGGCGGGATGCATTCTTACTCAATTTTCGACACTGTCCAGCAGTGATAGTTTGTCATATAGGACGTTGACTTCGTCCAAAGTGCTATTCAGTAGGTATACATATGGGACCATCAAAGGCTGTGAGGCTTCCAGGGTTAGAGAGATGAGATACACAATAAGAGATGGGGGGCTCTATGGACAATGATGGTTGAGTCAACTGATGGAGTTTAGCAGCCATTTATTGTTACACATTTACGCCTACACAAAAAGACCAACGATCGATAAAAGATGTTTCTTTCTTTTATGTCAACAGCCCCAAATCCACCCGCACCAGACCAGTCTAGGCACAATATAGAGACAGGGAGACACTGCAACAACGGGGGTAGGATATCGACAAGAGTGAAAGGGAAACGACACAGAAGAAAGGGGCGAACACGGCTTGCAGGAATGCGGAAACAGTGGGCAAACGCAAAAAGGAGAAACGAACTAGATATAACCGCTTATCGGGGACCGAGCTTGGCCAGCGCGCGGGCGCCCTGTTCCTGCCACTCCTGTTTAGATACCCACATGTCGTCCTTGTCGGCGATCTACAGATCTTGGTTATTATTTTGAACTGAGAGATATGAGGAAAGAGACTCACGAGGTTGGCAAGCACGGCACCACCCAGGAAGACCATGTGTCTCCGTCGTGGGGGATCCTCAATGCGGACCTTGAATTTCTGTGACGTTGTTAGCGGTTTGTCTAGTCTGTGAGGGGGTTGAGAAACTCACGTTCAGCCGCTCGGGGTCACCCTTCAGGACCTGAGTAAGCCAGAGCTGCTTCAGCTCCTTCTCCAATCGAGAAGGCAGACCGGGATACATGCTGCTACCGCCGCTGAGCACGATAGCCTTGTATAGACTGGACCGAACGTCGACATCTGTGCCCTGAATAGTGTTGAAGAGCAATTCGGCCATACCGGGCTGGTCAACATCCACCAGGTGGGGCTGGAAGAGGCACTCGGCGGCCTCGAAGCGCTCGCTGCCGACGCGGATCACGCGGCCATCGGGGAGGGTATAAGACTCGACGAGAACAGTAGTATCCTCGGACAGCTTTTTGTCCAGCTCGAGGTCGTAGGAGACGTAGCAGAGCTTCTCCTTGATCTGGCGGACGGTCTCGAAATCGGCGGTTCGGTTGAGCGCGTAACCGCGGCGCAGGAGGAGGGCAATCAGGTTGCGGGTGACGTCGCGACCCGCAACATCCAGTCGCTTGATGTGGTGGTTCAGCACGGTCGACTCGTACACGGGGATAACGTGTGTAACACCGTCACCGGAGTCAACGACCACACCGCTGCTCAGACCTAAACAGACCATCAGCATTTCCTCCAAATTGTGTATACTCGTCCGGAAATCCGTTCGTACCCTGGGCATACAGTGCCAGCACCGCCTGGATCGCAACATAAACGCCTCCGAAGTTGTATCCCTCGAGCATGACCTCGGCCATCTGCTCGCGGTTCTTGAGTGGGTTCATCGGCGGCTCTGTGAGGAGGATCTTGCGGCCCGTGGGGTCGATCTTCATCTTGTCGTAAAAGGTGTAGTTCCACAGGTGTTGCATGTCATCCCACTTCTTGACGATACCATTCTCCATCTAAACCACCCGCCAGGAGCTGCAATTAACACCACGTTTCTGTCTGCGGAGAGGGCGGGGTAGGAACCGGTGAGGGCAGACGCCTCGTCCGGAACAGACGTACCGGGTAGCTGATCTGAAGCATCGATCGAGCAGCAGCAGCTTCATCTCCGCACATGATATCCTTCACCACGATGTCGCCGGCCTGCTCCTCCGTTCGCAAGATGGGCCGCCCCACTATCGAGGGGAACTGGTGCTCTGGGAAGTTCTAAGGGCGCCGGTCGAGTTAGAAGAAATTCAATCGCAGAATAGCTATGTGTGACATACTTGGGCGGCATAGCCGACCTTGAGGAAACCGGTTCCTCCATCGAGGACTGCGGGCTGTTAGCTTGGGAGCTGGGGGGGTTGACACGCGGTCGCCTCGGGGTGGGAGCAAGTACCAATGGGCATTTCCGCCATGGTGGAGGTATGGAAAGGACAATGCTACCAGAAGAGATTCTGTGCAGGTCCGATCAGAAGGTGTGGAATTGGAGGTGGAGTGGAGGGACGCGGGGAGAGTTGATGTCGGTAAGTGAGGTCTGTCGCCTGGCCATCATCATCGTTAATTACGTGACCGTACCGTACCCCCTGTCCTCCCCGCAGCTGGGGAGCGAGCCGCACTCTTTACATGACGTGACTGCAGCAACAGCGCCCATCACACTCAAGCTGTTAAAGTCAGTACATATTGAAATAGTATGTCTCCAATTTGCTTTTAAAACAGATATAAAGCTCTATGATTTATTGAACTGTGTGGTTGGAAATACCTATACAGGAGGGAAGGAAGAGCCCGGCCAACAAGCCATGAACCAATGCAAAGCAAATAAGCATTGAGATGCATACAAAGTTCTCAATTCAATAGCATGTCAATTGAATATTTCGATCGGCCCGGTAGCAACTAGAGACATCTCTAGAGCCCCTTTGGTAGAAGGTAATGTACCCTATCGGCCGACTCCGATATCCTCGGGAAACGGCACGCGCTCCACCAGACTTCTTCACCTCTCTTTATACCAAAGAGCAGGTCATATCATCTTAAGACAGACCTTTCCCGACACCCACGTCGAGTGACTGCACCATTAGCATCGAGCTCTCCCGAAACTGTCCGGGCGTGTTATCAGCAGAACACGATAACATCACCTTTCCCTGGGCTACCACATCTCCAGGCACAATGACACAGATCGGCTGGGTAAGCCTTGCGCCAATCCATCGGACTCAAAAGAGTATATCTAACAAGTTCATAGTATGGCCTCGGCTCCATGGGCCTCGCCATGGCCAACAACCTGCAGCGACACCTTGCCGCAAAGAATGCGCTAAGCCTTCTGTATAACAACCGTACAATGTCGCGCGGTGCACCACTGAAAGCACTTGGCGGTATCGCTGAAAGGAGCTTCGACCAGTTGGTCTCTCGCAGTAACATTATTTTCACCATGGTAGGGACCTGGACTCCCCTGTGTATTATCCGCAGAACACTGATTTCTCCAGGTTGCAAATGATACTGTGCTGCAAAGTCTCCTCTCCTCAGCCATTGGGTCAGGTGTTTCCCTCAAAGATAAGATCTTTGTGGACTGCTCAACTGTTCACCCGCACACGGTTAGCTCCGCTGTGGCTCAATTGAAGGAGCAGCAGGCCTCATTTGTGGCGGCACCTGTCTTTGGTGGAAACCCTATTGCCGTGGATGGCAAGTTGGTTTTTGCTATTGGAGGTCCCAGAAGTGCTACCGAGACTGTCAAGCCGTTTATTCAGGATGTTATGGGTCGTCGTGTTATTGAGTGTGGAGAGGATGCTACAAAGTCCTCCTTGCTGAAGATTGCTGGGTGAGTCGCTTGGGTATATTGCCATTTCTTCGAAAATCTGTTGCTGACTTGGGTATAGAAATATCGTCACTGTGAACATGATGGAAGCTGTTGGCGAGGCTCAAGTCTTTGCTGAGAAGACTGGACTTGGAACTGGTCCCATGGAGGAGCTAATTGGCGAGGCATTTGGCCCTGTGGCTGGTGGATACTCTAAGAGGTATGCCCTTGAACTGGCATGAGACAGCAGATTTTAACACTCCCAGACTGACTACCGGTGCCTATGCGCCGCCTTTGGACTCACGCCCCGGATTCGGCGTGTCCCTGGCTATCAAGGACGCCAGACATGCTATGAATATGGCCGAAGAGCAGGGTGTTAAGCTCCCTGGCCTTGCGCTTGCTCGCAAGAACATGGAAGATGCCCGTGACTACGCAGGTGAATGTCTCGACAGCAGCTCTATGTACGGAACCTTGCGGCAGCAGGCTGGTCTCGAGTTCTGGAACGAGAAGAGCCGCAAGGCTTGAACTGTGATTCTTGAAAATTATCAAGCTTGGCGAAGTAATATTAGATCCATCAAGATAACTCTTGACCTTGAAAACCATCCAATTCAAAAGAAATCAACCAATGTTCCAATCGGTGTATCTATTCCAAGCTTCCAAGACCAAGACTGTGTCGAGTCTTCAATATGAACAAATGTTTGGAAGAAAAAAAGGGGTTATCACGGAACCCAAAATGCTGGCTTTTCTCAACAACAAAGCAGCTAATAAAGGCGGGTCTCACCACACCATTCAAGAGGGTGGTAAGGGACACGGTGTTGATGGCTTCTTGGTCACCTCAGGTCTGATTCGCGTGGCATCGACCAAATTTGGATAGGTCTCTGCGAACAACGGACCCAGAGACCAGTTATTCAGATTTCGCATGTGTCGCTCAAAAACAGGATTTATGAGTAGCTCGTCCGAGTCACCGGCTGACAGCAGGCAGTCGGTAGCTTCGTATGGCCAATTAACAGACAAGCCACGTGTGAAGGGAATGAACCAATTCTCAAACGGATAATCGTGGTGACTTGTGGAAACCCGATCACGCATTCGGGGCCAAGGTATATAGTCGACCCAGGCCGGATGGGCCTCAAGAAGTTGTGTAGGACGCGGCGTGAGCCATTCTGGTAATCTATCATAGTTCTCTTGGGTAGGGAAGATCTGCCACCGCATGAGAAGGAACATGGTGTAGAGCACGGCAACTTGCTCTGGTAGTGAGGAGATGTCGGGGAACGTGCGAAGTATGTCCGTGAACACTTTTGACACAGGGTGCGAATATGCACCCTTCTCGGGGTTCAAAAGTGAAGAAACACTCGGGTATGGTGGTCCAACGAGCTTCTGGCGTGGGATTCCCTGCGCCGCCTCGCGTTGCCGGTTATGTAGGAAGTCCAGCAGGATGCTGTCCAACGGACATACAGGACCGGTGTTTTTGATGGGAGTAGCAAATGCACTTGGAGCCTGGTTGGATGTGGGGTAACCCAGTGGTTGCAAGTAAAGTGGTGACGGGGTTGTTAAATGAGTAGCCCGGATATTCTCAGAGCTGCTGCGCCGAAGACGGTCGACTTTGGGAACATTCTGGGAAGGATCCAAGAGAAAATTGAAGCCTAATCGTTCCTCCACGCTGAAGTCTAGCCCATGGGCGACGTGATGGCGCTGTGAATCCAGCGCATTGCGGAATGAAGACGTCTGTAGGGTTCCATTGCTACTGTTGCGGCGACTCCCTGGGGCGGAAGTTGACCGTGCGGGTGAAGGTGTGTCATGGCTTGCAATAGACTCGTCATATGACCTGTCGGCTGGCCCTCCAGCTTGGCTACCAGGTGTCAAGTGTTCCGAATCGAGGAAGGGAGGAGTATGGGCCGGGGGTGGGATGGATGTCGGTAGAGAGAGAAACGAAGGTAGATCTATGGGTGTCAGCAGGGGTCCACAGCATACAGGAGAGTTCCCGACTCACCACTCGGCTCCGGTTTTGCAAGTAAAGGTTGTATGATATCCATCGCCGCCTTGAGCCCCTGGCGTAGCTCTCTGTTCTCCGACCTAATGCGCTCATTGTGTTGAACGGCAGCCTGCAGATCGAGGAAGGGCTTTTGAGACGAAAGATCCCGAACTTGCTGCTCCAAAGCTTCAATGTGCCCCTTGGTGCGCTCGCGGATTGCGCGCTGCGCCTGGCGATCATTGGCACGTTTCTTCGCCAATTGATCGGGTGTGAGGTTGTGAACGCCTCGCGATGACGTGCTGTTCAGCTTGCGCTTTCGCCCGACAGTCGTTGACACCCCATTATTCTCGATGCTGTCTGTAATGACCGATTCTAGTCCAAGCGATGTTGAGCGCGAAGGAACGGGCGAGCCCTCTTGCTTGGCGGTGAATTGGGAGCTACCCTCGATTGCCGTGTCGATGGCCGTCGAGGGCGCGGCATAATCGCAGTCGAACGGAGCGTGGCTGGCCATGGCCTCCCACAGGCGCTAGCGAGTGACGAAAGCCATACACGAGAATAAGAGGGGGGTATAAATCAGGAGCTGAGCATGTCAGACTAAGTTATCAGCATTGGTCCTGGGGTGGGTCGAGGTCGCAGTCGATGGGGACGGGGAAGAGAGTTTCCTGTGCGGAGGGGCCCTTCTGGCATTCCCGAACCTTAAAGAATTGAAGCCCGTTGCCTGCTGTCGTTCAACATCCCAAGTTCATCTTCAGTTAAATCCTTCATTTTCCAAATTCTTTAAATGCGACCATCACCGAGGTCTTCGTGATCTATGATCTACAAGGCTTAGACTCTCAAGGTCCACTTCCCAAGGTGTTTCACAACTCCATTGATCCCAGAATAGACAGTACTGTATGTATGTGTGTATGTAGTAATTTTGCAGGCGTATTTTTGACGTAAACCAAAAGACCGAGCATTTTCGTAAAGGGGGAAAAGTTCATGTACAAGTCAAGGTCATGAATATGCAAGAAAAAGAATGGTCATGTCGATCGTACAAGGTATAGACAGGCCAAAGGCTCCTGGATTGAAAAAACACATAGTAACGAGGAAGTTATTGAATCATATGGCCCATTTTCGAGATCTATGGGATCAAAGTTAGCACTGTCTCTCGAGCTCAATAAGTCTGCACAACGAACCTTGGTCTGTAAGTAGCCCTCAATCTCGGAACTCTTGATACCCCGTTCACCACCAGTTCGCCAGGCCAGGGGGATCATAGGTACTCTCTCCTTCACCATCACTTCTCGGTTGGGCCCTTCAATAGCTCGCACCTTATCAGGGTTATTTGTGAGCAAGCGAATTCCGTCCGGGTTGGTATCCGCTCCACAATCAAGATCCATCAACATGGCCGTGGCCAAACCATAGCTTCGCGCATCTGCCGGATGCCGCAGCAAAAGATTGGCCTCAACTGTATCAGACCCGAGGTCCTGCAAATTATACGCCTTCAACTTCTCTCCAAGGCCAATGCCTCGACCCTCCTGTCGTAGATAGATAATAACACCACCTGCAGACTGTGATCGCAGAGACTGCAGTTCCGGTGGTGCTTCAGACGAAAGATCTTGAACAGGGAAGGACATCAATCGTGCGGCTTCATCTAGCTGCTCACCACAATCGCATCGGGCCGACCACACTGTCTCTCCCGTATAACACTCAGAATGAATGCGCACCAGTGGGGGCTCCATACGGCGCGGCGATGAATTTGATCCAGCCTTGTCGTCATCATCCCAGCTGCTGACTCGACCCGGGTGCAACTTCCCCACATATGCGCCTCGGATCATGCGATCCATCTCGGTCTCTCCCGGGTGAACGCGATCGAGACTGCGACTGCGGATGTTATTTCCAAATACAATAGCCAAGTGCTCTTTATTATCCAGGTCATTGTGGTAGAGATGCAGGAACATCTCGGCGCCGTTAGAGGTCGGAATTCGTGCCCGCACAACGCATTCTACCCGCGGGAGCTCCTCCAGTAGCTTCGGCGCTTTCGTGTGTTCATCTCCATGCTGGATTGCGGCGGATTGACTCTTATGGAGGAATTTTGTCGGATTGGTGGCAATGTCCAATGAACCGCCGGGAGTTACGGGTGGAGTGAATGCAGGTGATAGGAACGAATCCGGTAGCGCAGGAGTTTGTTCGCCCGTTACAATCCCGTCTTCCTGGCTCACATTGCTGAATTCAGGGTCCGTCTGGGTAGGTACGATAGAGTGCGGGGCGAGTTTCGGAGAGGCGTGCGCGGGGAGGTTCGCCATTGCGACGGTTGAAAACGCAAAGCGTGAGTGAGAAGAGACCGCGTCTTATCTGCTCTGGGTATCGTATTAAGAATATCGAGGAGGAATGTGCATCTGTGACAATTTGGGAAACATTATGTCCGAGAAAGCCATGGCGTCAATCCGTCTCCCTCGGCCCGCGAGGGGGGCTGACTCATCGCGCTGTCAGTGCTTACTCTAGCAGCTTCCATCGCTTATGCGAATCCTGATAAGCGCGATTCACAAGAGTGGAGGTATACAGAGGTATAATAGCTTTTAAAAAAAAATATCACAAATTCATTGCTTATTTTCAATAAGGGATGGCCAGGATAAATACCTGTTTAGTAGCCACGGGTCCCTCGAACTCCAAGTAGCGCCTCGCTAAGGGTATATCAATCATATCAGATCATGGGAACGTCGCTGTAAGGCCCAATCTACTTGTTTGGAATATCCAAGACGTAGCGACGGTCAACTTCCATCTCCTTGTCATCTTCCTCCCCCTCAAACTTGAGGCGATAAGCTTCCTTCTTCGCCCCCATCACCTCCGCGCGGTAGAACGTGGTTGTGTCAGGGTACCTGGCAAGGACCTGTTTGCCGACTGTAAATGCAGACATCGAGGATCCCATCTGCGGAATAGGAATGAGAGACGATGCGGTTGTCTTGTAGACAGCACCCTGCTCGCCATTCTCATTCGGCTCGGGGTCTTGGACCTCGTACCACCTACACCGACGCTGTCAGTTTCAGGATCCCATTCACTAGTTGGAACCAACCGTACCGTTTCTTATGTCCATCGCCAGATATGTTCTTGATGATACACTGAATACCCTCCCCTTCCACACCCTGCTTGTTCTTATTGTGCTTGAATACAACCTGTGCACCAACCTGGAGAATCCCACTGCGCTCAGCCGCAGTTCCCTTAGTTCCCTCGCTTCCTTCTTCAATCTTGACTGTCACGGGGTCTCCGCGGCTCTCACGTGCCTGGGTGCTTGACACGCTCGCGCTACGCGGGACCCCACCCTTGGAGCGACTTGACTTATCGGCGCCTGAGGCACTCGGGGAGTCGGCAGCTGAGCTATCCATGTCGGACCTCTTTTTTCGAGACTTGGAGAGGGCGTTTGAGCGACCGCCGGGGGCTTCGGCTTCGGACGCTTTTCGAAGCGCGGTGAGGAGTTCGAGATTCTTGATCACGTCGCAAGGCTCGTCCTGCATGATTGACCGCTCCTCTTCGCTGAGTTTCTGGCTTTGGCGCAGCCATGCATCGAGTTGGTCGTGGTCGCTCATGGTGGGTTCTTTCAGGGATAGAGTCTTAGCTACCTGGTATGTGAAGACTCTCGCGTGATATAATGCGGGGGAGGTAAGATCGACCAGTTGGATTGAGCTGGCGCATCAACTAAAAGGGTACACTTACTACCATCACGGGTGATCCTGTCTACCAGTGTTTTAACCTGCACAGATAAGGAAGCTTGTTGGTCGAACTTCTCTTTGGACTTGCGGATGTCCTGGCATATGCGAGTCCACAGCTCCATTTCCTCGTTGTTCCCTAGTCCATTGTCGCGAGGTCGAGGGCGGTTTCGAGACATATTGTCCGGTCTAACAAGATAGTGATAAAGGAGGAGGATGGGTGCAACTGGCCGTAATTGGCGCGGGGAATAGCGCGATCGCGGTCGTGAAGCTGGGGGAAGTCGAGCTTCCGTCACATTGTCTCGGGGATAAGCCAAGGCGGTCGGGTTAAACGCGCGCCTAATTCTTGGCAGACTCCCCAAGCCCTTGTTGCTATATTGCACAACTGTGATTTAGTACGCAGTAGCTACATTGTAGTGTTCAGCAGACATTGCCATTGTTTCTAGATTATATATGAATTCCATGGTTCTTAATGCGGGCTGTGCACGAAACATGTCGCGGATCCCCAGTTGACGGCCGCAAGCGGCAGCATTTCCACCTTGGGCACGGCATAATCGGGGAGTTTAAATAGCAGACTCGGCTTAAAAAAGAGGAGAAAAACCCACATCGGTCCGATTGACAGTGCAGAACCCTTGTTAAATCTCCGGACCCTTGCAATCACCTTTACCGAGAGTCTTGGCGTGGGGATTCTGCGTAATAGAAAATCACTGAGGCGCCCCTCACTTTCCCAGGAACAAACTTTTCAAGATGCAGGTTCCGTTGCTTCGTTTGCAATGTGGTAAGTTGACTCGATGTTTCTAGGTTTCCTTGCACATCTAATCCATTTCTGCAGGCGTTAACAGCTACGACTGGGGTGAGCTAGAATCTGTCAACTTAAACGCCCCGCACTAAACCCCGTCATAGGCAAGGTTGGTCAGGAGTCGGCTGCCGCCCGATATGCTGCCACTACAGCCTCATCAGATTTCTCAATCGAGGCTGAGAAGCCTTACGCAGAGGTGAGTTATGATATGAAGCCTTTGAGGGACCAGTTGGCTCATCTATAGACAGCTATGGATGGGCACCCATCCTAGCCTACCCTCCAAAGACGTCGAGACACAGCGCACCCTACTCGATCTCGTTCAGGACAACCAGGCTCTGATGTCTACAGAGATCACCGAGCGCTATGGAGGCCGTCTCCCCTTCCTGTTCAAGGTGCTGTCAATCCGCAAGGCGCTCAGTATCCAGGCCCACCCCAATAAGAAGCTGGCGGAACAGCTCCATGCGCGCGATCCTAGAAACTATCCCGGTCTGTGCAGCTTTCAAACCTTCAGGCGGATTGAACTCCGCGCTTACGATATGTTCTCAATTTGCAGATGACAACCACAAGCCTGAGATGACCATTGCCGTGACACCCTTTGAAGGTCTGTGCGGATTCCGTCCTCTGGCCGAGATCACCCACTTCCTACAGGCACTCGAGCCCCTCCGAAAGCTTATCGGATCCGAGGTCGCGGGCGAGTTTGAGCAGGCTGTCAAGGGCAATGAGGACTCGGAGGATGAGGTCGTTATGCAGCGTAACAAGGATGCGCTACGCTCGGTATTCACAGTCCTGATGGAGTCTTCTCCGGAGGATATCGAAACCGCCTGCAAGGAACTAGTTGCGCTGGCTGAGACTTCGCCGGCGAGCTTCGCTTCCCTACCCGGCGATGTTGAGACCAACCCTAGCAACCCTACAGAGTTGGCTGAGATTATCAAGCGCCTTGACGGCCAATTCCCCAACGATGTCGGCTGTTTCGTTTTCTTCTTTCTCAACTTCATTAAGCTCGAGCCTGGTGAGGCCATGTTCCTCAAGGCTGATGATATTCACGCCTACGTTTCCGGCGACATCATCGAGTGTATGGCGTCCTCGGACAACGTTGTCCGAGCTGGCTTCACCCCCAAGTTTAAGGACGTACCCACTCTGACCAAGATGTTGACGTACTCCTACGCCCCCATCGAGGAGCAGAAGCTGCGGCCCACTGACTACCCTTACGCCATTCTTAACGCGACAGCGTACTCTAGCGCCTCGTCTGCCATGCTCTACGATCCCCCAATCGAGGAGTTCAGCGTTGTCAAGTCTGATCTGAACCGGACAGGCGCTAAGGTGACCTTCGACCCAATCGCCGGTCCTAGCATCATTATCTGTACCCGCGGCAAGGGTAAGATTACTGTTGGCAACAAGACCGAGGAAGTGCAAGAGGGTTACGTATTCTTCGTTGGTGCCGAGGCTGAGTGTATCATCGTGAACACTGGCAGTGGAGAGGGCGAGGATGATGTCTTCACGACCTACAAGGCGTTCTGCGAGCTGACCGGTAAGGAGGACATGGTCAACGGTCACTAGACCACCAATTCTAATTCCGGTCTACTAGGCCATTCCGACTTTAGTGCCAACCTATGATGTCCGTCGAAGGTGTCTCGCATACGAATGTGCATGTATTACGTTGGGTCATATGAATGTTACCTTGCTTGAGTGGGCGGCTCGAGCACCATGGATTTTGCTATAGCTCTACTATGTAGACCTGTAATAGGCTCGAATATCTTTCCCCTTGATGTCAAAAAACATAGCTTCTTCGTTCCTGGATCGCCAAACAGCCGAGAACGGCTGGGGCCCCACAGGAGCAACCGAGGCTAAGACCCAGATCGGCGATCTGAGGAAGCGGGGAAATCTAGTGTATGAATCAGGACCCTGAGATATTTCATGAGCAACTTGGTCATTTTTTAAGACTCAACTCGTACTCTGGTACACCAAATTATCATGGCCGACTCCAAGAACGTTGACGTGCCCGACTTGGGCTTCTGGGAAAAGGCAGATCTCTCTCTCGCCCAGCTCACCATCGCGACCAACGCTCTCCTGGCAGCCATTACGGGCGTGTTTCGAGGCCAGGCCAGCCCGAAGAAATACAGCCATCATGTCATGGCCGCTGCTATCCGCCGAATGTGTGATCGCACATCCGATCGTCAGAAGCAGTATGTTCCTCGAATCTCCGATGAAAGGACTTGGAGAAGATCCATGAAGATGGAGAGAATAGAGATGAGGGAAACTGACGCTTCCTCATTAGGACCATGTATCCCCCGACAACCTCCGTATATAACTCCGTGATGCAAAAGCGCGGCCTGCAGCCAGCGATCGTCTCTCTCCCCCACAACACAGAGGGCTTCTGGCTCGGTAACAAGAACGCAAAGAACGTCGTCGTCTACTATCACGGTACGTCAGGAGCAGCCAGTAGCGAGCTTTCCAAGTGTAGTGCACGCTACACAAACCACGCTTCCCCACAAAGTCAATCTCTAACAATGTCGTACAGGCGGCGGCTTCGCGATGGCAGCCGTACCCCCACACTTCGAGTTCTGGCTTGACCTGCTCCAAGTTGTCAACGACAGTGGCCACGATATTGCCGTCTTCTTCCCCCGATACACCCTCACTCCCTACGGGACATACCCGACACAGCTGCGCCAAGCCACCGGGGCCCTGCGATATATTCTCAACGAGACAGGTCGGTCACCAGGTAGTGTGGTAGTGGGCGGCGACTCGGCTGGTGGGAACCTAGCCATGGCAACACTGCTACACCTGTCGCACCCACACCCGGAAATCGAGCCCATTGTGCTCTCGGAGCCACTAGCAGGCGTGTTTGGCTATGCGCCGTGGGTCAACTTTAGCCATGAGGGGCCATCATTCAAGGAGAATGAGTGGAAAGATATTCTCACCTCTAACGTGCTGAATAATTGGTCTGCCTCTTACCTTAGTGGTAAAGTGAGTGATAATTGGAATGAGCCGGATAGGGCGCCTGCGGAGTGGTGGCAGGATGCGAAAACGGAGCGTATCTTGATCTTGGCTGGTGGTGATGAGATTTTGCTTTCGCCGATCGAACAGTTTGCGAAGAAGATCAAGGTATGTTTGATTCTTTGAGCCTAAATGTGATTTCTTGGTCGCTAACTTTCTTTTTAGTCTGTCTTCGCGCACACTACCTTTGTCGTTGGTTACGACGAGGCCCACGATGCGCACATCTACACCGATGCTGGGTCGAAGGAGGGAACACAAACGAGCAGGGAGCTGCGCAAATGGATCGCTGCTCGTTTGTAAATCTTCTCTCATGAGGAGTGGCTTACCCTCTCTCAATTAGGAGTATCCGTGGGGGAGAAAGTGGTGCCGTTTGGAAAGCGTAAGCATAGGTATCCGAGGTCGTGAGGCTAAGATCATTGAATGCATAACAACTCAAATTCTTCAACTTCCGACAAAGTTCCAAGCCTCGTAAACCAGTAAAGTATCAGTTCTCGCAGTAGAGAATGAAAGTAGATTCAAGAATTGTAATTTGGTTGTAGATTAAGACCAGGGAAGGGGTGACGGGTTCTGTGGTAATACAAATTCTACGAGGATACCATACGCAGTTTGGCTGACTGTTCATATCAACAGGTCCCTTGGATTAGTGGTCATATCGTTCGGTTTTGACTCTAACCTAAGATCATTCCGAAAGGTCGCCGGTTCAATCCCGGCAGGGACCTCATCTTTTTGTTTTTGTCCCACCTTCATCTTCCCCTTCAATTTTCCATCAACCCTTTTTTTGGGATATTTTTGGATATTTTGTTTATTCTTTTTCAATCCTGATGGCGAAATGTTGCCCATGATTTACATCAGTATACAGCCTTATCATCATGAAGTAATCTCAAATGTTCTGTGATCTCCGGAATATATCACCGCAACTCCCCCATGTGATTTCACCCCACTAGAATGAATGGAACAAATATTCATCATAAACTTAGACCTCTGGGTCATAAACATACTTGAACATTCATCCATCGGATGACTTTGTTTCAAATTTCAAAATTTTACTGGTGCTCTATGTGCGTACGGAATACGCTAATGACACAATGTAAGAAATATTGCTCTGGCTATTGCACTAACAGGGGTCGTGTCAACTCATAACAAAGCAGGATATTAAGCACCCTGGCTCCAAATAACAGGCTTCACAAGCAGAAATTACACAAATCTAGATCGCTCGTATTCCTCGTTCCTCTAAGACGACACCTTGGGCGCGTACTTGGACGCCGCTGCGTCGAAGAAGTCGCTCTTCTCCTGAATATCGGCGAGAAGAGCATGCGAGGGTTGGGTCTGCTGCAGCCGACTACAAAGTAAGTGTTAGCGCATCCGGTTGAACGGGATTATGATGAGTACGGGACACGTACGACTCCAGGTCTGCGGTCTGCTTGCCTGCCAACACGTTCAACACGATGGAGTTGGCGATCAACTCGGCGTCCTCGGGGTATTTCTCCAACGCGGCGGTCAGAGCGGCTTCAGCCTCGGGTATGCGGCCCAGGTGGAGTTCTGCGACGGCCTGGCCGACAATGGACAGAGGGGCGGATGTGCTAGGGGCGGAGGCGAGTTCCTCGTAGACGTAGAAGGCGGATTGGTACTTCTCACCACCCTGCGCAAGACAAACCCAGTTAGTTCATGCGTATGAAATGACCGTGAATTCGAGTAGGGAGGCATACAACTCTCAATCCAACCCACGACTCGGCAATGTTGACAAGGAGCGAGTCCTGGGCCCAGCGCTTGGCAGCCTGGACCTCTTTCAAAGCGAGGTCGGTGCGGTTCTGCTGGAGGTGAATTTGAACGATCAAGGCAACACTATAAATCACCAACCAGGTCAGCGCTTTGTGCCATGTTGCGCATCTGCCACGGTGGTCAACTCACGCCTCAAGGCTACCCTGGTGCTTTGCCAGCAGCGCAAGGGCATCCTCACTGTGGTCTTGTGTCTGCAGCACCGTGGCGCAAACGAATTGAACAGTGGCATTATCCGGGTAGTTCTCGGCGAGATCCCGAGCGAGCTGAAGAGCGGCGTCGGTCTTGCCCATGGCCTGCTGGGCCAATGCCTTAATGGCGGCGAGATCGGGGGTGTCCTCTTCGCTGGAGACGGCGGAAAGAACCTCGGCGGCTTGACCTTGGGCGATCTGGGCGCGCAGCTTGAGCACGCGGGCGGGAAGCTGGTTCTCGGGGGAGAGGGCGGCGGTGTCGAAGTCGATCACGAATTGGTATTGGCCGGAGTGGAAGGCATTGTGGATGTTGAGGAGCTCTGGAAGAAGGATAAGTGGACTGGATATGCAACTCTGGGACTTTGATTAGCTTACCGCCCTCTGCTGAAAAGGGATCCATCTTGTAGTTAATTGGGAGGGTTGGAGGGGAAGTGGGAGTGTCGACGTTCCTGGCAATTGTTAGCTGGCGTTTCGGCGCACGGGCAACTCGGCCGACCGCCTTTTGTATACTTCGCCCTCTGCTACACCAAAGAGATAATAGTATAATGCAAATGGATTTTGATGCCTACATGCTTTTGTTCTTTCTCAATTATCTTCCAATATGTTTCGGTGTACACTTCTTTCATTAACATATATAAGTCTCCCGCCTTATCAAGGTATTCTTCGACAATATCTTCGGGGACTCTATAACCTAAAGTTCGAGGCCGCCTATCAAATTTGATCCGGGCATCTCTTTGGACTGGCTGCGCAGAGTTACACTGGCCGCATTTGTCCTAGCCCAGACCATTTATAACCGCCTTGAAGTTCAACTGAACAGAAATCATCTTTTGATTGAAGAGATTTGAAGACCATTCAAATGGTTCATAGAATACAGGATTTGCTCCATCACAGAAATGTCACAAACAATATAACATTCAGTCGATCTCTCCAAGTGAGATCACATAAAAGGCCCTTAACAATGCATGCTACTCCGTACCCTCGAGTACAAATTCTTGGCACTAATCATCTTCTTCTTGAGTTCCTCCGCGATCAGCTTCCGCACATCATTTTCCTCCACTGTGATAATGTCGGGCTCGGACCCGTTGTCGGATGATTCGAGCACTGACTGAACAGGGGAGCAAATCCCATTTTCGATGTAGGAATCAAAAGAAGTATCAGCAAAATTGCCAAAGGGGCTGAAGTCTTTCTGTTGTGGTACGCGGGTGGTCGAGTCGTATGAGATACTTCGTGTCTGTTCTTGCGTGGTCGAGAAGGGAACAGGAGAAGTGTCGCCTCGAATTTGAAAGTGAAGCCCGGGAAGAGAGTTGTCAGGATCCTTGGCGGGTATGATAGGAACCGCCTCTAGTGAAAGAACCAGCTGAGGTGGAGTGGAGGATTTGGGCTGGACAAGCAGGCCATTGTCGACGGTGGAGTGGACTTCAAACAAACGCGGATCAAAGTACGCCTTGTTCCTGGAAAAGGTCTCCAGCAACGAAAAAGATTCGTAAACTGGTGCCATGATCGACTTTTCCAATCAAACTTGGGAAGCTTTGTAGTATAGACGGGCGTAGTGAGGAGAGACTATTGAGATGTGCACAAATGTGCACAAATGTGCCTTATATCTGTCTGTAATAAGACGAATATATGAACAAAAAGTGAGGGTTGATTGAATGTCCAATGAGATGCGAGATAAGAAGAGAAGAAGAAGAAGAAGAAGAAGAAGAAAAAGAAAAAGAATAGACAAGGGAGAGACTGAACAAAAGGCAGGGCTTCGATAGAAGCTCCCTATATATTCTAGAGTCGGCCACCACCTGAAGGAAGTGAAGTTAAGGGCTTGTGTGTATTCTGTCCGTACTTTCCCTGATAAGGGTCCCAATTCAGGGACATCTATGGACTGCAAGATTTGACTTTACCCGCCGCCATTTCAAGCACCGCAGACATCAGAACCCAAATATTTTGAAAATGAACTATGCCCATCTGGCAAAGCTCGATTTTCATCCATCCTTCATATTTTGGACTGTGTCCCAGAGAGGTTTAGTTGATACGATCAGTAGCAGGACTACGGGTGCGCCCATGTTGGTACCTTGGAACCACCTGACGCGTTTATTGGCGAGAAATTTGCTTACATGGCTTTTAGCCCATTTCCCTTCGCGTACTAATTCCATTTCAGCCCTTTTATAAGGATATGGAAGAGGTAAAAGAGTATAACATCTAAATAAAATGAATAAATAAAGTAACAGGAATAGTAATTTGCCCTTTATAGCTTAAATACGTCACTCTTAAATGGTAAGGAAGGCTCGGAGCGTACTACGGGAATAGACGTTACTTCTCGTGACACTACACCCCCTCACGAAGCTACAACCCCTTAAGGAATGCCCCCACCCCGTTTATCCTCATGGAATTATATACCCTCTTGAAAATCCGATCTTCCGTGAGACTGCAAGCCCCGTGGGAGTCACGGGGTAACCTAGACTCGATAATTTCAGGTCTCACGGCGGAGAAGTAAAATCGTCGAGTGTGGGCTAAGAGTATATAAATCAACAAAAGACGGTCTCTAAAGGTCTTTACCAACCGAATTCAGTATAGTGCAATCAGATCGGGGCGGTGGGGAAAAAATGCGAGCGTCCAAGGAGTAGTCTGCTTTCGAATTCTACTATATCTTGAAATGACCAATGACCTGCTCCTGGTACTAGAACAACCGGGGTACTCCCCCGAAAGTATTTGAAATGCCAATCGAGGGGATTTAGAGAGAAATATTCGTCTTCAAGATCCCAAATGACTAAAGCTGGTAATTTGTTTCGCCTCGTGGGCGTAATCACCTTATCTTCATTGGGAGGCACTGGGTAGCTTTTTTGTAACAACTCAGCATTCCATCCATGGTTGATTTATTAAGAACTTTCAATAGTGAGTATCAAACAAATGTGATTAAAGTGGCCTCAAGAAACAGACTTGGAGTTGTAAGTTAGAAAGAACGTGGAGGAAAAGGGAAGCGCATCATAAAGAATGTCAAGAATATCAATCAATGTGTACAAGAAAGTTTCAGCACCAGTTCAAGATTTCTTTTGTTTCGGCCAAAAATCTGGATTGAATGAAGTAATGGGCTCCTAGTTTTCTATTTAGAAACATAAGATCAAAAAAAGAATTGGAAAAAGGTCGCCCCTTTAACCCTGCCATCTGAAGCGTCCTTCCTTCAAAGTCTTCACCACTCCCAGAGGCATGAACTCCCGACTCACAGCGGCCAAGCCACCATAAGTGCTTACCATCTCATCGGAATACATTTCTGCCACCCAACGCCAGTATGGGGTCATCGAGCCCCAATTAGATGAGATTGGGCTATTTCCCTTGCCCTTCAAACCAGCCTGGTTCTTTTTGAAGCTTGCAGTAGGAGAGACACTCTTCTCTTCTGGGACCTCATTCAGCGACTTATATGCATCCAAAAGGTTGAAGCTGTATGTCTCAGGGTACTTGGTGAACTCTTCCAGGGACCAGAAGGGGAGGGGCTTGCCATCCTTTTCTCGCGTGATAGAGCTGGTACAGGAGCCGCGCTTTTCAAACTTCTCCTTTGCTGACTGGTAGAGCATCTCATCCTGCAATGATGCTTTCTGGAGACGTCTTTCGGGTGTATGTTTGATGTTCTCACGCATGGCAAGCAGTCGAACGAACGGATTGAGAAGCCCAAGGCCGCCCAGTTCAACGGGGTAGTAGAAGAAACCCTCCGGCAGGCCGTGAATATCAAACCGCTCCGCAATTACCCCTCGCAAGTAGTTGCTAACGCCCCCTTTAGCCTGCTCAGTTCTCTTGGAGAACAACGTTTTTTCGATACGGCTGAGTGTGCAAATGGCCATGTCGATATGGTCCCTTCCGAAGCACATGGCAGGCTTTGCGAAGTTGTTGGTGAAGAAGCGTCCAAAGTAGCTGTTCCATGCCTCTACCCAGGAGAATATGGTCTTGCAGGATGAGAGCTGCAGGTCAAGCTCTTCGATGTGCTGGTCCACTTGGGCCTGGTCAATGACGAATTTGCCCTGCTCAGCGTCCATGACCAAGAACCCCCAACGAATATTTCCGACAGGAAGAACCGAGGAATTTTCCACTTTGGCCTTGCCCATGAGCACAGTGCCAGTCTTTTCATCATTGAACCGCAGGCCCATCACGTTGGCAAATTCAGTCATCCCCAGCCAAGCCTTCTCACAGGTTATTTTGGCGCCCCAGAACCAGAAGTCATCATGGAGTCGATACAAAATACCACCATTGGTGCCTTGATTGACTGCATAGTCCATGCAGAAAAGGATTGATTCTCCGAAGCAGTCCGAGAGGGTGTGGCTCATGGGAACACCACGTTTGCGGACTTGAGTGGAAGCAGATAGACCATCTTGAACAAATTTGAGAGGAGCTTCTAGAAAGACCTTGAAAAATTTGAGCCACATCTCTGGAACACCGAAGTATTCCATCACCGTGAGGATTGTCGCATGAGGCAGACCCGGGCCAAACCACTCATAGTCGGACCTAATAGCAGTGAACTCGCCTCGTTGGGTTTTGTGAATGAGAGATTCGGTGACCAAGAGGTGGAGGAGTGAATGCTTTGTATCAAGAGCATTCTTTGATTGCGAGTCGTCATCGTAGCTTTTAGTCCCATCATCGGTTGATTCTGGTAGCTGGCTCATGAAGTAATCGTTGTAGTAAGTCTCTTTTCGTAGTTCATTGATGCTGTGGCCCTGAACCTCAGTATGAAACCTGCTACTCTGGAAATACTTGCGCTTGTCTTTGTGTTCGTCCGGCACGTCATCATTCATAGGACTCCATGCATAGGAGTTTAAGAACTTGGTGAATACTTTGCGCAGCATAACAGCCCACCTCGATCCGAGGTATTGTAAAAACAAACCGTCGAGAAGATCTTCGTCCATGAAGACTCGATACTTTCCGTTCAAATGGCGGCGCATTTCAATAGGAATACCATCACTTCCCCAGTCCCAGCTGTCAAGAGATGCCAGGCGCATGTTGAGAACGTCGACCACTTCCTGCGTGACCTCCTTATTCTGCATGAACTCTTTGAGAATGGTGGACTTTTCGGCGCTGAGAAGATCGGCCTTTATCAACGCCTTTGAAACCCATTTGAGCTTATCGACATCGAGCCACTCGCCTTGTGAGGCTAAGTTGTTCGCAAATTTCCTAATGCTCTCACGGAGCTCTTTGAGGGCCTGTTGCGACAGCTTTGTCTTGGTAAACAAGGTTTCAAGGTAGGTCCAAACAGAATTTTTGTCGACGTAGTCGGGAGCTGTGAAGACCAAAGACTCCCACTTTGCTCGCTGCTCATGCATCTCTGCTCGACCCACGTTCTCAAAGCTGGTATCGGATTCTGTGAATTTATCGTCGCCGCCCTTATGCCCAGCAGAAGACGTAATTTTCTCGTCCAAATGCGTCAACCACTCAGTTACCAGCCTGCTGTAGAAAGCTGCATGTTCATGCTTCAGCTCCAGGTAGCGCAGTTCTTTTTCAAGAAGCGCGACCCACCCAAGCAGGGTAGCCTCTGTAATAGAGGGGTCATATCGACCTTGCAGAAGAAAGCGGCGAATGTTTGCATGATTTTCTGGCCGCATTTGGCCCACAATGGGCGAGCTTATTTCTAAATCGGAGTCATCGTCTGATGAAGTTGATGAGTCGATATCCAGATCCAGGTCGTCTATGTCCAGCGAATCCTTAGAGTATCCTTTCAGGTGAGAAAGTCCATCTAGAAGAATGCGGACTCTAGCAGGTAGATCAGAAGCAGAATTGGCATTTGCAAAAATCTCCTCTTTGCGCTTATCGAATAGCGTTCGCTGCTTAGACAGTTCCTTGATTTTGGTGGCAGTAATTGATTTGAGGGTTTGAGGAAGTGCCCCGAGGCTTGACATGATGGATTTGATAGGAATAAAAAAGAAAAAGGAGCTTCAATCTAACTGGAGGTATGGTAATGAGAGAATGTCAAAGAATGAGTGAGGCTGGTAAGATAAGCTAGACATGCAGTTCTGATGGTTTAAGTATCGCGGGAGTCGATTACAACCAAGCCTCAAAGAGTCGCCGCTCTTGTGACTCAGTAGTGTATCTATCAGAACAGGCGAGCTTGATGGCCAAGCTGCGAGCGGGGAACTAAATGATGTTAGCCTGATTGTTGTGTCGCGAATGGGTGAGGTTTACTGGTGAAGATGTGAGAGGCGGTGATGCCGGGAACCCAAAACGGTTAGCTGTGGACACGACTCAGCCTCGCCCCACTGTTCATAGGTGTTTCCCACTGTTCATAGGTGTTCAATGCTGATCTAGTTACATGTTTTGGGAAGCACATGAGTAGAGTAGTTGGAAATCATGATGCCATAAAGAATACATCTTTCATCATCTATTAAAACATCTATAAACCGTATTTGATGGATATGTACGTACATTTACCAGTAGATGTTTGGATGGACGAAGTAAAATAAAACTTTAGAGACATACCCCATGTCGAGTCACGATGTATGCCTAGGAAAGAATAGTTACGTATTCAAAGTCTTCAAAGAATGATTAGATGGAATTGAGAACCGACTTGAGTGGATCCCACTATTAACTTGATAGCCAATAAGTATGTTCTCGCAACATTTGAACGAAGGATCGATCCCGAGCTTGTTGATCTTCCAGGCCAGCGTGAAAATCACATACCACCTCGTGGAGACAGCTGGCGAATGTTACCTTGCACTCAAGGGTGCCGTCACTTGTGGAAGGTAGTTCTCTTCACTCGGCTGAAACACACTTTTCACACTGGATCATCGAGCAAAACAGATTCAAAGATCCGCAGTAATGATTTGATTAGTAAAGCCTATATACTCGAGCCCATTCGAACTCAATTGTAGCTTCTACAGCTCAATTGCCAGTGACCCATCACGTTAACTGTGAAACGGGGCCTCTGATGCGATCTGCGGATCCCTAGAGTCGACTCTCTTCAAATGTAAAAATAAGCATAAGTAACAGGCATATTCGTCCAATAAGAATCTCTATTGGAGGAAAGTAAGTCTAGCCCCTAAGCACTACTTCGAACCAGTGGCTTGCTGGGTGGAGCTATCGCCGCCTAGTAAACGCCTCTTTTTCACGATCGACTCGGAACCCTAGATATTTGTCCCTCTGAATTCGCTGATGTTAAACTATTGCCACTTTTCACAAGTTTATGTTCCCTGGGCTACCATTGCTTTGTCAGATCATGTCGATCTGGCGCTTCACGCACTTCTATCTAGGCCAAAACAGTATATAGACCATGGGCATCCACTGCATATCGCAGCGAGCAGCTGAAAAGGGTCCGATGCCAAGGATTTTCATATGATAGATAACACTAATTTTAGAGCTGAAATGACAGACAACCAACCAAAGTATACCTAACAGTGTCGTCACGTCAAGAGATCTGAATGTTTACTGGAATGAGGTCCATCGTGTGGCAGGATACTTTACCGAACCGCGTGAAGCTTTAGAGAGCCAAGTTCAATTGCGAGCCATAGTCACAGGAAAGTGAGATACGTATAAACATAATTTGGTTCCAGCAGTCATCTTTTTGGTTGATGTGACTTGCACGTAACTTGTCTACCTGTTCTTCCCTGAAAAGTCGTGAAGCATCCCACGTAGTCTCTCTTTTTCCAGCTCGCCTCCGAAAATAACATCCACCGATCCAGAGCACAACTTCAGCAACTCAGCACGGCCAAGGAGAAAATGCTCGGCTGCAAGAAGATACTCATTCGAGACAGGGCTACAGAAGAACCCCACATCATCAGTCTGCAAAGACAAATGATATTTGCATCAGCCAAATATAAACAAATTTCTTCAAGAGAAAACTCACACATAGCACAATGGGACATTCCCCATGTCTCCAATCTCCGAAATGGTGATCCAGAAAACTCCCCTCAATCAACTTCGCATGCACGTTACACGACATACAAAGTTCCAGTCCAAGCCTCCGCCGCGCAATCTCCCTTTTGAACTCATCAGGCACATGGATGACGTGCCCAAGCCGGTCAGGCTGGAACGAAAGCAACGCAGCAAGCTCAGCCGGGTTGCCCGAGGCTGGTGTCTCGGCAAAGTGCAGCGTCAGGCCAAGGCCATAAGCTTTTGCGCGGGCGAATGCGTCGCGGTAGAGTGTGACGTCGCCTTCCGTCGGGTTGCCACAGAGGTCGACGCCGACAACCCCGCGCGGCTTGTTGGTGATTGCTAGGTCGATGATGCGCGTCGCCTCGGCAGGGGTGGTGTTGCCGCGGTCTAGTGCCAAGATGAGGAATACGGACATCTCCTGTGTTCTGGATTTGAACTTTTGGATGGTGTCCAGGACTGTGGTTAGATATTCTTCTTGAGTGATGTTTGATTCTGGGGATGCTCGGGGAATTGTTCGGAGCTCTAGGTAGCGCACTCCATCAGCAAGAAAATCTTCGAGGACGCTGGTAACGGCGTATGCAAGACTTTCTAGGTCGTTGCATAGTTGGTATATGAGTTTGGAGAAGACTTGGAAGAAGCTGTGGCGTAGTGTTAGTCACTAGTAGTTGGAATTGCGAGTGACTTGCGTTTGGAGAGTGTAATCGACCTTGCCTGGGGGCATCAGCACGAGAGGGTCCTGTATTGAAAACCGAGTGTCGTTTGCCTTCTTGCGTTTCCATATCTCGTGCAAGCACTGGCGACTGATGCTTCCACTCAGATGGGCGTGTAGCTGGAATGGAAGAGCACGCGATAAGCTTGATACAATGTCGAATCATGAACAAAGAATCACTCATACCTCAACCTTGGGCAAAGCCTTAGTGAAGACGCTGTCAACTGGAGCAGAAAGATCCATGATCAAGTTGTTGGTTCTGGTACAAGTAAGTGGCGATGAACGGGGTTCTAAGCGGGGAAAGTACCGTGGGACACGGAAATCCGATAACCTATCGTCGTTTGTAGAATACACATCGATCTACATCCAACATCTTCTCTATTTTCCTAACTGTTTGGATATCACCGTTGAGAGATCTCCCAGATCTACCAGATCCACCATCGAACCCCCCCCAACCATGGGTCTGCCCTCGTATCCGGGCACACACACTACTGCGGCCGAGGGATACCTGGAGCTAAACGTATCGTATCTTCCACTCCTCGCGCCATGTGGTAGCGAAATTAACGGTCTCTGGAATGCGAGACATTGACCCCAGAGTTACGAGAGGCACTAAGAATAGGACATAGGCATCTTGGCATCGAAAGCCACAGATGCCATTTTACGAGGGCGACAGCCTGGCCACAAAAGAAAAGCATGATGGCACAGCCAATTTTACCGGGATGCGAGCCATCCAGTTGGCACTCTCAAACCTGATTTCCGATGGTTTATGCGTGTGTATCAGGGTTTCGCATAGATTGCACCTCGGGTTCCAGATAACGATATGAAAAGTGGAGCGGGCCAGGTCAGGAGAGCAGCGGAGTTTTTATTTCTTTACGAGGTACTATCTGATCGCACCCTTAACAATATTTTCTTTTGATTACCGTGGATACCACGGTTCCCTTGATTACTTGATCTGTGTTATACACGACTTTTGCGCATAGGAGCCGGTAAATGGAAACGCGGTTCATCTTGACGACCCGATTTCCCGGATCGCGCGTTTCAGAGATGCGAACAAGACTCGAACCAATGCATGCAATGGATTTGACAGGGGATGACTCGCACAGATACTAAGAATAGCGATCGGGGCTTGATTGCCGTGTATCAGAGACCCCTGTACGAATCCTGGTCAATACCCGTATTTAAGAGAAGAACCTGTTATGGGGGAGGGGGGCGCAAGATCCACTGTTGTCTGATACGGCTCTGCCCTCGCGGGTACCGTTGGAGGTTCCAAGATGGGATCAAGCGAGGGTTGCCAAGCCTAGCATTGACAACGGCCTTAAGGAAGCATCCGACCCGTGCCGTGTGCTTTGTTTCAAGGATATTCCGTCGAGAAGCGCAAAGCAATAGATTTGAAGCCCAGCTGAGGTTGCTGTTGATGGGCTTATGCATCTTGACGTCTGGATGATGCAGTTCCTGCAACCTGCAAATCAGATGGGGTGAGGCTGAATCTTTCGATGGAGATTCTGGAAGCCACGTTGTGCCCTGCGAGATTTTGAGTGGGTGTGGGTCGCGCATATGTGAAGTCCACTCAACTGTCAGCCCCAGATCCACGATGGGGTCCTAGTGTCCACTTCTACGGATGGTAATCCCGGCCCCCAGTAAGAAGCCATGGGCCCGTACCGGTATAGTAGTCGAGTCATGTAACCATTTCAATTATACTGTCGATCATGGGGATGGCCTGAGCCTCGGATATGTCGGATTCCAGACGTGGCTTGAGGTGCCGCGCGGGGCAGAGATGAAACGACTTGGAAATGCCGTGTTGCTCCATCACTTGCCTCTCCATGAATGTGTAAATCTGGCTAGATCGGTCCTTTTGGATGATTGCGACGCTCATGGCTAGTTGAAACACCTGTTCTTTTGGGACTGATACTGCTTGAAGGTTGCCTCGCGATATTTCCAAACGCTGGTGAGAATCACCTAGGTGCCCCGGGGTAGCTTGCGGGCACAGCCCTGTTGAATTCCACATCCAGCAATGCCGAAAGAGCCGCTGAGCCAGAACGGAGGAAAGTGGATAAGTTCGGATATCTGGGTCTCACGAAACCCCTCTCGCAGATGGGTCCTCATTTCAGCCCTGCCAATTGCGCCATTGCTTCGCTGGCAGGTTCAATCGGGCAACTGGCATCACGCGCCATGCCCAAGACGGGAGGAGCGTTGTGTTCCCAAGCTCTCGGTTATTTACCTCATTGTAGAGTCATATGTGCGCTGGGCAGAACAAGGCTCCTGAATCTGATGAATGTCCGAGTTTACGAAGCATCCCGTCTCTGGTTGCATGATCGATGTGCGAGAGCTCCGAGCTCCGAGCTCCAGCGTCTGGGGAATGCCAGAGAGCTGCTGTAACTAGCTCACGTATGCGATAAAAACTTCTAAAATCATCCTCATAACCAGGCTTGGCGCTTCTCTCGCTGCCTCCAGCGGTGAGATGGCAGCTGATGTCCTCACTCGGAACTTTGATATGGGATGTCAATTCAATCAGGGCCGACAAGGGTCGCCCAATATAGGGTACGCACCGTCGACACGAATTATACTCCCCTGCAGAGTTGCATCGATCATTTTAAACAGGGGAGTCTACCGTGAGTCACATGGCCACACAGAGCTCAAGAAGCGCTCCTGCGCTATTGCAATTCGGACTGAGCCACCCCATGCTATTAGAGGACGGCTGGACGGGGCTGCGGCATTCACCCTGGATGACCCTCTTCGGGAGGTGATAGTGGATCGCGGGCGTGTATATTAGGCATCGAAGACGCATCGAAGGATTCGAACGGGGCTGAACCGAGAGGTGACTGCAGATGAGACAGGTTCGGACCGCCCGAGACGTGTCGGTGTGTAAAGTCATCGCTTTGCGACTTTGCTCACCTTGCGTGGAGGGGCGTGCGGCAGAAAAACTGGGTATTTACAACTGTATCTGTGACCTAGTGTGGGCCAGGAGGTGAGTAGAGAGGGTGGGTAATATCCATGGAAAAAGACTAGCAGGTTATTATCCCAGGGCGTATCTACACCGATTGGTCACTTCGCCCAGTCACCAAGGCAATAGAGTCGCCCAATGTGTACCCTGAGTAGACCTCGGGAGACGATCAGAGGAAGCACAAAAATATACTTCGAATCAATGCAGCCCGCCGTGGCCCGAATGAGGCGCAACGGTTCCATTCAGTTGGGACTCTGAAAGGTGTACATGTAAGTAATTTTAAAGCAGGGGTGAAGTGCCCTAGAGATGGTGCTAAGGCCTCTTCGAACACGTCGGGGCAATTTTTTTGGATTTGCTTCTGAAGTATCCATTCCACAGCGAGATCGGGGCGAGGGAGGCCACAAAAAATCTCGTTGGAATGGAGATGATAAGCCCCTTCTTCCTTCTCCTGAAGATCAGACCCATCGGAGACCCGGATTAGTGAATTCTTTTTTTTTTTTTTTTTGGTTTATTTAAATTCTTTTTGCCTCCCACTAATTGAATTTCCGCCTCGGTTGAGCTAGGGATGAGTGTACCCCTGAGTTTCAACGGTGAGTGGCTGACATTGGATCCCTGTGTCCCATTAGCTCGAGCGTTTCCTAACGTTGTGCCATCGGACTGGATGTACCTGGTGTATTCGGCGAATTTGAATACCGTGCGGTTACCGGTTTGGTATGGAAACGGCACACGGCTCGTAATCCTGTACTCCAGGTATTACGGGAATAAGGCTTTCGCGTGCACGTCTTCATGATGTCATCGAAGCACTTGAGTGCCTCATTCTTTGCTCGAGTAAGACATTGACTTTATTAAAAGTAAGGTGTAGATGATGAAGGCGTCTCGAAGAACAAAGTGTTTTTGAAACAAAAGTTACGTGCGAAACAACCTCAGCGGTGAAAAATCGGGACTACGGTCCTAGTTCGCGACGAGTGCATCAGCTGAGTCCTCGCAGAATCATTAGAAAACGAAAGGGGGGTCTCTTTTGTCTTGGCCGAAAATGCCGTCCCATAGGGCAGGGGCTAGAGAAAGCGGGGGTTAATCTAGGGCTGCTGATCGTAGCAAGGTGCGGATGCGAGATTGAGTGAGTGGTATTACCTACATGCTCATCAAATTGCAGCTCGGCTTCTCTTTGAGCGCGCTCGACGTAAGTTTCCATGGTGGCAAGATTTGTGATTGTGCAATCCTTAAATTTTACCTTTTGAGTTTGAGCTTCTTGCATTTCCTGGCCTTCAGTGATTGTAATTCAGATAATAGGTGAATTCCGAGTGTGATATTGACTAAAAAAAGGCATACGTCTGCCCGATGACCAGCTAGCCGTGTTGGGGCATGAATACGTAGGCACGTAGGCACTCGATGACGCCCAGTGTAATTTACGATACAAATCTTGAGAACCCTGTCAGAGTGGGTCTAGTTCACGAAAGCGCAACGTTAAGGACCCCCACTCAGGCCAATGGAAGAACCCAAGAACCTTGGAAGAAAACCATCCTAAGACATTCCCTTAGGGCCGTAGACTATCCCCAACTAGGCAGCTATGGGCTCCTGGAAGTGGGCTGTACGGGGTGGGCAATATGTAGGTCTATTTCTTGCGACCGCTTTTTTAAGGATCATGGTTGGATCTAGCTGTCATTTCTTGCTGAAACCGGAAACGAAGGTCACGGGAGCGAGCGCCACGCTCACCCCAAAAAGAAAAAAAATAGATCAGGGCACGTTAGAGTCGGGGACTATGAGATTTGTGGAAGCCAACTTTAGGGATTTGAGATTTGGATAGACAGCGATAAACCTATACCCCTCTCTAATTTTCCCTCTGCCGCGATCATCAGGATTGTCGGCGAACATCCACTCGCTTTTCCACTTATCCTTGCTGACTGGCTGAGCATCACGAAACGGAATAATTGATGAACAATAGGGGCGGTCTGAAAAAAGCACACTGACCTCAGCACGAGCACGCGAGATCATCGTGCGGACGGTTTACGAATGCCCGAGCCCTTGCGGAAAGCTCCTCCCTACTGGGCGCCCTCCTAGACAAGTAGATGAAAATAGATGAAAATGACGATATATGATGAGACGGTCAACAGTGGTCGCTGATAAGGTCTAGGGATCCTGGCCGTGATTTTATCGAGTTGCAAACCGCCACAACCGCCCACGATAGCGCACGGATCGATCGGAAGTAAAATAAAAGGCCTTTGACACTGGGACAGTGAGCCACTCGGCTCATCTCTAGCACGTGCTATCTACGGAATAGAGGTATCGTCCTGCCATCTTGGGA